AACTCTGTGAGAGGTAAGACTCTAGGTTAACTGTTTTCTGAAACTGGAATTACAAAATGATAAAATAAATAAATAAATAAATAAATAAAGATTCATTTTTGTTAAAGATTCTGACTAAGAAATCATCAGGAAATGTATTTGTAATAGGCACTGTAATGCCTTCAACAACTTGTAGCTTACTGCTACCTTCTGCTCCCTGGAACTTCACTGCCACCTCCGTTAGGGAGAAAAGTGCAAAAAGAATTCAAGATCATCCATGGTGAGCAGTTGGGATTTCCGTATTCACAGTAGTCCCATACTCATAGTCTTTTATCATTTAATGTTTCTCAACAGAACAGTTTTTACCAAAGAAAGTCTGTGATGTTAAGGGGGAAAAAAACAACCTGCCTTATATAACAATAGCTGGAGGCAAAAAGAAAATCAAGTATTCAGTAGCAATAATGTAACACTGTTTTAAAGTCAGTGGAAAATAAAGAACTTAAGATCACTCCAATCATCTTTGTTTAAAAAAAACAACAACAACGAGGTCTCACCACACTGCCCAGGCTGGGTTGCAGGAGCTATCCACAGGCATGATGACAGGGCACTGCAGCCTCCAATTCCTGAGCTCAAGAGAGTCTCCTGCCTCAGCCTGCCAAGTAACTGGGACTACAGGCACATGTCACCACTCCTGGCTTCCAGTAATCTTTTTTAATTTTTAAAGTCAGAGTATCATCTTGCAATTAGTATCAATGCCATGTGTTAAGAACTATACAAGTTTCAAAATTATAAAAGCACTCTATAAAAGGTAGTTAGAATTTTTAAAAAATCTTTTCTTTATTCTCTCCATACTACCCTTTTTTCAAACTCTGATCAATGCTACCTCATCCAAAAACACGTGTGGATCCTTCCTGTTGTCTGAACTTCCACAGGTTTTGTCTGCACATCTCACTTTCTTCGTCCTATAACATCCCTCTGTGTCCATGTCTTAACTTCTCTATTGCTCTCAACTCTCAAGGAGCTTATAGGCTATGTCTGAATCACTCTCATAAATCACATGGCACCTTGCACATAACAAATTTTTTTTAATTGCTGAATTCAATAAACATAAAATATTAAAAACACTTGATGTATGCAAAAAAAAAAAAGCACGTTTTGCAAAAGTCCGGAAAGGAAAGAATACTCATAGGATTAACCTATATAGGTCACCTTTGGCTTAGTAATTAAATTAGGTTCCTTAGGAAAAATATATTTAATATTACCTGTTGGTACCAGTGCAGGGAATCACAAGAAAACTGTACTGGCCCTGGGTTATCACTGCAGCACACCAGGCCATCACCATTCCCATTGCAGCATGAATAAATGAGTGCATGAGTTGCTGAGGATGAATGATCTTCCCTATCAGAGCTAGTCTGGAGCAGGGAATGGAAGGCACAACTGCAAAGGAAACACATTACTGCAGCTTCATAATCTGAAGCATATGCAGTTAGAAGATCTAAACTACCCCCCTCATCCTTGCACAAATGCTCCAAAGGCAGAAAGAAACCCAGTCACCTTAAATACAACACAGAAAAATTTAAAGTTAAAAACTCTTAAAAAATTTGAGAAAAGAATGAATAAAAACAAACAGACACACAAAAAAATCCAAACAATCTAGAGAAATGAAACCTAAAGATAGCATAGTTAGCATTTTTCATTAAAATTTCCTAATAGTTCAAATAGTGCCTATCCTAGTACTCTCCTAAGCACCATAAAATCATGATTTTTCTTTTTTTTCATATATGGACTACTCCAAGGGTCTTGCAGTGTGGGAGAGAGACTGGGCCCAGCTCCTGAATACTGATTTTTTTTTTTTTTTTTTTTTTTTTTTGAGACGGAGCTTCGCTCTTGTTACCCAGGCTGGAGTGCAATGGCGCAATCTCGGCTCACCGCATCCCCCGCCTCCTGGGTTCAGGCAATTCTCCTCCCTCAGGCTTCTGAGTAGCTGGGATTACAGGCACGCGCCACCATGCCCAGATAATTTTTTGTATTTTTAGTAGAGATGGGGTTTCACCATGTTGACCAGGATGGTCTCGATCTCTTGATCTCGTGATCCACCCGCCTCGGCCTCCCAAAGTGCTGGGATTACAGGCTTGAGCCACTGCGCCCGGCCTCTGACTTTTATTTATTTTTTGAGACGGAGTCTTGCTCTGTCACCCAGGTTGGAGTGCAGCGGTGTGATCTTGGCTCACTGCAACCTCCGCCTCTCAGGTTTAAGCAATTCTCCTGCCTCAGCCTCCCGAGTAGCTGGAACTACAGGCGTGTCCCACCACACCCATTTAATTTTTTCTATTTTTAGTAGAGACGGGGTTTCACCATGTTAACCAGGATGGTCTCTATCTGCTGATGTCGTATTCCACCAGCCTCAGCTTCCCAAAGTGCTGGGATTACAGGTGTGAGCCACCATGCCAGCCAACTTTTTAAAAAGAGCTCCTGCCATCAGCATTTGAAAGTGTCAATATATAGCCCACTTATGAAAAATAAACATAAAGTAGGTAAATACTGACAACGTAAAAATACTGACAACAAAAAAAAGAGCTCCTGCCATCAGCATCTGAAAGTGTCAATATATAGCCCACTTATGAAAAATAAACATAAAGTAGGTAAATACTGACAACATAAAAATACTGACATCATAAAAATTTTTTTTTTGAGATGGAGTTTCACTCTCGTTACCCAGGCTGGAGTGCAATGGCGCAATCTCGGCTCATCGCTACCTCCGCCTCTTGGGTTCAGGCAATTCTCCTGCCTCAGCCTCCCGAGTAGCTGGGATTACAGGCGAGCACCACCACGCCCAGCTAATTTTTTTGTATTTTTAGTAGAGACGGGGTTTCACCATGTTGACCAGGATGGTCTCGATCTCTTGACCTCGTGATCCACCCGCCTCGGCCTCCCAAAGTGCTGGGATTACAGGCTTGAGCCACCGCGCCTGGCCAAGAATTTTTAATACCCTTTTGACAATCCAAAACATTTTCTGGAAATGAGCTAGGGAGACTAGTATGGGTAGGACATGAGTGATGTTAACCTTTGAAACAGCTAGCGTAGGGTTCCCTGTTCTATCTATGCAGGTATTTTCCTCTAACTATGCACAAAGAGATGGCAGGAGGTAGAAAATTAAGTGTGAAGTGACAAGGTTCAGATACTTTACACTTTGAGGAAGAGACTGTCATCACCTCTCCCTCCCAACAAAAAATGCCCACAAGGTCCTACTGACTGTGCAACTGACTTACAACACTTTAAACATACCAAAGCCTCTCATGTCACTAAGCCTTTTTATATGCTATACCTTCTCTCTAGAACATCATTTTCCTTTACCTACTTAATTCAACTCATCCTGCAAGGCTTGATTTAAGCATCATCTCCCCAAGATCCCCTATGCTGGGCCCAGTGGTGCTCCTATACATCCAATTGTACTGTAATCAAATATACTTCATGTTTACTGTCTGTCTCTCCATTAATCACAATCCCCTGGAGAAAGATGGGACGGTATCATTTTTCTCTTTTCCCCACACATTGCATGGCACATAGTAAATGCATAAGGGATGGTTACTGAAGGAATGAGCCAAAGCAACGTTGGGGAACCCTCAACTGACATGTTACATACAGAAGATGAACCAGGCACATGGGAGTATGAAAGACTACTCTGTAAGTGTGGCTGTAAGTCAAGGAGTTTCAAATAGGGTTTGTATGAAAAAAGGCCTACTAGCCAATAGTGAGGAATTAAGAAAGCAAGGGAAGCTGGGTGCAGTGGTTCACGCCTGTAATCCCAGCACTTTGGGAGGCCGAGGTGAGCGAATCAGTTGAGGTTAGGAGTTTGAGACCAGCCTGACCAACATGGTGAAACCCTGTCTCTACTAAAAATACAAAAATTAGCCAGGCATGGTGGCAGGCACCTGTAATCCCAGCTACTTGGGAGGCCAAGGCAGGAGAATTGCTTAAACCTTGGAGGTTGAGGTTGCAATGAGCCAAGATCATACAACTGTACTCCAGGCTGGGCAACAAAGCTAGACTCCATCTCAGGGGCCAAAAAAACAAAGAAAGCAAAGAAAAAGGAAACATATTGTAACATCCAGAGTTAGAATTTGAAATTTTACACCATATTTTACAAGGAAGTACTGAAGAGCTAAAAAGGAAAATGATGTTATAGTAAAAAAAAAGTAGTGTCAGGAAAAGCTTCTTATTGTATCTTTTTATTCCTTATGTGAAATCTGCCACAATTTGTATCTTAAGGGCAGACTCATGGAATCTGAAAAGGCAGAAAGAGTAAGAAGAGAAACAAAAAATTAAAAGCTCTGGAATCCAGCAGGTGATTCTCCAAGGCAAAACACAATAGTCTTTTTTTAATCACAGAATTACAGATTATTATATTTGAAAAATAACTTAGAAATCACCTGGTCTTCACTATAAAGAAACTAGTTTTATAATATATCTGCTAAATCACAGCTTTAATGCTAGCTATGAACTATTAAAAGGTCTAAGGGTTATTTTGTGGTAAAATAATAGAATTCACCACTCAAACCATTTTTAAGTACACAGCTCTACAGCACAAGTACATTCACATTGCTGTACAACCATTACCACCATCCAGCTCCCAAACTTTTCCATCTTCCACAACTCTACCCATTAAACCGCAATATTCCATTCCCCTCCCCCAGCCCTGGGAGCCACCATTCTACTTTCTTTCTCTATGAATTTGAGTACTCCAGATACCTCATATAAGTACAATCATGTAATATTTGTCCTAAAGTCTAAATATGTTTTAAAAACAGAAACTAGCACCCAAATAAATTTTAAGGTACAACATTCAAAACATATGACTGGATACATTTTTAAAATTTTGACACAAAACACATTACATATAAACTGTACGGAGTCTTCCCTTAGTTAAATAAATTCGGATATTTCTAAGAAGGTTAACATTTGAAAACTCACCTGTATAGAACTCCACATTGAAAATACTTATTATTATTATTACCACTGACAGCAGCAGGAGGTAAAAGATTACATAGGAACTATACAGGTCACTGAAAGAATCTAAAACACAAGAGAGATGAATTAGTAAAGGTTATTCAGTCATGTGGTCATGTTCAGTATACTACAATATAAAAAGAGCTTGAACCACAATTATCATTAATTTTAAAGGTTGTCTTTTCTTAAAGAATTTAATTGTACAATGCTGACAGGTTCAATGAGATATCAACTCAAGAACTACAGTGCTGGCTGGGTGTGGGAGGATCACTGAGCCCAGGAGCTCAAGACCACCCTGGGCACATGGCAAAACCCTATCTCTACAAAAATACAAAAATTAGCCAGGTGTAGTGGTGCACACCTGTAGTCTCAGTTACTCGGGAGGCTGAGGTGGGAACATCACTTGAGCCTGGGAGTTTGAGGCTGGAACGAGCAGTAATCACGCCACTGCAGTCCAGCCTAGGCAACAGAGAAAAATCCTGTTTCAAAAACAAAGGGGAAAAAAGGGAGTTACAGTGTGAGTTGTTTGTACTTGGCCCCAGGTACTTTAAAATTATACTACAATTGGCGGGGCAAGCACTTGTAATCCCGGCACTTTGGGAGGCTTAGGCAGATAGATTGCTTGAAGTCAGGAGCTCGAGACCAGCCTGGGCAACATGGCAAAACCCTGTATCTACTAAAAATACAAAAATCAGCCAGGCGTGGTGGCATATGCCTATAATCCCAGCCACTCAAGAGGCTGAGGCACGAGAATTGCTTGAAGATGGGAAGCAGAGGCTGCAGTGAGGCAAGATTGAGCCACTGCACTCAGCCTGGGCAACAGAGCAAGACTGTTTCAAAGAAAAAAAAAAAGAAACAAAGTGCTCTTAATTTTAGACATATTTTTAAAAGACATATATATCATATTTTCTACCCACAATTTCAAATCAATGACAGGAACAGTTCTCTTTTTTAAAAAGACAAACAATGTCAATAAAGCTGTCCAAAAGGAAAAACAAATTAAACTAAGTTTTCATTTATGGGGTCTTCTAATGATTTTTTTGTTCCTATGATCATACATAGTCTTTGACAAGCTTATTAATCTTATTACATAATAAAAAGGTAATTTATGTTATGAAGGGGCCATCTTAAAATTATCTCAAAGTGGACCAGGCACAGTGGCTCATGCCTGTAATCCCAGCACTTTGGGAGGCTAAGGCAGGTGGATCACAAGGTCAGTGGTTCGAGACCAGCCTGGCCAACATGGCAAAACCCCAACTCTACTAAAAATACAAAAAAATTAGCTGAGTGTGGTGGCATATGCCTGTAGTACCAGCTACTTGGGAGGCTGAGCCAGGAGAATCACTTGAAACCAGGAGGCGGAGGTTACAGCGAGCCCAGATCACACCACTGCACTCCAGCCTGAGTGACAGAGCAAGAATCTGCCTCAAAAAAAAAATCTCAAAGTGAATGTTTTGAAGTGTCAACATAACATAGGCAATAATTTAAAATAAACTGCTTGAAACATAATGCAATTTTTTTTTGGAGATGGAATCTCACTCTGTAGCCCAAGCTGAAGTGCAGTGGCGCAATCTTGATCAGAGGTTGCTCAGTGCAACCTCTGCCTCCCAGACACCGGTTCAAGCAATTCTCCTACCTGAGCCTCCCAAATAGCTGGGATTACAGGCATGAGCCACCAAGCCCAGATAATGTTTGTATTTTTTAGTAGAGGCAGGGTTTCACCATGTTGGCCAGTCTGGTCTTGAACTCCTGACCTTGTGATCCACCTGCCTTGGCCTCCCAAAGTGCTGGGATTACAGGCGTGAGCCACTGCGCCCGGCCCATAATGCAATTTTTATGTTGAGAAGTAGATCCTGTAACTTTCTCCCCAAACTGAGCTATCACTTACCAGACAGCCACTGTATAGGATGAAACAAATCAATGCTGCTAAAAAGTATAAATAATGTAGTGCAGATGGGTAGAAGGAGCACTGACCAAACAATACTTGCAACTATCCTCCAGCCCAGAACCTATAAACAAAAAGAAAAACCCTCAGGCATGAAGTCAACTTATGTCAGTTATGCAAATCCTATCTTTTCACACTGGATGTTAATCACTAAGTCAGATCATAGTCCGCGTAACTCAAACATTTACTATTAATAACATGACATATCGCTACAGAATTTATAGTATCAGTGAGCTGATGTTTGCATAACAACAAAGTCAGGTGCAACATCAAATATCATACTTTGAGGTGTGGTGGCATTAATTTACAGCTATGTGTTAGAGTAACTAGTCTCTCTAGGCTTTATTGGTAGCTATATTAATATATAGAGGCTGTATATATTTTATGGGACCCATCTGTATACTGAACTTAGAATCATCACACATGCACCCTTACTGGGCAACTACTGCACTGTAGCATTCTATTCATGTTTGAATTGCCAGTATCTACCATATAGGAGGCAAATATTTACTGCTGAATAATACAAGATATAGAGGGGTTTTAAGCATGAAAGTAACAATCAAATTTATGTTGCTCAAGGTAAAACATGTTTGTTTACTGTAAGCTGGCTTTAAGGGAGATGGATCAGAAGGGACAAGAACCAAACAGGAGACAAAGCAACTAAGAGGCAGTCCGCCAAAATAGCCAAGCCAAAGACTCCAGTGAACGCCTCAACAAGGGGAAAGGAAAAAAGAAACTGCAGCCACATTTCTGAGGTAGAATCTATATAGAATTTTTGTGATTGATGATACAGGTGGTAAAGAATTGATAAGACTTGGCTGGGCTCGGTGGCTCATGCCTGTAATCCTAGCACTTTGGTAGGCCAAGGTGGATAGATCACCTGAGGTCAGGAGTTCAAGACCAGCCTGGGAGCATAATGAGACTATCTCAAAAAAATAATAATAAATAAAAATATATATATGTATATATAAAAAGAATAGTCTCTTCAACAAATGGCATTGGAACAGCTGGATATTGACATGCAAAAGAATAAAGTTGAGGCAGAGTGCAGTGGCTTACGCATGTATCCCAACACTGTGGGAGGCCAGGCAGGCAGATCCCTTGAGACCAGGAGTTTGAGACCAGCCTGGTCATCATGGTAAAACCCCATCTCTACCAAAAAATTAAAAAAACAAATTAGCCAGGCATCATTCCAGCCTGGAGCTGGAGCAAGGCTCCATCTAAAAAAAAAAAAAAGAATAAAGTTGAACTCCTACCCCACATTCTTTTTGTTGTTGTTGTTTTGAGACAGAGTCTCGCTCTGTCGCCCAGGCTAGATGCAATGGTGTGATCTCAGCTCACTGCAACCTCCACCTCCCAGATTCAAGCAATTCTCCCGCCTCAGCCACCTGAGTGGCTGGGATTACAGGCATCTGCTACCACACCCACTAATTTTTTTTTTTTTTTTTAGTAGAGATGGGGTTTCACTATGTTGGCCAAGCTGGTCTCAAACTCCTGATCTCAAGTAATCCTCCTGCCTCAGCCTCCCAAAGTACTAGGATTACAGGGGTGAGCCACTGCACCCAGTCTCCTATTCCACATTCTATACAAAAGTTAACTTAAACTGGATTAATTAAAGACCTACATGTAAGAGCTAAAACTATAAAACTCTTGGAAGAAAACACAGGAGTAAATCTTCTTGACCTTGGATTTGGCAATGGTTTCTTAGATGTGACACCAAAAGCATGAGCAACAAAAAAAAAATAGATAAACTGGACATCAGCAATATTTAAAACTTTCTGCCTCAAAAGACACCGTCAGCCAGGCACGGTGGCTCATGAGAGCCAAAGGTAGAAACAACCCAAACACCCACATACTGATGAATGGATGAACAAAATATGGTATGTCCATACAGTGGATTACTCACTACAAAAAGGAATGAAATACTCATAAATGCTAAACATGCACCGTGCACGATGGCATGCACCTGATATCCCAGAGGGTTGGGAGGCTGAGGCAGGAGGACTGGTTGAGCCCAGGAGTTCAAGACCAGCCTGGAGAAGATACCGTGTCTCTATTATAAAAATAATTTTAAAAAAAATTTAGGGCTCAGGCGTGGTGGCTCACGTCAGTAATCACAGAACTTTGAGAGGCTGAGGCGGGTGGATCACTTGAGGTCAAGAGTTCAAGACCAGCCTGGCCAACATAGCGAAACCCCGTCTCTACTAAAAATACAAAAATTAGCTGGGCGTGGTGATGCGTGCCTATAATCCCAGCTCCTCGGGAGACTGAGGCAGAACCGCTTGAAGCCGGGAAGCAGAAGTTGCAGTGAGCAGAGATCACGCCACTGCACTCCAGCATGGGAAACAGAGAGCTAGCCTCCGTCTCAAAAAAAAAGGTAATACTTAAGGACCCAAAAGTTTTTAGTTCGGAATATAGAGGAGATGGCAGTGTACTAGGGTAGAAGCACTTTTCCAAAAGGGATCTTTCTCTTCTCTTTGTGCTCCAGAGAAGGTATGTCGTACTGTTAACTGCACTTTAAGGAGGAAGTACTATTCCCCTCAGCTCAGTCTCACTCTGCATTACGAAGAACACCTGCTCTGCTTACTGGACCCTAACCCCAGCCTCTATTAATGTCACATTTCTTTCCAATTCCGGGCATTCCTTTCCACTTCTTAACGAAACAAATGAAGTTATTTATTTAACACCTACTGGATACGGTACCCTTGCGTAAAACTCTGCCTCACTACTCGAATTTCTATTTAGTCCATCTGTCCCACTCTGACCAGCTTCCTTCCACTCGGGACTCCTTTCCTATACCGTAACCAGCTTCCACTAGGACGCTCCACAACCCTGTAATCAGTCCCCCAGGTGGTGCATCCCCCGACGTACTCTCTTCACGCTACCGTGGGACCGACCCTCCCGCGCTCGCCCAGAGCGCACGCGTGGCCAGAGCCTGCCCGCCCGGCCCGACCCTAGCGGTGCGTGCCACAACGCACGCCGCACTCACGCGCCACAGTATGTCCCGCGACCTGCCGGCGCAGGACCCATTCACGGCCGTGGCCATGGAGATGGCCGCCCCTAGTCTAGATAGCGCAGAAGACCGTGCGCCCGCCCGCCACCTCAGTTCAAAGGGAGGAAGGCCCCAGGAGGACCCTGCTGGGGCTGCCTCAAACGCTGCCTGAGCGAAGCCCGGCCCAGGCCCCAGCCCATCCCTGAGAGGCTTCGTCTGGACCAGCTCAACGGGCCAGAACTGCTGCTCAGACACGTCCCACAAAGGGGGCTGTGACTCCAGGAACCGCCCTCTGGCCTCCAAAATATCCCTCCGAAGCAGGGTCCCGCGGGGCGACAGAAGCAGGTGTCGGCGCTGCATGCTGGGAACTGTAGTCTCGACGGCCCCCTGGGAAGAAGTAGGAGGAGTGTTGCATTCTGGGACTCGGAGTTCCAAAGTACAGCATGCTGGGAGTCGAAGTCTTCCTGGCGGTGCCTTGAGGCATGCTGGGAATTAAGTAGTCTTTTATAAAGCCTGTAACAGCCGCAGTATTGGGTGATTGGAATTCTGCAGTTAGAAAGAGCTAGCAAAATTATTTGCTCTCATTTCTCCCTATTACTTTATCAGTCACCTAAAAGTGAAATCAAAGGATGTTGTGTTCCTCTCCACAATAGTTACGCAGTAATTTACTGAAATTAAAAAAAAAAAATCTCTAGAGATGCCTTTGGTTTCATAAGATCTGGTTTCTAATTCCACCTCTGCCACATGCTAAGTTGAATATTTTTTATCTTCTCTGAGCCTCCACTTCTCCAACTGTAAGATAAGGATCAAAATAAAAATATCCTGGTGATGTTGTGAGGATGTAAATAATACGCTATACAAATATTATCACTGATATACTGCCAGTTTAAAAAAAAAAAAAAAAAAACAGGGTTTTCACCAACCCAAGTTTCACCTAATGAAGTCTTCTCTGTGCTTTAGACCTCAGTGAGCTCCCTGGATGCATTTCGCTAACTTTTTATGCATAATCACATGCCACAGTCAACATTCGATACTCTAGAAAGACCGAAATAGACTAAAGAAATGCATAGGCTGGTGAGAGGAATTGAGATCACACCTACTGCTCTGTAATGTTTGCTAACAATGGCTTCCTGAGTGCTTTAAGATTATATCCCATTCATTTCCAAAGCCATGTGAATATCAATCGTGTCTAAAGCACTACAGGACATACTGGGAATACAACTGATACATCAAGTCTCTGCAGTGAAGAGACCTGTCCGGTGGTGGAGAAAACTTGTAAAGAATTAGTCCAGGCCAGGCAGAGTGGCTCACACCTGTAATTCCAGCACTTTGGGAGGCCATGGCAGGAAGATCATAAACCCAGGAGTTTGAGACTAGCCTGGGAAACATAGTGAGAACTCATCTCCACAAAATAAAACTTTTTTAAAAAATTAGCTGCGTGTAGTGGCGCACACCTGTAGTCCAAGCTACTCCAGAGACTGAAGCAGGAGAATTGCTTGAACCTGGGAGGTTGAGGCTGAAGTGAGCAGCGATGGTGCCACTGCACTCCAGCCTGGGCTGTAGAGTGAGGGCCTTTCCAGAAAAAAAAAAAAAAAAAAATCAGTCCAAATGTGTGTTCATAAAGACTCCTCAGGTTCTAAGGTTCTTGTGGTAGAGACTACTCATTACATCTACTCCCCCTTCTTTCAAAATAATTGAACTCCCAGTTTTTAACTGGGTATACAGTTACATTTCCCAGCCTCTCTTGCAGCTAGGTGTGGCCAGCTGACTCCATTCAGGGCAATAAAATAAAATCAAATTATTGCATGGTAGCTTCCTAGAAACCCCCTTAAAAGGGAGCTACTGCATGGTCTTTGCCTCTTCTTAATCCCGTCCTCCATTCAGCTGCCTGGGTGTGGGATGTGTTAGCTGGAGCTCTAGCACCATATTGGACCACAGAAAATAGGTCACACTATAGGAAAAGTGAAGTACTGAGCTTAAAGGAAACTTGCTTATTTACAGCAACCATATCAGTCCTGGAATACCCACCTTCACCTCCTGATTTCATTTATACAAGAGAGACAATTAGTTATTGTTTAAGCCACTTCTATTCGTGTAGCACCGATTACAATCTTAAATAATCTGTATACTTATTTACTTCTTATTGTCTGACTTCTCACTAGTATACAAACTGCACAAGAGCAGGGACTTTGTCTTGTTTATCATTGTTTCCAAAGTTCCCATTACATTACTAAGTAATAAAGGAATGTTTATTTAATGAATAATGAATGAGTGGAAGAAATTAACTGTATTGGATAGTGTTTCTTCAGGACAACAACTTTTGATATCTAAATCAAAGGGGGATTTAATGCAGGGAATTGATAACAAAGTTGTTGGAGAGGCTTAAAAAGCATAGGAAAAAAAGAACAGGGCTGTAGTAGCAAACAGCAGAAAGGAGTTATTGCCCACATACCAGGAAGCTACTACTTTCGTTAGAGCCGTGAGACAACACTGAGTGCTGAGCTGCTGAGGATGGTGCCTCTGCTACTGCTAGAAACATTCTTTTTGAGCACCTGTAGCTGCTGAAAGCACCACACAGAAGTGCCTGAAACTATCCAAAGTTGCTCTCTGAGCCTTTGAAAGCTACAACCAAATCATTCAAAACAGAATGAAATAAATTTTTTAAATGACACAAGACCTCTTGGTCTCAGCAACAGAAGCAAGACAAAAGGAAGATTGGAAAGCGTTGCAGTAAGACAGGCACACTGTGCTGCCACTGTGCCTCTAAGGCCTACCACCTTCAGAAGTCAACTGCAGCAAATGTGGCTACCCTGCCAAGCTCAAGAGGAAGTAACACTGGAGTGCCAATGCTAAAAGGCAAACTACCACCAGGACTAGTCGAATGAAGCACCTAAAATGGTGTAACACAGATTCAGGCATGGATTCAACGAAGGAACAACGCCTAAACCCAAGAGGGCAGCTGTCGCAGCATCCAGGTCATCTTAAGAATTTCACTCCAGCCTGGGCAACAAGAGTGAAACTCTGTCTCACAACAACAACAACAAAAAAAAAGTAAAAAAAGAAAGAATTTTGATGATTAGTCACTCAATAAATGCTCTGGTTGGCTGGGCACAGTGGCTCACACCTATAATCCCAGCAATTTGGGAGGCTGAGGCAGGTGGACCATTTGAGGTCAGGAGTTCAAGACCAACCTGGCCAACATGGTAAAACCCCTCCTTTACTAAAAATGCAAAAATTAGCTAGGCATGGTGGTGGGTTTTTGTAATCCCAGCTACTCAGGAGGCTGAGGCATCAGAATTGCTTGAACCTGGGAGGCACAGCTTGCAGTGAGCCAAGACTGCACCACTGCACTCTAGCCTGGGTAACAAAGCCAGACTCTGTCTCAAAAAAAAAAAAAAAGCTTCTGGTTTTTAAAAATTTTAAAAAAAGATATAAGACATGAAGAACAATACCAGTTAGTATTAGAAAAACTCAGAAATTAGAACTCAAGGAAGAAATCAAAATTTAAATAATTATTATAAAAATGAAAGTTGAGCTAGAAGAAACTCAAGAGCAAAGAAACACAACAGTAATGTCATAACAAATGAAGAACTTTTTTAAATCAAAGGAATAATGAAAAACAATTTTAAGTGACAAATAGAGAAAATAGGCAAAGAAGATTCAATGTATGAATAATTGGAGTCCCTGAAGAATCTGGACTCTCATTTTATTTTTTATTTTATTTTATTATTCTTTTTTGAGATGAACTTTCATTCTTGTTGCCCAGGCTGCAGTGCAATGGCATGATCTCAGCTCACTGCAACCTCCGCCTGCCAGGTTCAAAGCAATTCTCCTGTCTCAGCCTCCTGAATAGCTGAGATTATAGGCATACGTCACCACGCCCAGCTAATTTTGTATTTTTAGTAGTGATAGGGTTTCTCCATGTTGGTCAGGCTGGTCTTGAACTCCCGACCTTAGGTGATCTGCCCACCTCAGCCTCCCAAAGTGCTGGAATTATAGGAGTGAGCCACCATGCCCAGCCTGAACTCTCATTTTAAACCATCACTGTCTCACCCAACAACACACAGGAATATGGGAATTACTTTTTGTTTTTAAATTTCCCTAATATTTTTTAATGAGTTGTCATTTTCCTGAAGTTTTTATTTCAAAAATCTTCACTTGTTGCATAGTCTTTCATATTTTATGGCCTAAAAAATATAAAGGGTGGTGGTGGCAAATAACACTTCTTTCCCCTCATCTGTAATCTGTTTCAAATTCAGTCCTTCCAAGAGAGAAGGCTGCTAACTTGTGATAAAATGTGATTAGCCATTTGCAAAGACAAAATAAGACATTCATTTTGAAAGACAGCTCCTTAGACATACAAAGTCTCTTGTACAACAATATTTTTGTGGTGAGTCAAACAAAAATAAATGTAAAACAGATAGATTATATTTACCTGTAGGGTGTGGAGAATACGTGTCCCAGAATACACTTGGACTATGTATTAGTAGTAGCAGTAGTAGTAGTATTTTATTGCCAGATTCCAAAGCTCAGGCTCCTCCTTCTTCCTCTGACGCCCCCTCTCTGGAGCCAGCTACACTCCTGGTTGGCAGTTTGGTGGGCTGTCCTCTGCTGCCTGCTTCTTAGGGGTGAAATCTCAGAGTAAAAGCTGATGAAAAGAGAAGGAGAGCCGGGAGGGAAAACTCACATCATATTGCAAAGTGTGTAATCTAGACTTTTTAGATCTATTTTCTCCCTTTTAAACACTGCCTAGATTTGTTATAAACACTGACTTAACCCTATGCCTGTGACACAGAGACAGTAAAATAAAATCTGTGGGTGGAGGTAAGGCTCCCTAGTGCCTCATTTCCAAGAATATGAGCAAGAGCCAGGATCAAAGGCTTTTCACATAAATACTTATGTGAGGCAATAGGTAAAGGCTTTAGTCAGACAAATGGGAATGTGAGTCCTGGCTCCCTGCTTCACAGCAGGGTGGTTAGCTTGGACTAGTAACTCAACCTCTGGGTGCATCGTTTTTCTCAACTGTAAAAAGGGGGATAATAGTGTGCACTGTTTTTTTTTTTTGGTTTTGTCACCCAGGCTGGAGTGCAGTGGTGCGATCTCGGCTCACTGCAACCTCTGCCTCCTGGGTTCAAGCAATTCTGCCTTAGCTTCCCGAGTAGCTGGGATTACAGGTGTGTGTGCACTGTTCTTTATTTCTATGAATGCATCTCAATTGAGCCCCCTCCCTTCAAATAATGTAACAGTCATTAATACTCCAGGCACATGATAGGATTATACTTTGTGGCCCCCCTCTGAAGTTAGGTATGATCACGTAACAGTTCTAGCCAATAATGTGAGAAATAACATATATCATTTACAGGTGGAATTTAATTGCCATTCTGAGACTCTCCAGACCTGTCTTTCCTCTGGCACACTGATCAACAGTATTTGAGATGTTACTCCATCACCCCAGATGCCTGAGTGACTACAGTGAAGAGTCTCCTGCCAGCCTGTGATTAACTTATAATATAAGCAGGAAATAAAACTTTGTTGATTTAAGCTGCTGATAGTTGACAGGTCTTGATTATTTTAGAAGAACCTAACTTATCCCCAAAGATACCAGTAGTAAATCAATAAACACAGTTACCTGAAGATGACTTGAAAAGTCCTTGAAAAACTTTTTTGTATGCATCACCTCATTAATTCACCCACCAGCAATTTACCAAGCAATGGTATCGACGGGGCACTTTGTTAGGCTCTGTGGGGGTAGACACAGGAGCACAGTCTCTGCTGTGAGGACCCTTCTGTCAAGTACTCAAGGCCTCATCCTTAGACACTCACTCTCCTCAGCCACACTCCCAACCAGTGCATGCACCTGGTAGAAATGGCTTTATTCATTTTTAGCTTACAGGCTGTTCTTGGAAAATGGATGAAGACAGGAAGTACAGGTTTAAGAAAATAAAGCTGCTCTAACAGACCCTTCATCCCCCTCACCAAGACATCCTGTTTATTTTTTTCTGCCTCATACCTCTGCTTGATCTGGACTCTCTGCATCTGCCTGGAGATAACACAGGCATCTTGGGAGTAGATGACAAATTCATGCTAAGGACTGCCAAGCAGAAGAAAAATAAAAAGAGATGGCATCATGGAACAGCCATGTTAACCTCAGTCTACCTCTAAATTTCTATTTACACAGGAAAGACAAAACGGCTGACTTATTTAAGCTACTGCTTCTCAGGGTTCTTTTCTAGCTGAACGTAATTCATAAGAGCTGCATGGAGGTCCCAAGGGCAGTGGCTCCCAAATGGTGGTGCTGGTTGGTTCATGAAATTTTCACTGGTCTTGGCTAGGTGAGAAAAAATTAAGTCAGTCAGTTTTCCATACAGCTAAATTTATCAAGTTTTTAGTACTAAGATTATGCCCCTCCAGATTATTTGATATTATAATGTCCTTTCTTCTCTAAAGATAATGGTGCTAACTGACAATGCCAGCTGTGTCTAAAATCCTTGCTTAAAAATTAAATCCTGGCAATTTACTATAGAATCTCTAAACATATTTTTGGAAAAATTTACCAGTGATACCGACTTAAAAGTACTTGGTAGCTTGTAGTCCCAGCAACTTGGGAAGTTGAGGCGGGAGGGGTTTGAGGCTGCAGTAGGCTATGATGGTGCCACTGCACTCCAGCCTGGGGGGCAGAGCAAGACAAAAAAAAAAAGTACGTAGTAATAGTAACTAAATTCCTCCTCAGATGGAGAAGACTCAGGGGACACAAAACAGCTGTCTTCAAATATCTGAAGGGAATCAGACTTGTTCTGTGAGGCCCAGGGGCAGAGCTAAGACCATCCAGTGATGGCTGCTGAGGCACTTCTGACCCAAGAGGCCATTCAAAGGAGGAAATGCTGTCTGGAGAGTGCTGGATGCTGGTAGCCACCGAGCAGTGATCACTGGACTTTAAGATCCAGGAGATCAGGGAGCTTCTCTGTTCTGTTCACTGTTCTAGCCCCAGTACCTACCATAGTACCCAGCACATAGTAGATGCTCAGAATATATTTGTGGCTTAATTAATGGGGGGATATTCAGCATTTGATGGGAGGTTTGTCAAGGTGATGTTAAGCTCATTGTAGCCTGATTTGCGTGTTTCCTTTACCTGCCTGGTCAAAATACGTCTTTGTAGCTATCTCAGAAACACATAGTGAACTTTGTCTGGAAGAGGATGATATGGTTTGGCTCTGTGCCGCCACCCAAATCTCATCTTGCATTGTACTCTTGTGGTGGGGACCCAGTGAAAGATACTTTGAATCATGTGGGTGGTTCCCCCCATTACTGTTCTCATGGTACTGAATAAGTCTCACGAGATCTGATGGTTTATCAAGGGGTTCCGCTTTTGCATCTTCCTCATTTTCACTTGCTGCTGCCATGTTAAGAAGTGCCTTTTGGCCGGGCGCGGTGGCTCATGCCTGTAATCCCAGCACTTTGGGAGGCCGAGGTGGGTGGATCACGAGCTCAAGAGATCGAGACCATCCTGGTCAACATGGTGAAACCCCGTCTCTAATAAAAATACAAAAAATTAGCTGGGCATGGTGGCGTGTGCCTGTAATCCCAGCTACTCAGGAGGCTGAGACTTTTTCTTTTTGTCTTTAAGAAAAGGTCTCACTTTGTCACCTAGGCTGGAGTGGCTCACTGCAGCCTCAACCTCCAGGTTCAAGTGATCCTCCCACGTGTGCCTCTCGAGTAGCCGGGACTACTGGCGTGCGCCACTATACCCAGCTAATTTTTTGTATTTTTTTTTTTTTTGCAGAGTCAGGGTTTTACCATGTTGCCCAGACTGCTCTTAACTCCTGGGCTCAAGAAATCCTCCTGCCTTGGGCTCCCAAAGTGCTGGGATTAGAGGCATGAGCCACAGCTTCTGGCCAAATGTGTTCTAAAACTCATTTTAGAATGTTCCATTCTTACAAGAGGAAAAAATCAGATGTCCATTTTAGCTCACACATCATAACAGCAAGCACATTCAATCAGATTCTCAGCACAGACAAACCATCAGGGAGAAACTTGAGGTCAAAGTCACAAAACGCAGACACAGACATCATGTGAGGTATTTATTTTGCAACCATTAGGTTCAGTGGTCCAGTATCAGGTTACCAAAGACACATTTTCAAGCTCCCGTTAAATCCCCACCAAAGTTTCTATTGTTTGCCTACTTTAAGATGGCTAGCATTTGGAGAGAAGATCCCCCAGGTAGTCTGTACATAATTCAGAGACAGGACATCAGAACTTAGCATGGGTCTGTTTCAGGTATTAAGGTACCTACAATGAAGCATGTCATTTGGCTACGGGTGGCAACAGGACAGCACTGAGCATGCCTAACCCGTTTCCCGGCATTTCAGTCCAATCAACACATGGTCACAATGGTCATCCATGGGTGAAAACGAAGAGCTGAAAGACACATGTGCTAAGCAACATTTAATTTCTGCTTGTTAAACGGGTGATTAGGTGCCAGTGTGGCAACATCCAGACACTGGGAGTTTGTGCCACTCCATCAGTTCTCCTGCTGGCTCTGCTCATTTTGCTTTCCTGCAGTGGATGCCACTTCCCAAAGAACCATGCTCCAAAAAGCAAAAGAGAACTGAAAAACAAAAAGAGCAACTTTAAAGATAAAGAGCCCCCTCCTCCCACAGGAAAGCACTACATTGCTACATTGTAGAAAAGGATATCCATGTACAGTTAGAGGTATAACTCCAACACCAGAGCAGTCTGCTGCCACCAATTCTCCAATTCTTGAGCCTCGGGCCTGATTTTGATGCTCAAAGTAGACCTTACTGTTGGAAGAAAGATGCTGCTTTCAAAAGTTTTCTTGGGCCAGGCGCGGTGGCTCACGCCTGTAATCCCAGCACTTCGGGAGGCCGAGGCAGGTGGATCACGAGGTCAAGAGATAGAGACCATCCCGGTCAATATGGTGAAACCCATCTCTACTAAAAATACAAAAAATTAGCTGGGCACGGTGGTGCGTGCCTGTAATCCCAGCTACTTAGGAGGCTGAGGCAGGAGAATTGCCTGAACCCAGGAGGCGGAGGTTGCGGTGAGCCGAGATCATGCCATTGCACTCCAGCCTGAGTAACAAGAGCGAGTAACTCCATCTCAAAAAAAAAAAAAGTTTTCTTCTATTTCCTTGGAAACCCAATGACCCTCTCCAAGTCAAATCCCAAAGCTACCTTCACCCATCCTTCTCTCTGTCTATTCTCCATGACAGCACTGTATTAAGCACTAGAGGAGGAAAGACAGAGTGGATATGGAGGGACTTAAAGAGCTGGGACCTGGAAAACTGCGGTAGTTGAAACATAAGGTTATACGGGAGATAATGTCAGGATATGAGGCAGGACAAATAAATCAGGGGTAGATCGTGGCAATACAGGGGATACGATTTTGTTCTCTGGGCAATATGGGGCCAAAAAAAGTTTCTAAGTAGGGACACAGTCAAAGTGGTGGTCAGAATTATAAATTTTCAAAGACCCCTGTGGCTGTGTATAGGCTGAATTGGAAGAAGAAAAAGAAAAGAGGTGGAAAAAGCCATCATGTTACTGCTACAGTTCAAATATGAAATGACTGGTCTGAACACTGGGTTTGGTAATGACAGGACAGAGTCGAAAGATACTTTAGAGGCAGAAAGGACAAGTCTTGCTGACTAATACAATGTGGAAGGTGATGGGGGAATCTATAATCTACCCTGATGCTGAGGTTTCTACCTTGAGTGACTGGATGGATTTCTTAATCAGTCTAACAAATATTAAGGACACATATGCCAGGGACTGGGTACAGTTATGAACAAGACATGGTCCAACTGTCAAGGAACCAGTCTACCAAGAGAAGCAACAGGGCAAACAAATACAGAAAATATTTATTTAATTACAATCTTAACTTGCCAGGTAAGGATGTAACAAAGAATTGAATCTACTCTGCAGTCAGGGACAATATAAATGGTGGTGCCATTCCCTGAGACAGGAAATCATGAGGAGGATCTGGTTGTAGTGGGGATGAGTATAGTCTGGGACGTTATGAATTTGAGGCAACTGTCAATATACCTCGCTGGGGATTTGCAAGAGATGGAAACTTGGAAAGAGGAGCTGGACATAGAGTGAAATCCAAGGGAGACTAAAAAATATGGTGGAGAATAAGTTCCTAATGCATAGCCTTGTACTTGGGAGAATGAGCCAGGCCTCCTTGGAGATATTAACTGGGCAATACTACATTCAGATGTCAGCATTTGATGATATCATGAAGGTAAGGCTGAGGCAAGGGCTATCTGCCCAAGTCTACTGGCTCAAGAAAAGAGAAACACTGCCAAAAAAAATACCTGTGAAAAGTGGCTGGAGAAGGGCAGATGCTGTAATTTGCTGGAGTGAAAGAATCTAAAGCCCTGATCAGCCTTTTAGTAACCATCAACTTGGGTTCTGAAATGCTAATTAAAGGTAGGGACAAACGGGCACACAGAGCAAGCATTGAAGATTTTATTTTCATAAACATATACTCTGTTTTTCTCTCATCTTTCTAGTTGTCTGTTCCAAATTAATGTCAAGGCTAGGGAAGGCATGTCTCAGAATGTATCCCATTATTAAGCAATGCATGACTATAACTGGAGGCTCCCCTGTGATCCTGAGGTTCCAGGGAGAGAAGAGGTTCTCCCAGGAATGTGTTCTAAGCTAAGCCTTCCAATGCTCTCCTGGGAATGTGCTCTAGGCTGTTTTCCAATACACAGATTTACATGGGGAAGGCAAGTTACTGGTGAAATTAGAAGCCATTATTTTGGGATAGGCGGCGGCGGCGGCGGCGGCGGCGGCGGCGGCTGCGGCGGGTCGGGGTGAGAGGCTGAGGGGATCTGGCGGCGGAGCACTAGGATCAGACGCCCCCGCGATGACCAGCTCCCCCGTCTCCAGAGTCGTGTACAACGGCAAGAGGACCAGCAGCCCCCGCTCCCCGCCCAGCAGCAGCGAGATCTTCACCCCTGCCCACGAGGAGAACGTGCGCTTCATTTACGAAGCCTGGCAGGGTGTGGAGCGAGACCTGCGCAGCCAGGTGCCAGGTGGTGAGCGGGGCCTGGTGGAGGAGTACGTGGAGAAGGTCCCTAACCCCAGCCTGAAGACCTTCAAGCCCATTGACCTGAGCGATCTGAAGCGCCGGAGCACTCAGGATGCCAAGAAGTCCTAGAGAACCCGGTGCCCCTCCACGGCCTCTGGAAGATCAGGGTGCCAGGTGTCGGTTCCCTCCTGGCCCTTGGCCCTGCACCTGGGATGGGGGTTCTTGCTCCAGCAGGCTACAGACCCCAGGACCAGTGTGACTGATGGCTGAGGCCTGCCCCTCCTCTCCAAGCCCCCTTCCTTCCTCTTGGGGGTCTCAAGCTGCCCCCATCATGGGGGTCTGGGCCCTGCCTACCTTCCCACCCTCCCCCAGCCACCTGGCTGCATCTTTGAAGCTGCCTGGCCCCGAGGGGACCTGACCTGACCTCTCCTCTCCCTTCACCCCTCTGTCCCTGGCTACTGCAGGATCAGGAGGGGAGAAGAATGAGCCTCTGTTGCCCCCCAGGCTGCTGAGACTGGGCTAGTTTTGTCTTTGAAGTGGCCAGTACACAGGACAAGGGCAGCCCCACCTCATCCAACTTGGGTCCCCCGAAGACCCTTGCTGCTCCTGTGGCCTGGACATGCTGGGGAGTTTCTCACCCCCACCCCCATCATCTAGCCTGGCCCCTTCCCTGACTTAGCACCAGCTCCCTGGGCCTAGGATACTGCCCGGCCCCCAAAGGGGTCCCCAGCAATCAGGCCTGGCCTCCTGGTGTCTGCAGCCACAGTGTCCCCGTGGGCATGTGCACCCAGGCTGACCCTGAGGTGCTGCTACTGGGTCTATCCTGGCTCGGGGGTGTGCTGGGAGGGTCACCAGGGCCCCTTTTTCTTCCTGTGCCCTCTGAAAGCCAAGTGTCTGTGTGGCTGTGGAGTGTGAGGGTCTGTGAATAAAGGCAGTGGAACTGGGAAAAAAAAAAAAAAAGAAGCCATTATTTTTCAGCAAATGCTGGGAGTCCAGAGATGACAGTAGAAGGCACAGCCAACTTGTAAATCTGCAGCACTCAGGGCTCTGGACAGTTTCTCTATCAGCAAAGCAACTGATGCTTCTGTCAGGCAGGCTGCAAAGAAGCTGTTCATCACTACCTCATCTGGAGACTTGACACCCAAATGGAAGCACTAACACTCAAGTTTATAGGTCTGAGCAAAGTCCCGAGGTGTCGAATCTGTGTAAACCTGGATGTGAAGTTTTCAAGGGCCCTGAGGGCCAGGCTCTCCTCAGATGCTGCTACGACTCCCTGAAGGTCTTTACTACCAAAATGAAATGAAGTAACCCAAGTCCTAGCTCAGGGGCAGGTTGAGAGAGACCCTCACCATGGCGATGCCAGTACTTTGGGCCAAGAGAGAGACCCAGGAAACTGTTGCCATTGTATTCTCTACCTCTGTCCCTCTCCAGCTGCGCTAGAATTTTCTTGTTCTCAGTGATGTGAGTCCACATCGTGTTATCATGCCCCCTGTACAGCCTAGGTCTTCAGCTGCCCAAAAGCCAAGGGAAGCAGACTACTCTTTCCAGAACAGCTAACTGACTGTGCTCAACCTTCATGACCCAGTTCCAACAAGATCCCCTCTATGAAGCTTCCCTCCAGGCCAACTCCAACTGAGTCCCTACCTTCCTGGTCCCATAATGCTACACTGACAACTTGGCTATGCCATTTAAAGCTTTAATAATTCCTATATGGATTGACAACAGTATATGCAAATACTTCAAATACATACATATCACTAGTTTGTGCTGTGACAGAGACTCTAAAGTGGCCTCCAGTGATCCCCACCTGTCTCTAGGCATTCATGCCCTTGTGTAATTCCCTTCCCTAGAAGGTAGGTGAGACCAGTGACTTGCTTCTAATCAACAGAAGATGGCAAAGGTGATGACCATCTCTTCCATGTTTATATTATACAGGACAGCAACTTCCATCTCACTATCAGACTTGATTGTCTCTCTCTCCCTTTATGGCTTGATGAAGTAAGTGATCATACGGAGAGGCTCATGTGGCAAGGAAGCGAGGGTGGTCTCCAAATGCCTGTCAGCAAGAAAGCCCTCCTTCTAAGAAACCACAGGAACTAAATCCTGCCAACAACCTTGTGAATTGGGAAGCAGATCTTTTGCCAGTCTAGATTTCAGGTGAGACGCCAGCCCTGGCCAACATTTTGACTGCAGCCTTGAGAGAGAATCTGAAGTAGAAGAGCAAGCTAAGCTATGCCCAGAGTCCTGCCCCACAGCAACTGTGACAATGTGTACTGTGGTAATGTCACTTGGCACCAGCAGATAATACAGCACTCAAACTCTCAGCTGTTAAGATATGCAATCAAAGGAGTATGGAGTCTGCTATTAAATAACCCTAGACCCACAGAGGAAGGCTCCATCAAACAGCCAAAGGCTAGCAGTGAGAACCTGCACATTTTAGCAGTATAAAGAACATTTGTCTAAAAAAATGGGAAAGTGAAAAACCTCAAAATTTGGCTCCCCAAGGCTTAGATAGGAGTCCCAGGTCTGCCTCTAAGAGGCAGGTGATCTTAAGATGTACTAAGATGTACTAGGCCCAGGCTTCTCATCTATACATACAATGTGGTCAATAGGGCCAAGCACGGGGGCTCCCGCCTATAATCCCAGCACTTTGGGCGGCCGAGGCTAGCGGATCACGAGGTCATGAGTTCAAGACCAGACTGCCCAATATGGTGAAAACCTGTCTCTACTAAAAAAACAAAAAATACGAAAATTAGCTGGGCATTGTGGCTCATGCCTGTAATCCCAGCTACTTGGGAGGCTGAGGTTGCAGTGAGAGAACTGCTTGAACCAGTACCCGGGAGGTGGAGGTTGCAGTGAGCAGAGATCGTGTCACTGTACTCCAGCCTGAGCTACAGAGGGAGACTCCATTTAAAAAAAAAAAAAAATGTAGCCGGGTGCGGTGGCTCACGTCTGTAATCCCAACACTTTGGGAGGCCGAGGCGGGTGGATCACGAGGTCAAGAGATAGAGACCATCCTGGTCAACATGGTGAAACCCTGTCTCTACTAAAAATACAAAAAAATTAGCTGGGCATGGTGGTGCGTGCCTGTAATCCCAGCTACTCAGGAGGCTAAGGCAGGAAGATTGCCTGAACCCAGGAGGCGGAGGTTGCAGTGAGCCGAGATCGCACCATTGCACTCCAGCCTTGGTAACAAGAGCAAAACTCCGTCTCAAAAAAAATAAAAATGTGGTCAATAAGGCTGGTAAGAGTGGCCAATGAGAGAGTAAACTAGAAAATGTTTTGTCGCCAGATGCAGTGGCTCACACATGTGATCCTAGCACTTTGGGAGGCCGAGGTAGGCGGATCACCTGAGGTCAGAAGTTCGAGACCAGCCTGACCAACATGGAGAAACCACGTATCTACTGAAAATACAAAAAATTAGCTGGGCATGGTGGCGCATGCCTGTAATCCTAGCTACTTGGGAGGCTGAGGCAGTAAAATGGCTTGAACCTGGGAGGTGGAGGTTGCAGTGAACCGAGATCATGCCACTGTACTCCATCCTGGGCAACAAGAACAAAACTCTGTCTAAAAAAAAAAAAAAAGAAAGAAAGTATTTTGTCAAATGGAATGCGACAGATACACGTTAGTTTGCCCCAGAGCTCTGAGGTAGTCTTGGATAAGGTGCTGTTCTCCCTTGGCCTCAGCTTCCTTACTGCAAAATGAGGAAGGAAGCCCATGCTATTTAATGTCTCCAAGGGCTCTGACCTTCTTTGATTCTAACATTACATATCCGTGAGGAGAGAGGAAGAGGGGAAAGTGGTAGACTATATCATTTTACAATAGTTGTCCAGTCACTCTACTGGCCAGTGTGACTGTCTTACCATCAAGGAACTGGAAGGCATTTGACCAGTCATATCTAGTTAGCCTGCAGGGCCTACAACCTGGATTCCTCAATTAAGAGGGAAAATCCCCATTTGTTTTACAAAAAGAAAAAAAAGGATCAAGGTAAAGTCAGTGGAAACCACCGAATTTCAGTAGAAATGACTGATGTACTCTCAGAGGGGCAGTAGCTTTGATTTTATTGCTGAGCATCTTAATTATGTGCCAGAAGGTTTTATAAAAATAATCTCCAATCTTATATAGGTTGCATCATCTTTATTTTAAAGACAAGTTAGCTGAGGCTCAAAGAGAGTAAGCCCCTCATCCAAGGCACATTGCTAGTACATGGTAGGGCTGGGATTTATCATTATTATTATTAGAGACAGGTTCTCTCCCTATCATCCAAGCTAGAGTGCAGTGGCACAATCACAACTCACTTTAATCTCCATCTCCTAGGCTCAAGTGATCCTCTGATCCTCTGACTTCCTGACTAACTGGGACTACAGGAGCATGCCACCATGCCCAGCTAATTTTATATATATATTTTTTTGAAACAGAGTCTTGCTCTTTCACCAGGCTGGAGTGCAGTGGCACGATCCTGGCTCACTGTAACCTCTGTCTCCCAGATTCAAGCGATTCCTGTCTCAGCCTCCTGAATAGCTGGGACTACAGGTGCGCACTACCACGCCCAGCTAATTTTTTGTATTTTAGTAGAGACGGGATTTCACCATGGCCAGGATGGTCTTGATCTCCTGACTTCATGATCTGCCCACCTCAGCCTCCCAAAGTGCTGGGATTACAGGTATGAGCCACTGCACCCAGCCAATTTTTTATATTTTTTGTAGAAATGGGGTTTTGTTGTATTGCCCAGGTTGGTCTCAAACTCCTAAGCTCAAGTGATCTGCCTGCCTCAGCCTCCCAAAGTGCTGGGATTATAGGCGTGAGCCACTACATCCAGCCTGGAATTTATTTATTTATTATTATTTTTTGAGACAGAGTCTCACTCTGTCACCCAGGCTAGAGTGCAATGGCGTGATCTTGGCTCACTCCAACCTCCACCTCCTGGGTTCAAGCAATTTTCCTGCCTCAGCCTCCCGAGTAGCTGGGACTGCAGGTGTGTGCCACTACACCTGGCTAATTTTTTATTTTTAGTAGAGATGGGGTTTCACCATGTTGGTCAGGATGGTCCTGAACTCCTGACCTCTGGTGATCCACCCGCCTTGGCCTCCCAAAGTGCTAGGATTATAGGCATAAACCACTGCACCCTGCTCCAGCCTGGGATTTAATTTTAATTTTATTTAAGTCTAAGCCCCTGGTTTTTGCACATATCTTATGGCTCTGGGAGACAGAAGCTTGGGCAGAAAAGACAGTCTGTGATTACAAAGCAAAGTAAAGGTTCTTGGCCTACAGCAGGATCATGTGCAGAGTGTGGGTTCATTTATCCATGCCACAAACATTTACTGAGTGCCCTATGTATACCAGGTTATGTGGTAGGCAATGAAGATATAGAGTAATACCATTCCTTGTTCTTGTGGAGCTGAGTCTAACTGGGGAGACCCTGTCGTACAGAGGACAAATGAATGAATAAATAGCCAAATGACTGGACAGGCAGATGGACACACAATCAGTCAGCCATTAGTGTTTCAAGCACCATGAGAGTGATGTTTAATACAAAGTGTAATGGGATCACCAGATAAGTGATAAGACCAGACAAATGGCCAGGTGCGGTAGCTCATACCTGTAATCCCAGCACTCTGGGTGGCCAAGGCAGGTGGATCACCTGAGGTCAGGAGTTCGAGACCAGCCTGGCCAATATGGTGAAATCCCATCTCTACTAAAAATACAAAAGGGTGTGGTGGCACATGCCTATAATCCCAGTTACTTGGGAGGCTGAGGTGGGAGAACTTGTTGAACCCAGGAGGCAGAGGCTGCAGTGAGCCAAGATCATGCCACTGCACTTCAGCCTGGGCTACAGAGACCCTATCTCAAAAAAAAAAAAGGAAAAGACCAGACAAGTGATGGCAATCAGAAGGGAAGAAACATTTCAGACAACTGGAATGGCAAGTGCAAAGGCATAACATGTTTGGCTATGGCAAGATGTTCCATTTGGCTGCAGCCTTGGTACACTGAGGAGGTAGAACAAACCATGGGAGATAAGGAACAAACCATGAAGTGGGTCTTTTTCCTATCCTCTAACCCACCGAGCTAACCATTGACAGTGGAATCATTAAAGAGGCCCTGAGAACACACAAGCCATAAAAATTTGAGAACTCCATGAGTAATTCAAAAAGGGTCACACTCAAGTTCTGAGGCCAGTATGAGATGTCACAGAGACACTAGAAAAAAACCCACCAGGATTGTTATAAAATGGAACAAACCCATATTGTGCTCCAGGAAAGGGTTCAGGGGAGGAGAAGAGAGTCTTCTCTGCTGGGATCAAAAGCAGGTGCTCCTCTTATAGAAGAAACTAAGAGCTCATGTTATCCAACTCTATGAAGTCAGTATCATGCAGATTTCAAATCTGAAGCCTTAATAAGAGGAACACAGAAACACAGACATGCACATGCACAATCCCACACTGAGCTGTGCAGAAGGATAAAAGGGTCTGGCCCTCTGTGCTTGAAGCTAACAGCAACAGAATGGAAACACCTGCCCATGTTTTACAGCACCACACAGCAAGATAAAAATATCATCTCTTACTTTCCTCATTAGCTGGACTTGGCTGCAGCAACCGTTTGGTTTGGAATAGCTGCAGTTGTTGGGAGATGGTCCATCTCTGGTGCATCGAAAAAGTATGCCTGTGGGAAAAGGAGAGCCGGGAGGGAGTTAAAAAAAACAATGGTCTGCGTAAGTGTTCTTTTAGACCCCATGCTAATAGTACTTTCCGGCTCTCGCGACCCTTAAGTTCCCTACCATGCTTGCCATCACACTAAACTACAACCATCTCTTTTTACGTTTGTCTCACTAAATTGAGTACTTTAAAAAATTTAACTACCATGTATTGAGCACTTACTACATTACGTGACTTACTCTTTTTTTTTTAATTGAGCACATACTATGTGCTCAGCCTTTTACGTATGTTACTTTTTTTTTTTTTTTGAGAAGAAGAAGGGGAAAAAAAGAAAAAGAGGGAAAAAGGAATATTACTTCATTCCTAAAATGGGTTTCAATAATGGCCGATCAATATTTTGAGTGTTTAAAGTGGTTAATGCATATTTTATGTGTTTAAAATGGAGACCTCTATTGTGTTTATTTGTTCTGGCTCTGAGTTCAAGTCCTGGATATCGTTATCAATTTGTTGTCTCGTTGAATCTAAATCTCATTATGGGTCTTATGTATCTGGGTGTTAAGATCTCTTATTATTACATTAATCCTTTTATCCTTGTAGCTTTGAAATCTATTTTGTCAAATGTGAAAATTGCAACTCCTGCTTTTTATTTATTTATTTTTGCTCTCCATTTGGTTGGTACTTTTTTTTTCCAACCCTTTATTTTGAGTCTATGTATATCTTTGGATATACTGTTAGATTTTGTCTGTATCTTTTGATTGGGAGATTTGGTCGATTTAAATTTAGCGTTGCTGCCGTTTGATATTAACTGGCTATTTTGTCCTTTTGTTGATAAAAATTCTTTTATGTTAATGCTCTTTACTTTTTGGTGTATTTTTAGAACGGGTCATACTGGTTGTTCCTTTCTGTGTATAGTGCTTCTTTTAGAAGTTCTTGTAAAGCAGGCCTGGTGGTAATAAAATCTCTGAGTACTTGCTTGTTCCTAAAAAATTTTATTTTTCCTTCAAATGTAAAGCTTAAATTGGCAGGATATGAAATTCTGGGCTGAAAGTTCTGTTGATTAAGTATATTGAATATCGGCCCCCACTCTCTTCTAGCTTGTAGGGTTTCCGTTGAGAGATCTGCTGTAAGCCTAATAGGCTTACCTTTATGGGTAACTTGATCTTTCTCTCTGGCTGCCCTTAATATTTTCTCCTTCGTTTCGATCTTGGTGAATCTAACGATTATGTGCCTTGGGGTTGGTCTTCTTGAGGAATATCTTTGTGGTGTTCTCTGTATTGCCTGGGGTTGAATAGTGTCCTGCTTTGCTAAATTAGGAAAATTTTCCTGGATAATGTCCTGGAGAGTATTTTCCAGCTTGACTTCATTCTCTCCGTCGCATTCAGGTACACCAATCAAGCGTATATTAGGTCTTTTCACATAGTCCCATATTGCTTGGAGACTTTGCTCATTCCTTTTTATCCTTTTTTCTCTATTCTTGTCTTGTTGTTTTGTTTCATTAAGTTGATCTTCGACCTCTGATACCCTTTCTTCTGCTTGATCCATTCGGCTGTTTAAGCTTGTACATATTTCACTAAGTTCTCGTGTTGTATTTTTCAACTCCATAAGTTCATTTGTATTCCTCTCTATATTTTCTATTCTTTTCAACATTTCATCTAACCTTTTTTCCAAGTTCTTAGTTTCTTTACATTGGGTTAGAACGAGTTCCTTTAACTCCCAGAAGTTTCTTATCATCCACCTTTTAAAGCCTACTTCAGATAATGGAACACAGTCCTTTTCCATCAAGGCTTGTTCGGTTGCTGATGAGTCCTTTTCCATCAGGGCTTGTTCCGTTACTGATGAGTCCTTTTCCATCAGGGCTTGTTCCGTTGCTGATGGGTTCTGATTTTGAGTATACTAGGCCTTCTTAGGCTGTTTTTTTCCCTTCATTGTAGATGACCCGCCTTTCTAATTAGTTTTCTGAGTCGACGTCCGACTTATTGATTCCCAGTGTTGGGATCCGAGCAACCCACTGTGGCAGCCTAAATAGCAGCGGTAAGACTGATGGTGCTCTTCTGCCCGGGAATCTCTGGTCTGGCTTCCCTCTTGAGTCCGCAACAAGCGGCTCTGACTTCCCGGAGCTCCAAACTCCGGTCAGTAGGGGAAGCAGTCCCGTTGGCTCTGCATGAAGAGCTGCTGCGCCGAGACGCTGGCAAAACCGCTGCGGCGGCCACAAGAGTCGCGCTGGCGACCCGTGGGGCTCCTCCACTGGGAATCGGCTGATCGGTGAGTGACGAAAATTTGTCTAAAAGTGTGGCGTCGTCTCGTTCTCTGGGCTTTCACTGGGAGCTACAATCCTGAGCTGTTAGTGGTCGGCCATCTTGGATCGATCTCCCCGACTTACTCTTAAGAACCCTGTGAGGTTGTTATGATTATCCTCATTAGACAGATAAATACACTAAGCCTCAGAGAGACTGTCATTTGATCAGGTGAACATGGCTAATGAGTGATGAAGCCAAGACTCAAAGCTAGGTCTGTCTGACTCCAAAGCACAAGCTCCTAATCACTACATTATGTAGTCTTCCCTCCAGGTCAAAGTCTGTATCCTTCTTCATTTTTTTTTTTTTTTTTTTTTTTCAGATAGTCTCACTCTGTCGCCAAGGCTGGAGTGCAGTGGCACAATCTCAGCTCACCACAACCTCCACCTCCTGGATTGGTGATTCTCCTGCCTCAGCCTCTGGAGTATCTGGGATTACACACATACACCACCATGCCCAGCTAATTTTTGTATTTTTAGTAGAGATGGGGTTTCACCAGGTTGGTCAGACTGGACTTTAACTCCTGATCTCGTGATCTGCCCACCTCGGCCTCCCAAAGTGCTGGGATTACAGGTGTGAGCCACCACACCCGGCCCTTCTTCCTCTTTGTGTCACCAGCACCCCTGCACAGAGCCTGACACACTACATAACCAATCAATACCTAATAAACTGAACTACATTAGCTTGTTGCTAAACTAGTTAGTTGGCTTTAGGCAAGGACCTTGAAAAGAAAGTGTTAGGTGTGCTTTACCTAAAAATTCTTCCACTAGAAGAGGTTTGGTAAGTACTTCCACTCACCATCTACAATGTAACTGTCAAAATTGAGAATAAGGTGGAGGAGGGAAGACATAAGGAGAATCTTTCCACCTGTCTCAAGGTCTAGAGAAACCTAACTTGAGCCCAGGAAAATACCAATCTCACTAGCTTTGAATACTGGTTGTTCAAAGGAAAGGTGAATCATCAAGGCCCACTGAACGCTCATGACATCCCCTTGGGGTCAGTGCCCTTAGGAAGGCACACTGTTAGAAAGCCACCAAGGGCCAGGTGTGGTGGCTCACACCTGTAATCCCAGCACTTTGGGAGGCTGAGGTGGGCAGATCACCTGAGGTCTGGAGTTCGAGACTAGCCTGACCAACATGGAGAAACCTTGTCTCTACTAAAAATACAAAATTAGTAGTGTATGGTGGTGCATGCCTGTAATCCCAGCTACTTTGGAGGCTGAGGCACAGGAGAATTGCTTGAACCCAGGAGGCGGAGATTGCAGTGAGCCAAAATTGTGCCATTGCATGCCAGCAGGGGCAACAAGAACAAAACTCCGCCTCAAAAAAAAAAAAAAAGCCACCAAGCACCACTTTTCACCAGTTCTGCTCTATACCAGCCAGAAGGTGGCACCAACATGACATGCTGGAGCTCTCCCCTTACCTGTTGCTATTCCATATTAACTCTTTTTGAAACTTCCCAGATGATGCCTTTCTCTGCAGACTCCCTCTAGTTTGCCACATTCCCAGAGCAATTCCATTACTTTTAAGAGACTCGTGGGAGGGGGAGGTGGGGAGGGATAGCCTGGGGAGAAATGCCAAATGTGGGTGAAGGGGAGAAGGAAAGAAAAGCACACTGCCATGTGTGTTCCTACGCAACTGTCTTACATGCTCTGCTCATGTACCCCAAAACCTAAAATCCAATAAAAAAATTAAAAAAAAAAAAAAAAAAAAAAAGAGACTCACTACCTAGGAACCCTTCCAGCAGCTGTTTTCTGGGGCAAGGAACAAAGAGTCCCTAACTTAAGTGGGGGATGGGGCTGCAGTGCTAAGTGCTGGGCTCCTCCAGTTCTCCTACAGGTGCACTGTGCCACAGCCAGGATGCAGGAACAAAGCCTTTCTTCCAGGCTACCGCAGGACACCCTTGTAAGACAGAATGAACAAAAAGGCCCACGTTCTACAGCTGGCTCTGCTACTACCTCATGCTGTGACTTCGGACAAGTTGTTCCACCCACTATAGCCTCAGCTTTCTGATCTATACAATTTAATGATTAGAAAAGACTATCTTAACTGGGTGTGGTGCCTCACACCTGTAATCCCAGCACTTTGGGAGGCCAAGGCGGGTGGATCACTTGAGGCCATGAGTTCAAGACTAGCCTGGCCAACATGGTGAAAGCCCATCTCTACTAAAAATATAAAAATTAGCCAGGCTAATGGTGGCACATGCCTGTCATCTCAGCTACTCAGGAGGCTGGGGGATAAGAATCGCTTGAGGCCAGGAGGTGGAGGTTGCAGTGAGCTGAGATCACACTGCTGCACTCCAGCCTGGGTGACAGAGGGAAACTCTTGTCTCAAAAAAGAAAAGATGATCTCTTAGGGCTATTCCTTGAACAATCTTGAATCTAAGATTCGTTAATTCCACAAATGCTTACAACAATCACAGCCATCATTTGGGGAGTACCTACTGTGTACCAGGCACATAATTGATTATTAATCTGCTCAAATATGCTGTAACAGGCCATTTTATCCCTTTTAAGGGTGAGAAAGTTGAGGCTCAAAGACATGGAGATTTTCCCAAGGCTAGACAGCTATGTGTCTGAGCTAGGATTTCAATCCAGTCGAGTCCATCTACACTGGAGCATCTCCAGTCTGTGCTCTTCTAATTCTCCAACACATCCTGCAGCTTGGCGCCAAGTCTATGTCCAGTCCAGATCTAGGCACCATAGAGACCTCGAAGCTGAATCAGCAGCTCTCTGCAAGTAGGGGTAGGGCACAGTTTCCTGGAAAAGCCAGCAGTAACCACCTCAAACTTAGGCTTGTACATCTCCAAACATACACCAAGGATGCAGCCTCTGGGTGCTTCCTTAGTCATCCCTGCCGGATGTGTTCTGGTATAACTTAGCTATGTACAATCACTGAGGGGCCCCTGGCAGGTATGGGGCTGTCATATGCTTCATAGCACTAAGGCAAAAACACCAGTCTGTATTCCGCAGGAGAGAGTGAGAAAGCCAAGCTGTCTGGTTCAGCTGGTGCCCCTCAGCTCAAATAACTCCCTGCCAGTTCCTCTCTCTGCCCTAACAATAATAATAGTGTCTTCCACTTAATGACTGGTCATATTTTCCATGCTGCATGTATCATTCAATCCTTGCAATAGTAAAGATGCTGCCATGGCATGCCCGATCAGCTCCTGTTTCTAAGTGAAGAGTCCAGAGAAGGGGTAGGGCACAGTTTCCTGGAAAAGCCAGCAGTAACCCCTTCCAGAGAAGGGGAAATCACCCAAGCAGGGGGTAGTGGAGCTGGGACTGGAACCCAAGTTTCCTAACTTCTGGCTCAGCTCTCAGAAGAAAAAGGAGGGTGTGGTCACTGTGGAGAACAAAACCCAGGCACGGTAGGCCCCTGGTTGGACACCTGACCACGGGATGTGGTAGGTAGAGACAGTGTTTCACCATGTTGCCCAGGCTAGTTTCAAACTTCTGAGCTCAAGAGATCTGCCTGCAACTTCCTCCCACAGTGCTGGGATTACAGGCATGCGCTACCATGCCCAGCCTGAAATGGGTTCTTAATAATAACCATAATAGCTCCCTGCTCCACTGTTCAATCTGCCCTGCTCCTATTCCTTAGAGAAATGAGAAAGGCAATGCCTATTCTCCTGCTTTCTTCTCTTCACCAATATCTGTCAGGTGCGTGAGGGGAAGAACTTCAGAAGAGAGATGGGGGATGCTGGTGAGGGATGAGAGATCCCAGTGAGAGCTGGTTACAATGAAAAGGTTGTTCTTCAGCAGAGAGAAAGGTCCCAGAAGAGTCATGGCAGCATTTTAAAGAATCAACTTGGAGATTCCAAGTGTCAGAAGTTAATAGTGTCATTCTGCCATGAGGCAAACCATAAGGCCCGCCTCCAGGGTTTGAAGCTAGCACACATGTAAAGTGCATGTACACTAGGTTTGTGTTTCACCACTTGGCACTTTTTATGAGACTTGTTTCATGATAAAGCATTGGGATGTCATTAATGCATTTAATGAGACATGGTTATCTACACAAAAATGTTAAACGTCAAATGGTGCCAAAGAAACATTTAATCCTAAAATTTGCAAAACCTGACCAAGGACCGGGAAACCTGCCATGTGGAAAATTCTCGAAGTGCTATAAGACACCTTCCCATGGGCATGGCCTTGCCTTTATTAGCGACCTTAACATTCTTGGACTCTGATCTTTTTCAAAACCTGCAACAGGGTTTGTTAAGGCTGTGGACAGCAAATTTTGTGCACAATGTGTACAGAATATACAAAACCATGTCTCCTTAGGATCAAAGGAAAGGGACCTACTTGATGGGCATTTTAGAGGACAAGTTCTGTTAAGTGCTTTATAGATATTTTATTTGACTCTCAGAACAACTGTGGCAGGAAATATACCCATGTCACAGATTAAGAAATTAAGATTCAGAGAGGAACAGTAACATCTCCAAGTTCACACAGCCAATAAGTGAAGAGCTGGTCTTCAATCTGGGCTTATGTGACTCAAAAGCACATGCTCTCCCGAAAAAGCCACCTAAACACATGAAATCAAACACTGTTTTAAATGTTGTTCACCTTAAAAGTAACTCCACTTTCCCATATCTGACTTCATTTTCAAGTTTTCTAGCTTTAAATTTAAAACTTTTAATTTCTACCTTTAAACTTAAACTTTAAACTTTCTACCTTTAAATAAAATTTTAATCTGGGCAGCAGCTCATGCCTGTAATCCCAGCGTTTTGGGAGGCTGAGGCAGGAAGATCACAAGGTCAGGAGATTGAGACCACCCTGGCCAACATAGCAAATCCCTGTCTCTACTAAAAATATAAAAATTAGCTGGGCGTGGTGGCGTGTGCCTGTAATCCCAGCTACTCCAGAGGCTGAGGCAGGAAAATCACTTGAACCAGGGAGGTGGTGATTGCAGTGAGCTGAGATCGCGCTACTGCACTCCAGTCTGGGTGACAGAGCAAGACTCCGTCTCAAATAAATAAATAAATAAAAACTTTAAATTTCAAAAATCTTTCTAGGTATGTGCAGAAAATCAGCAAAGGCATCCAAAAACAGAATTCTCCAATCCCAGCTCCCTAGGCCTATATAGTCACCCTCCATATCCACAGGCTCAGTCCTCAGGCTCAACAAACCATGAAGAAAAATATTCTTTAAAGATATGTAAGTTAAAAAAAATGACAACAAAATACAAATTTTAAAATACTGTATAATAACTACTTACATAACATTTACATTGTACTAGGTATTATGAGTTATCTAGAAATGATGTAAAGCACATAGGAGGATATGTGTACATCATTTTTATATAGGGGACTTGAGCACCAATGGTTTGGTAGAGGGTCCTGGAACCAACCACACCCCTACAAGCCCAATACTGAGGAACGAATGTATGTAGACACTCATCTACCCGTATTTCCTCTGGTCAGACCCCAAATTCTAACTAGATTACTGAAATTAGGCAAAACCAAAGAATTAAAGTCAAATTCTCATAATTTCACCACTTCCCATGTAGGTGAATCTTTTTAAAATGGTATTTTATTTCATAGAATCTTTTTTTTTTTTTTTGAGACAGGGTCACCCAGGCTGGAGTGCAGAGACATAATCTCAGCTCACTGCAACCCCCACCTCCTGGGCTCAAGCGATCCTTCTACCTCAGCCTCCCAAGTAAAAGCTTGAGGATCGCTTGAGCCACCATGTCCAGCTAATTTTTGTATTTTTAGTAGCGATGAGATTTTGCCATGTTGCTCAGGCTGGTCTGGAACTCCTAAGCTCAAGAGATCCACCCACTTGGGCCTCCCAAAGTGCTGGGATTAGAGGTGTGAGCCAACGTGCCCAGCCCATGGAGTCGGTCCTAAAAGAACTGTTGTGTCTAACAATTTGAGTTTTTTAGCATTTGGATATACAACACACCAAAAGAATATGGGAATTAACCCATACCAAGCAGCCCACAGAAAGCAGCATGTGAAGCAACACAATTGTCATAATTGTGGCCAATGCAATGCGTCGGTTATCCTCACGAACAGCTGGCCAAAATGTCATTGCCAAGACAGATCCTGAGATGCCCAGGGCAATCATGACTAGAATCCAACGAACAGCTTTCTGGGGGATAATCCACAGTATCTGAAAGAAGACAAAAGGAGGAGGAGGGAGCTCTTTGGAGGCATTTGTTCATTCCAGGCATATAGGTTTACAAAGACCCCTGAGCCAATCAGCAGCTGGGCCCCCACTGCCACTCTGGTATTTCAGTACAGGCTGAAGGAACACCACCAGCATGCAGACTGAGGCACATGCTTTTATAACAAAAGGCCCAAGATCCAGTGAAGGCACTTGGCTCCCCAGACCCTTTTCATGCTAAACTTCTAACTTCAAAGGAGATTTTTCAGGAGCACATGAGTGTTGGGCTGGAAATAATGATGCTAGGTCAAGTTCTTAGTTGAAGTTTCTACCAAGACTAGAGCATCACTCAGAATCTGCTCCCTAAGGGTGGTACTTACTGCGGTGGGGATATAAATGAAGAGTGAATATCCGTAGACACACACAATCTCCAGAAATGAATAGGAGACGATGTTCATAACTTTGCTGTTTCTCCACATGAGGAAACCCCAGAGTGCAAGAGGAACGAGCCAGGCATAGGCATAGATGATGGTAGCTGCTATGGACACTGAGGATGACAGAACACAAGTTTCAATTTCCATCATGCCTTTAATAGACCATCAGAGCACTCCAACACCTTACTGTACTTAAATCCTACCATGGCAATTGACTTCAGTGGACAATGGAATCATGTCTTAATGGTCTGTAATCCCTGAGCTTGGCATAGTACCTGATACACAGTAGGCATTCTAGAAATGTTTGTTGACTTAATGAATCTTTAGCATTTGTCTTTGTGGTAATGATCAATAGTCTCTCATATGGTTTCTATAGTTCATTTAATAATTAACAACTAATATTATTAAACAACTGAACTATGGCCAGACGCAGTGGCTCACACCTGTAATCCCAGCACTTTGAGAGGCTGAGGCAGGCGAATCACAAGGTCAAGAGATCGAGACCATCCTGTCCAATACAGTGAAACCCCATCTCTACTAAAGAACACAAAAATTATCTGGGCGTGGTGGCGTGTGCCTATAGTCCCAGCTACTTGAGAGGCTGAGGCAGGAGAATGGCTTGAACTCAGAAGGCAGAGATTGCAGTGAGCCAAGATGGCACCACTGCACTCCAGCCTGGCGCCTGGTGCCAAAACAAGACTCTGTCTCAAAAAAAAAAAGAATATATTCCCCAATTGTGGCCAGGTGTGGTGGCTCACATCTGTAGTCCTAACTAGCAATTTGGGAAGCCAAGACAGGAGAATCACTTGAGCCCAAGAGTTTGAGATCAGCCTGGGCAACATAGGGAGACCAGTCTCTTCAAAAAATAGAAAAACTGGCCAGGTATGATATTGCATATCTGTGGTCCCAGCTACTCAGGATGCTGAGGTGGGAGGACTACCTGAGCCCAGGGAAGTGGAGGCTGCAGTAAGCAGTGATTGCGCCACTGCACTCTGGCCTGGGCAACGAAGTGAGATACTGCCTCAAAAAAAATGGGGGGTGGGGAATCAATTCCAGTTGCTATTGAGCCTTGATTTACAGCTTTCCAAAAGATTATGTGGATTCATAACCTTGTGAATGTACTTAATGCCACTGAATTACACACTTAAATGGTAAATTTTATGTAACATATATTTTACCACTGTAAGAAGAAAAAGATTATGTGGATTTATACAGATGAGTGGTAAACTCATCTATGTATTTGAGTAGATACATTTGAACCCTAAAATACAAAAGGAGGGCTACAGCACCTAGAGATGGGGCCCAGGAGCTCAGTGGTAAAAAGAACTCAAGGCTAGAAACTGACAGCATTCCAAATGAGTCAAGCTATTCACCAACCTTTTTGGAATTCGGGCACGTAATGGTACGTCTTCTCTCCCAGATGGATCAAGAAGTTGGAGAGATTCCCACTAATTGCTATGGCAAAGATCAATGTGGCACATATCCAAAAGGGGCCTGCAAAGGAAACCAGAAAATTCAGAAACAAGAAAATGAAGCACAAGCCTTTAGATTCTTACAGAATTTCTTCACTTCCTCTTCTGATTCTTACGGAATTTCTTACCTTCCTCTTCTATTCATGTTAGCAAAAATAAAACAAATTTTCTAGATGGGATCAACATTTGCTAAAGGAAAATTTCCTTTTTTCAAAGGTCAAACACAACTCAATAATTAGCTGCCTTAAAGAAGGTGGGGGTTGGTATTCCAATCCAAAGGCCAAAATGCCTTCCATAATTAGGTGAATGAAGACACTGATTTGTGTATAGCCTCTCTTATTGGAGGATCACCGCCGACAAAGAAAAATTCACAGGCTTTTTGTTAAGCCTTTCACCAGAATACATGAAGTAAAGATTACTTCCCTTATCTAAATGCCAAATGTTAGCATCCCAGAAAAAGAAGTTAAATCAGGCAGAGCCTTCTGCAGCATAGAAAGAGCAGGGCAAGCAGAACACTGGAGGGCAGAGTCGATTAAACCTACCAGCTCACCATGGTTGTGTTTGAGCATGTGTGTGTGTGTGTGTGTGTGTGTGTGTGTGTGTTTGCTTAAGGCTTTTTCTTTTTTTTTAATGAAAAAGTAATACAATGAACTATATACACCTACTATGTACCCACAAAAATTAAAATTAAAAATTAAAAAAAAGTAATACATCTATATGGTCCAGTGTTCAAAGGATACCAAGGGAATACAGAGAACAGCAAGCTCCCCTCCCTCTCTGTGCCCTGGCTCTGTATCTCCTCTCCCTAAAGCTCACCAAAGTAACCAGTTTCTGATGAAACGTGCCAGGAATATTCCACTCATGTATATAAGCAAATGCCTCTGTATGTTTGTGCACACTTTATACAGATGATTTTATATATATATACTGAGCACCATACTTTGCAAACCCCTTTCATTATTTGCTTGATTTCACGAACATTATCCTTATCACTCCCCATCTAGAAAAAGTACTATGTAGAACAAATACAATCTTTAGATTGAAAGAGTTTAACAAATTATATGAATTTAATTTTTTTATTTCACTAATATTTTGCAACACCCTTTGAGATAATTTCAGGTACCTTGACACATCACAAAAGTACAAACATTACTGTCATAGGAGAGATGACTAGCAGAAACACATTAGTACTTTTCAAAGCCAAGCACTGGCTCCTGAGGTGGGAAAAGGAACACAAGCTATCAAATGGGATGCTTCCAAAAGTCACCCATATTAGCTCTCCACAGATTGCCTCTTTACTGAAAGCTCTCTGCTGTCTAAGGGCTGTCCAAGGACTAAATCTCAAAGTATTATTCTGAGTGCCCACATGTAAGAGTGGCAAAAAACAAACAAAAAAACCCCACAAGACTCCCATAGCCAAAAAGCTTTATTGAATGAATGAATAAAACTGACCATGTGTTATAGATGGGCTGAGACCATCCAAGCATATGACCACAAGTGGCCAAAATATTAACTTACAATACCCATATAACTAGAAAACCAAAAATATCATGTACTCTCAGCCATTATTTACTAAGTACCCACTACCCTCTGCTGGGGACACAATGATGTGCAACAGAGACACAGTCACTGACTCTAGTGCATCCATACACTCCAGGGAGACAGCCAATAAAATATCTAATCTCAGTAGTACAGGGTGCTTATGGGAGCATATAGGGAGGGTGCAAAACCTAGAGAACAGGATGTATAAGCTGGGATCTAAAGAAGGACAGGAGTTTGCCAAGTGAGGACAGAAAAGAAGAGAGGTTCAAGAAGAGGGAACAGCAGGAGCAGAGACTCTGAAGTAAGAGATTACAGTTCGAGGCTAAGTTTCAGGTCAGCCTGGCCAACATGGTGAAACTCCGTCTCTAGTAAAAACGCAAAAATTAGCCGGGCATGGTGGCACATGCCTGTAGTTCCAGCTACTTGGAAAGGCTGAGACAGGAGAATCACTTGAACCCAGGAGGCAGAGGTTGCAGTGAGCCGAGATTGCACCTTTGCACTCCAGTCTCGGCAACAGAGTGAGACTCTGCCTCAAAAAAAATACATATCTTTTTAATGGTGTCATACCATTGCATATCCTTCCACAACATGCTTTTTTAAAATAATTGTGCTGAGATTTATCTATATTTATGCTTTTAGCTCTCATTCATTTTTTAAACTACAGACTTCGATGTATGAATACAGTACAATGTATCTATTCTGCTGATCGATATCTTGGTTGTTTCTAAATATTTGCTATTATAAGCAAAACTGCTGCAGTGAATAATATTCTTCTATATGTTGTCTCATATATATGTGAATTCCTCTAAAATTATCTACCTAGGAGTGAAACTGCTGAATTGTAGGGTACGAGCATCTTCAAACTGCTCCAATTTGTGTAGCAGTTACACACCTACCATACAAAAGTTCCCACTGTTCCATCCTTGACAATACTTAATATCAATGTTCATGAAATTGGACCTACATTATGTCACCTGGCTTGGTACAGTGGCTCATGCCTGAAGGATCAGCACTTTGGGAGGCTGAGGCAGGAGGACTGCTTGAGATCAGGAGTTTGAGGTCAGCCTGGGCAACATAGTGAGACACTGTCTCTACAAAAAAATACAAACATGGTCGGGCATGGTGGCTCAAGCCTGCAATCCCAGCACTTTGGGAGGCAAAGGTGGGAGGATCACAACATCAAGAGATCAAGACCATCCTGGCCAACATAGTGAAACCCCATCTCTACTAAAAATACGAAAAAAATTAGCTGGGCGTGGTGGCATGCGCCTGTAGTCCCAGCTATCGTGGAGTCTGAGGCAGGAGCATTGCTTGAACCTGGGAGGCAGAGGTTGCAGTGAGCCGAGATGGCGCAACCGCACTCCAGCCTGGCGCCTGGCAACAGAGCAAGACTTTGTCTCAAAAAAAAAAAAATACAAACATTAGCCAGGCATGGTGGCACATGTCTATAGTCCCAGCTACTCAGGAAGATGAGGTGGGGGAGGATGGCTTGAACCCAGGATTTTGAGTCTGCAGTGGGCCATTATTGTGCCACTCTACTCCAGCCTGAGCAGCAGAGCAAGAGCTTGTCTCAAAAAACAAAAAAGTATGTTACTCCTCTGTCCAAACCCTCCAATTCAAGCAAATGCCAAAGTCCTCACTGTGACTTATGAGACCTTACCTGCCCCTCCATACTGTCTCTCTCACCTTGTCCTTCTAGGTCCCCATGTCTACTCTCATCCATTCCCAGTAGCCTCTTGCTGTTCTTTGAACGTACTAGGTTCCTGCCTCAGGGCCTTTGCACTTGCTGATCCTTCTGTTTCAAGTGCTCTTCCCTTAGATATCTACATGAATCACTCCCAATTACTTCAGGTCATTACTCAAAGTCACCTTTTAAAAATTTCAAATTCATCCATTTATACAAACGCTTCATGTCCTTCTCCTCTCTGCTCTTAAATTTCCACCTACACATTCATTACTAGAAAAATATTTTTACTTTTCTTTGCTTATTGTTAAACTCAGTAAATTACAAATTGTCTAAGGGTAGAGATTTTTGTCTTTTTCACTATTGTATCTCCAGTACTTAGAATAGTAAGAGCTCAACATTTGTTGAATAAATTGAATGAATAAATGAAGAGAAGCCAAATTGTACATGTTTACTAAAATGATGAGCATAAATAAATATCTTATTTTACCTTTTATTTCCCTGGTTGCAGGTGGGGCTAAGCATCTTTTCATAGATTTATTGCCATTTTTTCCCCCAGAGTTGCTTGTTTTGTTCCTGTAATTTGTGGGTGTTCAACATATATTCTTGTTTCTCACTGTTGGTTGGTTATATGCATTGGAAGTATGTTCCCTGGTCTGTGATTTATTTTTTTACTTTGCTTATGGTTTATTTTGTTGTGTAGAAATTTTAAATTTTAGTTGAAATGTAGTCAAAGTTACCAAATCTTTTCTTTACACTCTGTAAACTGTCATCTTTTTCTTTTTTTTCTTTTTATCATAAAAAGGGGAAGTTAAGGTTAGTACTAGCTGCTTGCTCTGTCAGTTATTTTCAATGAATCTGTGCTTTTTTTCTTCTTCTTCTTCTTCTTTTTTTAAGACGGAGTTTCACCATGTTGGTCAGGCTGGTCTTGAACCCCCGACCTCAGGTGATCCGCCCGCCTTGGCCTCCAAAGTGCTGGGATTACAGGCGTGAGCCACCATGCCCAGCCAACTGTCATCTTTTTCTTAACTGCCTTCCTCCAACCTCCACCCACAACAAAACCTAATCCTCTCTGCTGTAAAACACTTCACCTATATTGTACCTTATTTTAACCGTGTCTATGAGCTAATGAGGCTACTAGTGTCACAGAAAAGAAGCAAGCTTTGGGTTCAACCCCTGGCTTTGTTATGAGAGGCAGCAAAGCATAGTGATGAAGAAATGGATTATGAGCTACAGTGTCGATTTGAAAATTGAGCTCAGCACTTACTAGCTGTATGATCTTAGGCAAGTTACTAGACCTCTGTGTGACTCAGTGTCCTTATCTATAAAATGGGGATAATAATAGTATCTGCCTCATAAAGTTGATCTGTCACAAGGATTAAATGAGTTAATACAGATACTGCCCTAATAATAGTGTCTGGCACATAATAAGCACTATATGTGTGTTTACAATTATTGTTGCCAACTCTGTAACTATGGGCAAGTTATCTCCTTAACCTCAGTTTTCTCTTTTGTAAGATAAGGCTACCTTGGAGTATGGGAAATAAAATGGCATAATACACTAAAATAGTGCTTATCTTCACACTTGGCACTTCTAAGGTATTCAACAGGTGTTAGTGCTCTCTCTTCTTCCTCATTGGAGCTAGGGACTATGGCCTTACCTTTAAAGCCTCAACCTCTAGCACAGGGCCTCGCATGAAATAAGGTACTAAAAACTGTTTGAGCACCTGCTCTATGCCAAGGCCTCTGCCAGACACTAAAGACACGGAGACACAGAGCCTCCCCCTCAGGATGTTCTCAGGCTACAAGTAAGAATGAATGAGACAGACAGAGAAATCACCTTGATAACCCTCAGATAAAAAGCATGGGCCAATACAATGGTTTTCACACCAGGCTCCCTAGAGCCCACATTTAAAATCAACATATACGACTGCTTTACTATTTCATCTCAGATTGAGCATATATATATATATATATATATATATGACAATGATCCTCACTGAGCATCGGATTCCTCATTTAAAACGTGGGGATTTGGCCGGGCGCAATGGCTCAAGCCTGTAATCCCAGCACTTTGGGAGGCCGAGGCAGGAGGATCACAAGGTCAAGAGATCGAGACCATCCTGATCAACATGGTGAAACCCTATCTCTATTAAAAATACAAAAAATTAGCTGGGCATGGTGGTGCGTGCCTGTAATCCCAGCTACTCAGGAAGCTGAGGCAGGAGAATTGCCTGAACCCAGGAGGCAGAGGTTGTGGTGAGCCGAGATCGCGCCATTGCACTCTAGCCTGGGAAACAAGAGCAAAACTCCGTCTCAAAAAAAAAAAAAAAAAGTGGGGATTCTTTGCAAGGGTTGTGGCAAGAATGAGATACGACCAAGTTCACACAAAATCTCTGGTGTAGCTCCTGGCACAAGGATAGCACTCTCTTCTCTCCTCAAACACAGGCCACTGTTGGGGCCTTTTCCTCAGGAGTACTGGGTGGACCTCTGAGTTTTTCTCAGATAGCATTAAGGTCAGGGATGACAACCATCCCTGGCCCAATCCTGTTTCAGACTTCCACTGCTGATGACCAAATCCTAAGAGGAGCCAGCTCATCTGAGGGCGAGCGTATCTGGAACTGAGCATATCAATGAAAAAGTGTGAAAATACCTTCTCCTCCAACACCAAATGGTCCATAAATTAAAATCGACAATCTCCTCTTAGTCAACGTGACTACGTTTATCTCAAGTTTGTAGTGTCATTTGAAGAATTTTTAAAAACTTTTATTTTTTGATTTTTTGGTAAAGACGGGGTCTCTTTATGTTGCCCAGGCTGGTCTCAAACTCCTGAGCTCAAACAATCCTCCTGCCTTGGCCTCCCAAAGTGTTGGTATCACAGCCATGAACCACTATGCAAACCCAGCCTTTAGTAGAGACAGGGTCTTGCTATGTCACCCAGAGTGGTCTCAAACTCCTAGCTTCTGGCAATCCTCCCATCTTGGCCTACCAAAGTGCTGGGATTATAGGTGTGAACCACTGTGCCCAGCCCCATTTAAAGACCTTTGAAGGATATACTAGTACTTATAATGATGACATGGCACTAATATAACACATAATTGTATTTCTCCAAAATTATTTGCAAGGGTTGCTACTGAAGTTCAGAAAAGTCAAATAAAACATGGCATGCCCCACCAATAGCGCAGTTCTCCAAGTTTCCAGGCAACCCTCACACTCACCCAAGTTCAACTGAAATATGGTAAACAAATCAGCACTACACATACCATAGAGATCTGGATTGCTGCGGATGTATAACCTCACAAAGTTTTTCCCGGGTATTGGCAAAAGAGACCCTTTAATTCTGTCAAAGACCTGGAAAACAACATAGCTGAAATTCTACTGAAGTTTTTTAAGTTTAATAAATTCAATTACTACAAAATTGAAACTCAGTCATTAGAGCTTTTATAATAGCATTTTCAAATGCTAACAACCCTTTACTTTTGTAAGACCATTTCCAGTATATAAAGGCTTTCACATTATTTGATAGTTCAACCATTAAAGAAACAAGTCACCATTACACATAAAAGAAAAGGTGAAATTTGTTTCTAAACCTGGTAGGTATCCACATCAAAGAATGTTTGGTAGTATTCAAATGTCCAGAAGGGGGAGCTTTTCTTCTGTCCAGCAAGTAACTGTCAGAAAGAGATAAAATAAAACAATGAATACATAAGCAATTTCTTAATTCCAGCTCTATGGGGGTGCAGGGGGGATCTGAGCTAATGAAAAATCAAAACGTTTGAAACAGGCTCTTCTGCATTCAATAACCAACTCTGCAATAGCCAATTCCTAACTCTCAGCCTGATTAGAAAAACAAGCATTAGTTTTGAAGTCACAACAAAAGGGTTCAAATCCTGGCCCCTTCACTGAGCGAAGCTTTGACAAATCACTAGACTCCTCTCCAGCTTAGTTCCCTTATCTTAAAATTACAGCAAACAAGATCTACCTCATAGGATTATGAGGGGTTAGATTCAATAGCATATAGAATTATGTACAATAATAAATACATATACACACACACATACAGAAGGCAGTCAGTGTAAATACCTTTTCTCTTTTACTTTTTCTTTCTTTCTTTTTTTTCTTTTTTTGAGATGGCATCTCACTGTTTCCCAGGCTAGAGTGCAGTGGTATAATCAGCTCACTGCAGCCTTGAACTCCTGGGCTCAAGCAATCTTCCCACCTCAGCCTCCCAAGTAGCTGGGACTACATGCATGCACCACTATGCCCAGTAATTTTTAAACTTTTTTTGTAGACAAAGAGTCTCATTATTTTGTCCTGTTCTCAAACTCTTGGGCTCAAGTGATCCTCCTGCCTCAGCTTCCCAAAGCACTGGGATTATAAGTGTGAGCCACTGTGCCTAGCCAGTGTAAATATCTTTTCCTCCACTATCCATCCATGATCCTCCCTACTACTGCCACCTGATTCTCAAAAATCTGACACACTGACTCACTCTAAAGTACTAAAAATACTACTACTATGACAAAAAAAAACCACATACACACACAAAATTCTAATTGAGATGAGGCACCTGAGGAGGGCCATACCTATCTGTACAATACAGCTCTTTGGTGGCAGAATGCAGGCCCTGTCATCTTCAGATATGTGAAGGGAATTCATACAGACAAAAGTACCTGTATGAACTCTGAGCTGCTTTGCAGGACAAGGGCAGGTGCTATAGGCAGATATTTTTGTTCGTTATAAAGGAAACCAATGGCCAATTAAAAGCAGCTGTGACCTGCGTAACTCACAGAGAGGGGTGAAAGCGGTGAATGAATTCAGCATCTTCAACTGAAATATCCAGGTTCTCGCACTGGGACTGTCTAGGCAAATAGCTCAACACACGGAGAATGAAGAAAAACAGGGTGGGGGTGATGGCCCATCCAGGAGCAGCACAGAGACAAAGGAACACCCACCCCCAGCCAAGAAAAGCAGTGAGTGATTGTGTGACCCTACCCAGGAAATCACTTCTTCCACAGATCTTTGCAAGTAGTGGGTCAGGATATTCCCTGTAAACCCATGCTACTAGAGCCTTGGGTCCAATACACACAGAGCTATATGGAGTCGCAGCAGAGCAGCTGTTCAGGCACATACAGAAATCCAAGAGTTTTGCAAACTCCAGCTCCTGGATTCCCAGCAAAATGGGAGATCCACCCCTACATACCCCTAGGAAGGGGGTGAATCTAGGCAATCAAAACGCATTATTCTGCAGGCCTCACTTCCACAGCACCCCACAAATTAAGAGCCACTGGCCTGGAATTCCAACCGGCCAGTCGCAACAGGCTGGAGTCTGCCCAAGAAGGACTAAGTTACAGGGGCAAGAGGCAGCGGCCATGTCACCTCAGCTCTTCCAGCCTGCTGGCTCTGGAGAATCCAGATGGGTCTGGATGAGGAAGGGTCTCCTACAACACAGCACAGCTGCACTACCCAAAAGCAGCCAGTGAAAGAAGAGACCCAGAGCTGGCTCGCTAGGGGGAAAAAAAAATGCAGCCAGACTGCTTCTTTAAGAGGGTGCCTGATCCCATTCCTCCTGACTGGGGGAGGCCTCCTAACTCTCCAGACACCTCCTACAGGTGCAGTTAGAGCTGGCAACGGGTCAGTACTCCCCTAGGACAGACCTTCCAGAGGAAGGAGCAGGCTGGCATCTTTGCTGTTTTGCAGCATTCATTGGTGATACCTCCAAGTACAAGAAAAACCCAGGCAACTACGATCTGGAGCAGAGCCCCAGCAAACCGCAGCAGCCCTGTGAAAGAGTAGCCTGACTGGTAAGAAACAAACAGAAAACAACAACAACATCAACAAAAAAGACCCCATAAAAACCCCACTCAAAGTCAGCAACCTAAAGATTGAAGGTAGATAAGCCCACAAAGATGAGAAAGAATCAACACAAAAACACTGAAAACTCAAAAGCTAGAGGGCCTGTCTCCTCCAAATGATCGCAACACCTCTCCATCAAGGGCACAGAACTAGGCTGAGGCTGAGATGGCTGAATTGACAGAAGTAGGCTTCAGAAGGTGGGTAATGAACTTCACCGAGCTAAAGAAGCATGTTGTAACCCAATACAAAAAAGCTAAGAATCATGATAAAACAACACAGGAGCTGATAGCCAGAATAGCCTGTTTAGAGAGGAACATAACCAACCTGATGGAGTTGAAAAACACAACACGAGAACTTCACAATGCAATCACAAGTATCAACAGCAGAATAGACCAAAGGGAGGAAAGAATCTTAGAGCATCTTTCTGAAATAAGACAGGCAGACAAGAACAGAGAAAAAAGAATTAAAAGGAATAAACAAAACTTTCAAGAAATATGGGATTATGTGAAGAGAAAGAACCTACAACTGATCAGGGCACCTGAAAGAGATGAAGAGAATGCAACCAAGTTGGAAAACATACTTCAGAATATTATCCAGGAGAACTTCCCCAAGCTAGCAAGACAAGCCAACATTCAAATTCAGAAACTGCAGAGAACCCCTGTAAGAAATCCATGAGAAGATCAACCACAAACACATAATCTTCAGTTCTCCAAGGTTAAAATGAAAGAAAAAATGTTAAGAGCAGCCAGAGAGAAAAGCCAGGTCACCTACAAAGGGAAAACCATCAGACTATCAGCAGACCTCTCAGTGGAAACCCTATAAGCCAGAAGAGATTGGGGGCCAATATTCAACATTCTTAGAAAAGAGTTTCCAACCCAGAATTTCATATCCAACCAAACTAAGCTTCATAAGCAAAGGAGAAATAAGATCCTTTTCAGACAAGCAAATGCCAAGGAAATTCATCACCACCAGGCCTGCCTTTCAAGAGCTCCTGAAGGAAGCACTAAATATGGAAAGGAAAAACTGTTACCTGTCACTACAAAAGCACACTGAAGTACACAGACCAGTGATACTATGAAGCAACCACATAAATAAGTCTGCAAAATAATCAGCTAGCACCAGGACAGAATCAAATTCACACTTACAATACTAACCTGAAATGTAAATGGGCTAATAAATGCTCCTATTAATAGACACAGAATGGCAATCTGGACAATGAGCCAAGACCTATAGGTATGCTGTCTTCAAGAGACCCATCTCAGATGCAAAGACACAAATAGACTCAAAATAAAGGGATGGAGGAAAATTTACCAAGCAAATGGAAAACAGAAAAAAGCAGGGGTTGCAATCCTTGTTTCTGACAAAACAGACTTTAACCAACAAGGATTAAAAAAAAAAGAAGAAGAAAAGAAGAAAGGCATTACATAATGGAAAAGGGTTCAATTCAACAAGAAGGGCTAACGATCCTAAATATATATGCTCCCAATACAGGAGCATCCAGATTCATAAAGCAAGTTCTTAGAGACCTACAAGAGTCTTAGACTCCTATACAATAATAGTGGGAGACTTTAACACCCCATGGACAATATTAGACAGATTATCAAGACAGAAAATTAACAAAGATATTCAGGACCTGAACTCAGCTCTGGATCAAGTGAATCTGACAGATATCTACAGAACTCCATCCAAAAGCAACAGAATATACATTCTTCTCATTGCCACATGGCACTTACTATAAAACTGATCACATCATTGGAAGTAAAACACTCCTTAGCAAATACAAAAGAACTGAAGTCATAACAGTCTCTCAGACCACAGTGCAATCAAATTAGAATGCAAGATTAAAAAATTAACTCAAAACCACACAACTACATGGAAATTTAACAACCTGCTCCTAATGACTCTTAGGTAAATAATGAAATTAGGGCAGAAATCAAGAAATTCTTTGAAACTAATGGGAACAAAGGGACAACGTACCAGAATCTCTGGGATGGAGCTAAAGCAGTGTTAAGAGGGAAATTTATAGCACTAAATGCCCACATCAAAAAGCTGGAAAGATCTCAAGTTAACACTAACATTACAACTAAAAGAACTAGAGAACTAAGAGAAAACAAACTCAAAGCTAGCAGAAGACAAGAAATAACCAAGATCACAGCTGAACAGCAGACAGAGACACAAAAAAAACCTTCAAAAAAATCAACAAATCCAGGAGCTGGTTTATTGAAAAAAATTAATAAAATAGATGACTAGCTAGAGTAATAAAGAAGAAAAGAGAAGAATCAAATAAATACAATAAGTAATGATAAGGGGATATAACCACTGACCCCACAGAAATAGAAACAACCATCAGAGAATACTATAAACACCTCTATGCACATAAACTAGAAAATCTAGAAGAAATAGATAAATTCCTGAACACATACAGCCTCCCAAGATTGAAGCAAGAAGAAACTGAATCTCTGAACAGAACAATAATGAGTTCTAAAATTGAGGCAGAATAAATAGCTGACCAACAAAAAAAAGCCCAGGACGAGACGGATTCACAGCTAAACTCTACCATATGTACAAAGAAGTACTGGTACCATTTCTACTGAAACTATTCCAAAAAATTGAAAAGGAGGGACTCCTCCCTAACTCATTCTGTGAGGCCAGCATCATCCTGATACCAAAACCAGGCAGAGATAAAGCAAGAAAAGAAAACTTCAGGCCAATATCCTTGATGACCACTGATGTAAAAATCCTTAACAAAATACTGACGAACCAAATCCAGCAGCACATCAAAAAGCTTATCCACCACAATCAAGTTGGCTTCATCCTGGGATGCAAGATTGGTTCAACATACACAAATCAATAAATGTGATTCATCACATTAACAGAACCACAGGCAACACACGATTATCTCAATAATTGATGCAAAAAATGCCTTTGAGAACATTCAACATACCTTCTTGTTAAAACTCTCAATAAACTAGGTATTGAAGGAACATATCTCAAAATAATAAGAGTTATATATGACAAACACACAGCCAATACCATACTGAATGGGCAAAAGTTGGAAGCATTCCCCTTGAAAACTGGCACAAGAAAAGGATGCTGTCTCTCATTACTCCTAATTAGAAGTTCTGGCCAGGGCAATCCAGCAAGAGAAAGAAATAAAGCACATTCAAATAGGAAGAAAGGAAGTCAAATCATCTTTGTTTGCAAGATGACATGTTCCTATATCTAGAAAATCCCATCATCTCAGCCCAAAAGCTTCTTAAGCTGATAAAGCAACGTCAGCAAAGTCTCCGGATACAAATTCAATGTGCAAAAATTTCTAGCCTTCCTATACACCAACAGGCAAGCGGAGGGCCAATCATGAATGAACTCTCATTCATAATTGCTACAAAAAGAATAAAATACCTAGGAATACAGCTAACAAGGGAAGTAAATAACCACTTCAAAGAGAACTGCAAACCACTGCTCAAAGAAATAAGAAAGGAGACAAACAAACAGAAAAACATTCCATGCTCATGGATAGGAAGAATCAAAGTAATTATAGATTCAGTGCCACTCCCATTAAACTACCATTGACATTCTTCACAGAATTAGAAAAAAAAAACTATTTAAAAATTCATACGGAACCAAAAAGCAGCCCAAATAGCCAAGACAATCCTAAGCAAAAAGAACAAAGCCAGAGGCATCACACTACCTGACTTCAAACTAAACCACAAGGCTACAGAAACCAAAACGGCATGGTACTGATACAAGGACAGACACATAGACCAATGGAACAGAATAGAGAACTCAGAAATAAGAATGCATGCCTAGAACCATCTGATCTTCGACAAAACAAGCAATGGGGAAAGGATTCCTTATTCGATAAATGGTGCTGGGAGAACTGGCTAAGTCATATGCAGAAAATGAAACTGAACCCCTTCCTTATACCATATACAAAAAATAACTCAAGATGGATTGAAGACTTAAATGTAAAACCCAAACCTAAAAAAAAAAACCCTAGAAGAAAATCTAGGCAATACTATTCAGGACACAGGCATGGGCAAAGATTTCAAGACAAAAACACCAAAACCAATTGTAACAAAAGCAAAAATTGACAAATGGGATCTAATTAAATGAAAGAGCTTCTGCACAGCAAAAGAAACTATCATCAGAGTGAACAGACAACCTACAGAATGGGAGAAATTTTTTGCAATCTATCCATCTGACAAAGGTCTAATATCCAGAGTCTACAAGGAACTTAAGCAGATTTACAAGAAAAAAACAAACAACTTGATTAAAAAGTGGGCAAGGGACATGAATAGACCTTCTCAAAAGACATACATGTGGCCAAAAAACAGATGAAAAAAAGCTCAACATCATTGATTAGAGAAATGCAAGTAAAAAACCACAATGAGACACCATATCACACCAGTCAGAATGGTGATTATTAAAAAGTCAAGAAACAATAGATGCTGGTGAAGTTGCGGAGAAAAAGGAACACTTTTATACTGTTGGTGGGGGTGTAAATTAGTTCAACCATTGTGGAAGACAGTGTGGTTGATTCCTCAGAGACCTAGAGGCAGAAATACTATTTGACCCAGCAATCCCATCACTGGGTATATACCCAAAGGAATAGAAATCATTCTATTATAAAGATACATGCGTGTGTATGTTCACTGCAGCACTATTCACAATAGCAAAGATATAGAATCAACCTAAATGCCAACCAATGATAGACTGGATAAAGAAAAAATATGATATATATACAACCATGGAATACAATACAGCCATAAAAAGGAACGAGATCATGTCCTTTGCTGGGACATGGATGGAGTTGGAAGCCATTTTCCTCAGCAAACTAATGCAGGAACAGAAAACCAACCACCACATGTTCTCACTTATAAGTGGGAGCTGAATGATGAGAACACATAGACACATGGGAGGGAGAGCAACAGGAAGATAGCTAATGGATGCTGGGCTTAATACCTAAGTGATGAGATGATCTGTGCAGCAAACTGCCATGGCTCACATTTACCTATGTAACAAACCTGTACATCCTGCACATGACCCCTGAACTTAAAATGAGAAAAAACATTAAAATAAAGGAATACATTTTCACAATTAGTTGACAATGGCAGCAACTACCTTACATGGTGGTAAACAGCACATTCCTAGAGGCATTAAAGCAAGTGTTTTCAATCTTTCTGTTTTGTTGTTTGTTTTTTTGGCGACAGGGTCTCACTCTGATGCCCAGACTAGACTGTAGTGGTGTGATCTCAGTTCACTGCAACCTCTACTTCCCAAGCTTAAGCAATACCCCAACCTTAGCTTCCTGAGTAACTGGAACTACAGGTGTGCACCACCATGCTCAGCTAAAATTTTGTATTTTTTTTTTGAGATAGAGTCTCGCTCTGTTGCCAAGACTGGAGTGCAATGGTGCAATATCACTACAACCTCTGCCTCCCAGGTTCAAGCGATTCTCCTACCTCAGCCTCCTGAGTAGCTGGGACTATAGGCACATACCACCACACTCAGCTAATTTTTTGTGTTTTTTTAGCAGAGATGGGGTTTCACCATTTTGGTCACGCTGGTCTCCAACTCCTGACCTTGTAATCCACCCACCTCAGCCTCCCAAAGTGCTGGGATTACAGGCGTGAGCCACCACACCTGGCTCCAAGTGCATTCTTTCCAACATAGCAAGGACAGCATCAATATCTTGGGAGGAAGGCTGAAACAGAGGGCCATGAAGGTTCTTTCCAACTCTAATATTAGAAAATATTGGGCATGGGAGCCCCACATTCCATAAGCTAAACTCTCTGTTCACTATCCATGTTCCTTCCACCAGTGTACCTATGGATAATAATGGTCTGTTTGCCTGTTTCTCCCACCAAGTCAGAGGCCATGTATCATTTACCTCTGAACTATCACTGCCTGGCACAGTACCTGGCACACGGTAGACAGTGAATTAGCACCTAACGAGCTTTAAAAATTGTTTTAAAAATATATCAAAGACAAGTTCAAACCTCAGTTTTGTCAGAGTCATCATTTCCCAGTAACTCATCATCTTCTTCTCTTCCTGAGCCTCTCAGAGTTCCTGTCTGATGTTTTGGGGTTTCGCCAGGATCCTCAATGCTTACTGTGGTGGCATCTGGGTTTGCTGCCACAGAAGTGGCTGCATTGCCAAATTCTGAAATCAATTAGAGCACAAAGGCCTCAGAAACTTTACCCACACGAGAAATGCTATACTTTAAATTTAAAGACAAGCTAACACAACCTCACCTTTGCTATAGACTCTAAAAAGCCTCATTTGGAGATCCATCTGACATAGATAAATGACTACGAAGACAAAAGAATTTGGAGTCAGACCTAGATTTTAGTCCTGGCTCAGCTAGCCACTTACTAAACACATGAACCCAAGTAAGTAACTTAACCTTTCTAAACCTCAGTATTCTCATCTATATTGTGGGGAGAATAACATTTATTTTAAATAATTTTGGGGGGATTAGGAATATAACCTAAATCCTAAATTTCTCTTCTTTGGTTCGAGTCCAAAAAATTTTAATGGAAGTTTTTTTTTCCAATAAGTCTACATAATCACTACAGAAAATATGGGAATAAAAATGAAAGTGGAAATCAGCTGGGTATGGTGGCTCACGCCTGAAATCCCAGCACTTTGGGAGGCCAAGTTGGGTGGATTACCTGAGGTCAGGAGTTTGAGACCAGCCTGGCCGACATGGTGAAACCCTGTCTCAACTAAAAATACAAAAATTAGCCTTGTGTGGTGCCACATACCTGTAATTCCAGCTACTCTGGAGGCTGAGACAGAAGAATTGCTTGAACCCAGGAGGCAGAGGTTGCAGTGAGCCGAAATTGCACCACTGCACTCCAGCCTGTGTGACAGACCAAGACTATGGTAAAAAAAAAAGAAAAGAAAAGAAAAAACAAAGTGGAAATCACAGGATAAAAATCACTCTTAGGCCGGGCATGCTGGCTCGTGTCTGTAATCCCAGCACTTTGGGAGGCCAAGGCAGGAGGATTGCTCAAGCCCCGGAGGTCAAGGCTGCAGTGAGCTGTAATCATGCCACTGTACTCCAGCCTGGACATCGGAGTAAGACTCTGTTTCAAAAAATAAATAAAATAAAATAAAAAACAAACAAAAAAAACCACTCTTAGTTCCACCACATAAAGGTTAACACTATTAACATTTTAGTATATTTCCTTTTCTTCCCATACTGAGATTCATGCCACTAATGATCATTCATTTATGAATGATCCAATAAGCCAAGTACTGCTCTAGAATGTGATAATACTATAATTAATTTTGCATCTTTGCCTTGTCAGGATTGTGCATAATTGGAGATTATACACAAAAATGATTTTTCATATTATAACAGTCTTTAAAGTGATTACTTATGTGACTGCATAATATTCCATCGATGAAGATTTTATTACAAATATACAAGGAGTGTCTGTGTAGAAAAGCTTTTTGGGGTACAGCCTTAAGATGAACACCGATCAGTGTGATCACTAGGTCAACAGGATGCAAACCATTTTCAAGGCTCCTGAACCACATTACTAAACTGCTTTCCAAAAGAACCTTACCTACTTGTGTCCACCAGGAGTAACTTAGACTTCCCGTCTCTGAATATCCTAACATACTTTATTTAGCTGCTCTGGAATACAATTCAGGGCAGCTCTCAACCTTTGAAGGCCAGAGGAAGAGTACCAGTAGGGCACCATTTTAACACTACAAGCAGGGAACCCCAATCCTAGCAGTAGGATGGGGTTCTTGGACAACTGAGCTCACTCTTATTGCCTGTCAGCTATATTAGTAGTTTTACGGAGAACACTAAAGTGACTGAAATTAATCAGGTAGCTAATATGCAATAATTACTGAAGCCTCAATTGGCAATGTTTGGGTAGTTTAAGCAACATGAGGTTCTGGAGTGAGGTGGTCCTTTGTTCAAGGTAAGACTCTTTATACTCAATAGCTCCATGACCTTGAACACATTACTCCATGGCTCTGAGTCTCTGTTTCTTCAATTATAAAACACAGACAGTATCAACCCCACAATGAGATTTCAAGAATGATGAAATAATAACTATCATTACAGGTATGTCTTATTGACTGTACAGGGCAATGAATTTAAAAAGATAATCACAACTTGGCTGGAGGGAATTGACCAAGGAAGATATACTTAGGTCTCACAGTTAAAAAGCAGTAGTTAAAATAACTAGAAAAGTATAACTGGGCTGGATGCAGTGGCTCATGCCTGTAACCCAACACTTTGGGAGGCTGGGGCAAGCAGATCACTTGAGCTCAGGAGTTCGAGACCAGCCTGGCCAACATGGTGAAACCCCATCTCTACTACAAACATAAAAATTAGCCAGGAGTGGTGGTAGACACCTGTAATCCCAGCTACTTGAGAGGCTGAGGCACAAGAATTGCTTGAACTGGGAGGTGAAGGTTGCAGTGAGCTGAGATTGCATCACTGCACTCCAGCCTGGGTGACAAAGTGAGACTCGGTCTTGAAAAACAAAAAGGGTGAGAACGATCCAAGATGGCCGATCGCTAACATCCCGGGATTGCAGCTCTCAGTGAAGGCGCAGAGAACTAGAGGACGCCACACTTTCAGACAAATTCTGGTCGCTCACAGAGCAGAAGATCCCCAGTGGAGGAAACACACGGGTCGCCAGCGTGACTCTCGTGGCCAGCACAGCGGTTCCGCCGGCACCTCGGCGCGGCAGCTCTCGGAGCAGAGTAAACAGGTTTGGAGGACCCACACGGGCCCCCAGCACAACACCAGAGCCCCGCACAGCAGCAGTGATGGCACCTCGGTGCAGCAGCGCTCGGCGCAGAGTAATCGGGACTGGTTCCCCTTCTGACAGAGGTTTGGAGCCCCGAGAAGGCAGAGTTGCCTACTATGGACACAAAAAGGAAGCCCGACAGGAGAATCCTGGGAAGAAAAGCACCATCAGTTTTAACGCCACTGCTCTGGCCCTGGGAACTAACAACCTGGACGCCCACTCAAGAGACCTAATCTGAAAGTTGGTAAATTCAAAGGCGACAGGAGGATAAATTTACAATGGCGGGAAGAAACCAGCGTAAAAAAGCTGAGAATACTCAAAGTCAGAACGCCTCTCCCTCTAAAGATGATCACAGTTCCACATCAACAGTGGAACAAGGCTTGATGGAGAACAACCGCATCCCAATGACAGAAGTACTCTTCAAGGAATGGATAATAACAAACCTCGGTGAGTTAAAAGAACATGTTGTAGCCCAACGTAAAGAAACTAGGAACTTTGAAAAAAGGTTTGATGAAATCCTATTGAGAATAGACAACTTAGAGAGGAGTATGAGTGAATTAATGGAACTGAAGAATACAATACAGGAACTCCGAGAAGTATGCAAAGGTTTAAACACTCGAATTGTTTAAGCAGAAGAAGGGATATCAGAGGTCAAAGTCCAGCTTAATGAAATAAAACGTGAAGAAAAGATTAGAGAAAAAAGGATAAAAAGGAATGAGCAAAGTCTCCAAGAAATGTGGGACTATGTGAAAAGACCAAATTTACGTTTGATAGGTGTACCTGAATGCGACGGAGAGAATGAATCCAAGCTGGAAAATACCCTTCAGGATATTATTCAGGAAAATTTTCCTACACTAGCAAAGCAGGTCAATATTCAACCCCAGGTAATACAGAGAACACCACAAAGATATTCCTCAAGAAGAGCAACCCCAAGGCACATAATCGTTAGATTCACCAGGGTTGAAACTAAGGAGAAAATACTAAGGGCAGCCAGAGAGAAAGGTCAGGTTACCCACAAAGGCAAGCCTATCAGAATTACAGCAGATCTCTCAGCAGAAACTCTACAAGCCAGAAGAGAGTGGGGGCCAATATTCAACATCCTCAAAGAACAGAGCCTTCAGCCCAGAATTTCATATCCAGCCAAACTAAGCTTCACAACTGAAGAAAAAATAAAATCTTTTATGAACAAGCAAGAACTCAGAGATTTTATTACCCAGGCCTGCTTTACAAGAGCTTCTGAAAGAAGCATTACACACAGAAAGAAACAACCAGTATTAGCCTTTCTAAAAATACACCAAAAAGTAAAGAGCACCAACATAAAGAAGAATTTACACCAACGAATGGATAAAACAGCCAGTTAACATCAAATGGCAGTAACCCTAAATTTAAATTGACTAAATTCCCAATCTAAAGACACAGCCAAAACCCAATGGCATGTTACATCCAGACCTGTTTCACATGCAAGGATACACAAAGACTCAAAACAAAGGGATGGAGAAAGATTTACCAACCAAATGGAGAGCAAAAATAAATAGTAAATAAATAAAAAGCAGGAGTTGCAAATCTCGTATCGGATAAAATAGATTTTAAAGCAACAAAGATATAGTGGTAAAAGGATCAATGCAACAACAAGAGCTAACGATCCTAACACCCAGATACATAAAGACTTAGACTCAATGAGATAGAAAATTAATAAGGATATCAAGGAATCGAACTCAGATCCGGAACAAGTAAACTTAATAAATATTTATAGAGCTCCCCACTTCAAATACATAAAATATACATTCTTGTCAATACCACATCACACCTACTCATAAGTTTAAATGAAACATTGATTGGCCATTATTAATACCCAATTTTTTTCAGAATAAAGCAATATTTCCGTTTACTCTCCCTCTTTCTCTCTCTCCTTTACTCACTTTCTTTCTTTTTTTTTTTTTTTCTTCTCTCAAAAAAAAGAAATCAACTTGTAAATCTCTAGATCCAGGTCGGCAATGTCTCTCTCATTGCTTGATTTCCTTCCTTCCCTTCCCTCCCTCCCTCCCTCCCCCCTTCTTCCCTTCCTTCCTTCCTTCATCCCTTCCTTCCTCCCTACTGTCCTCCTTCCCTCCCTTCCTGCCTTCCTCCCTGAAAAAAAAAAGAAAAGAAAAGAAAAACAAAAAGGGTATAATTGGATTGTTTGTAACACAAAGGATACATGTTTGAGGTTATGGACACCTCGTTTATCCTGATGTGATTATTACACATTATATGCCTGTATCAAAATATATGAGTGTACCCTGTGAGCATATGCACCTATTACATAACCACGAAAATGAAAAAAAATTAAAAAGCAGTAGTTTACCAGGGGGAAGGAATGCCAGAAGGAGGGATAGATGATACCACTTTAGACGTACAAAGGTCAAAAAGGATGACCCTCCAAGGAGGATGATACCTCCTCTAGTTGTTAGGATCAGGAAAGGGTTCTTGGAGAAGATACCATATGAGAAGGATGGCCAGAGGTGGAGGGGATGGCATCTCATGCAAAGGGAAGGGGATGAGCAAGACCCAGAAGATGGAAAGTGTGCCCCACGAAGTGATGGCATAGTTTCACTGGAGTGTGGGCTGCGAGCACCTCTAACATGACGACTCTTCACACGGTCTGCTCTGTGTTGGTTATTCTTGTCCATCTCAGCTCCTTGAACGCAAAACTGGTGTGTGTCTTATTTCTGCCACCGGCAGTCTCTGCTTTTACATCCTGGCATACCCTAAGCTAGCTTCAGCCTCTGTTCCTTTCCCAAAACAATGTCTTTCACCTGAAGGCTTCTGACCTCTACTTATTCTTTTTTTTTTTTAATACAAATTTTTTAAAAACCGTATGTGTGTTGTCAGGCCCAAGGCCTCTTCCATCCTTGTCGAGGAGAGTGCTAACCTTCTCTCCTTTCATATAACACCGACCTCTACTTTTTCATCCCGCACTACCTTTCCTCCCTGGAGAAGCCTTCCATGACTCCTGCAGCATCCTATGTTCTTTTCTGAAGACCTAAGACCTTAACACAGTTGATAAAGCTCTCCGTGATTTGCCGCCTGGCTCCTCCAAAGCATCACTTTGTGTCAGCTTCCCTCACCATCTGCGATCTGGAACACAGGCCTTCTCCCAAGTCTTTGGGAAAAAATTAAACTTCCTCACTCCACAGGGACTTCTGCATGGGCTGCTCTCTATGCTTGAACTTTCTTGCACTGCACTCCTAGATAGGATGGCTAAGGAAGGCCTCTCTAATGAAGAGAGATTTGAACAGAGCAAGGGAGCAAGCCATGAGGTTATCTGAAGGGAGACTGTCCCAGAGAGAAAGATGGCACAGAAGTCCTAAGCTGTGAATCTACTTGGTGCATAGGAAGAACGGTGACAGCCTATGCAGCCTGGGCAGAGAGAGAAAGGACAAGAGCAGCAGGAGATTAAATCAGAGGCATGGAGGCTGCATCATGCAGGGGCCTCCTAAGCCACAGTAAGGGCTCTGGCTTTTTCGGAGGTTTAAAAAAAATTTTTTTTTTGAGCCAAGTCTTGCTCTGTTGCCCAGGAGTGCAGTGGCACATATCTTGGCTTGCTGCAACCTCTGTGTTTGAGCAATTCTCCTGCCTCAGGCTCCTGAGCAGCTGGGATTACAGGCATCTGCCATCATACCCAGCTAACTTTTATATTTTTAGTAGAGACAGGGTTTCACCATGTTGGCCAGGCTGGTCTTGAACTCCTGATCTCAGGTGATCTCCCCACCTCAGCCTCCCACAGTGCCGGGATGACAGGTGCGAGCCACCGCACCTAGCCTGGCTTTTTCTTCTAGTGAGATGGGAGCTACTAGAAGGTTCTGAAAGAATGATGTGATCTGGTTGAGTTTTAGAAGGACTACTCTGGCTGCAAAGTAGTCAGAGGGGTCAGTGTAGAGGGGTAAGGGAGGAAGTAGAAAGACCAGAAGGAAGGTAAGGGCTATAATCCAGACAAAAGGTAACAGTGACCTTGAGCATGGTGAGGATAGTGGTGGAAGTGGTCAGATGCTAGATGAATTTTGAAGACAGAGTTGACAGTATTTGCAAATTGAGGTGGATTTTTAGTACTTGCAAATGAAACAGATTTCTCTTTAAACAGCATATCTCTTCCTTAGATAGCAGAGGCAGCATAAGCTGTGACACAAGACTGGATGGGTTCAAATCCTGATTTTATCCCTGATTTTATCACCTTACATTAGGCGAATTATTTTTCTGTGCCTCAGTCTCCTCATTAATAAAACAGGGAAATAAAGTCACTATTGCATAAAGTTGATATAAGGATTGAGTTATCTGCAAAGCATTTAGAACAGTGCCTGACATATAAGTGCTATGTAAGGTGTTTCTAAAACAAGTAAGCGTTCATCAATCCCTAGCCTAAGTCAGGCTCTGGGTTATGAGTTCTAATACCTCCTTGAACTTTTCCTCCAGCACTTTCATAGTTTGTAGGTATATATTTAATAAATAAATGTCTCCCTAACTAGACTGAGAGTTTCACAAGGAAGGAAACTGACTATTTTGTTCATTCTTCTATTCCTCATAACTAGAACAATTACCCCACTCCTGGTCATACTCAGGAGATATTTACTGATTCAGTGAAGGAATGATCTGATCACATTTCATCCTAATGATCTTTTCACATTTTTATTTGTTCCACCAGTGTATAAACCTCTTCATCTTTTTATCTCCAGTATCTAGTACTAAGATACTAGTATCTAGTTCTAAGCACAAGGTAAGTGCTCAATAAATGTCTACTGAACTAAAGCAGGAACTGTATAAACATTTTCTGTAATCACTGTACTAAATTTATGTTACTTGTTACCAATCTGAAGGGTTATCTGGCAAAAAAAAAAAAAAAAAAAACACCTGGATGTGGCCAACAGCCACCAAAATGTTAGAAATAATATCCTTTAACGTGTGAGCAGTATAGCAATGCAAAGACTTGCTGTGACTGTGGAAATAATGATCATAAATATAAAGGTGGGCACCCAACTGATATACCTTCAAATTGCAAGTCATCTACTGCTGCCATTCAGCCAGTAAGTCTTCTCCCAATTATGAGGAAGAAAATTTGCAGGGGTCTAAAAGAAAAAAATAAGTGAACGTAGTACGATAACAGTATAAAATATCTGCAAACAAATCATATTTCTGTATTAGAAATGGTATCGCTTTCCCTTGCTTCTCTTTTCAGTGGGGTTTGATAGGTTTATATAAAGATAACCATTAAGCGTCAGGTATTATTAAATATTAAAACTGTTACAAAGAAACTAACCCGGAGGTCCAAAAGTTCCGATTCAACCTTATTGGTTGTGTATGTACCAGGAATGAATCTCAACCCACTGTGTGAATGTTTGGAGACCAGGTGCAGCCTAGAGATGTAACGATGAGGAAGGAGAGGCTGAGGTTTGAGACAGGTGACGGGGACAGTGAAGAACAAAGGCAGTTCAGCCTAGCCAGTGGTTAAGTGCACAGGCTCTGGGGTCAGACAGAGCTGGGTTTGATTCCCGATTCCGCTGCTTCTCTGCTGTGTGTGAGCTCCTCGGGGCCTCAGTTTCCTTATCTGTAAAATGGGTGCATAACAGTACCTCCTCACACAGTGCGGAAGCCATTAAATGGGACAGTGTGTGTAAGGCGCCTAGCGCGGAGCCAGGCAATTCGTAGGCAATGGGGTGTCGGCGACCCTGCAGCCTGGGACACCGCGAAGCAGAGGCAGTGTTTTAGGGAGAGGAACTGGGCCGCGGCGGCCCGGGCGGGCAGGAGATCCCGAGACCCCTCAGCCCCGTACAGGTCCCGCAAACCCGGCCGCCTCACCTCGCGGGGCTGGGCGTCCAGCGGGTCCCGGGAAGGCTTGGGCCTCAGATGCTCCGCGCCGGTTCCCGTCCAGCCCAGTTGCCGGAAGCCGGAGATCCGGGGGGTGGAACTTCTCCGCCTCCTCCGGGAAGAGCTCCGCCTCCTTAAAGAGGCAGCAGTCCCAGAGACACCTGCGTGCCGCAGCGCGCAGAGTCCGCTCCCTCCCGCACCGCTCCCGAGGGTGAGCCTCAGGTTCTTGAAGAGACAGGCGAGGGGGGAGTGGTGGGGTCCCGGATTGTGACTACTTGCTTGCTCCAGGGAACGCAGAAAATTATCGAGTGTAGGGTATTCTTACTGTGTGTTTATACCTCTTTTCCTATGAAAATATAAAATCGGGTAATGAATGACGACAGTGAAAGGAAAAAATAAGTCACCCGCGTCGCCAGTCCCCCAGTTTTTTGGGGGCCATAAAAATTTAACTGGTGAGGAAGTGCATGAATTGATTACATTCTGAATGAGTGATAAAAAGCGCGATGTCTGTTCATATAAGCTCCCCCAGTAAGTGGGCAATTGGAAGACTTTATATCTAATAACAGCCATACATAGTTATTTTTTTTTCAAGATTATCATGATCAGGCTTTGTATATGCAGGGTCTCTAATTCTCAGAACAATCCTGCTATCTTGGGATGAGTATTCTCATTTTACAAAGCGAAAGCAGAGGCTTAGAGCATGTACAGGACGCTTTTGGTTGAGTATGTACCAGGAATGAATCTCAGTTCATGAATTCAGCTGTGCAAGTACATTAGCCACCTCTTATGTCCCATTTCAAATCATCTTGGCCTCACCTGCTGCTTATTTCACCGCCACTCATCTTATTCCAGCATCAGCAGATATAACTTGACTGAGCTTTGCCTCCAGCCTATGCCTCAGGCTTCTCACCTTCTGCTTGGAGTCTTGTTTCTTGATGCTATGGGGTCATGGGACCTTGCTGGAACCACTCAGTACCCAGAAGTGTAGGGGTAGAGAGTTAATGTCTCATGGGGCAAATCTCTGACCAATGGGGTCAACAATTGATGAATATATGTTTTTCCTTTTTCCCTCTCAGACAGGCGCCCTTTCATATAGCTTTCAAACTACTTAGCAGGATTAAGCAACCAAAGGCCTTCACAGGGACCAATCTGACAATGCATCCTCGCTATGGCTCTCCTTCCTTCCCTGATTTACAAGCCCTGTCCTTCACTCCTGGTCCTTGGATTCGTACTTGCCAATAAACTACTCATATGAGGAACCAACATGAAGGCATGTTGGTACCAAAAGTGGGCCCAGAAAACAGAACCTCAAGCTGGCATTTCCTAACTGAACTGCTCACCAGTCATGTGGCAACAACAAATACATTGCTGGTGATTAAGGGGAGAGGGAAGGGAGGGTGGTGGTGGTGTGGTAACACTAAGAATAGAATGGCAGCACAATCACTAAGGTGTCTGTCTATAGTTGATTGGGATAAGGTGCAGGTAGACTTTCAAGGTGCTGAGTTATCTAGTGGCTGTGGCACTGGAACGGTAAAAGGACAATGGTAATTACAAGGACTATGGAATGGACTGGATTTTCTTAACTCCATTAGAACCCCTGTAAATAAAATGACAGAATCAGAACAGCCAACTGTCAACTTGAGGCACTTGGTGAAAGCTAGAGAGCCTCTATGGCAGCTTTGAAGGAGATTCTTATTCTTCTACAGACTTGAGAAAGACTGGACTGAATGAAAATCAGGACCAAGATCTAATTGTAAGAGTGGCAAAGTTTGAATTAACACTTGAATGCACAGCCTCTGTAGGTCTCCTCCATCGAAGCTGGGGCATTGACAGAAAATGAATGGGACCCTGAGAAGTGGGATGAGGATATTTGGGTGGAAAAGCCTGAGACTTGACCATTCCTTGTTTCCAGTTACCCTTGCATCTTTCACAGTGGCAGTAAGAGGACTTTGCTTAGAGATCCTGTAATAATTATCTTCACAACATTGCTTCAGACTAAGGGACCAATTTAATTGCAAAAAAAAAAAAAAGAAACATGCAACAGTGACAGAGCATGGAACCCATTGATCTTACCATGTGACTTGGTCATCCAGAAGTAGGTGGCCTAATAGGATGGTAGAATGGCTTGTTAAAGGCACAGTTAAGGCTCCAGCTTGGGGAAAACACTCAGGAGACTGGGGCATTGTCCTCCAGCATGTAGTACATACACAAAGCCATTGGTTTATTAATTATTTATAATGATGCTTTGTTCTAAATACCTAGCATGTATAGATTTGCAAACCAAGGGGTGGCACTTCTCACTATCACTTTCAGTGAAACTTACACAGAATGTGTGCCTCCTGCCTCACAAGTTTAAGTTCTGCTTAGTTGGAGACCCTGGTCCCAGGGAACCAGGGGAGAAGGAGAGAGAACACTTCCACTCCAGTTACAGTTCCAATTGGAAGCTATAACTGCCACCTAGACATTTTTGGCTTTTCATACTACTGCACCAGCAGGTAAAGAAAAGAGTGCCGGCCGAGCATGGTGGCTCACGCCTGTAATCCCAGCATTTTTGGAGGCCAAGGTAGGCAAATCACCTGAGGTCGGGAGTTCGAGACCAGCCAGGCCAACGTGGCGAAATCCCATCTTCACTAATAACACAAAAATTAGCTGGGCGTGGTGGCACAGCCTGTAATCCCAGCTACTTGGTAGGCTGAGGCAGGAGAATTGCTTGAACCTGGGAGGCAGAGGTTGCAGTGAGCTGAGACTGACCCATTGCACTCCAGCCTGGGCAACAGAGTGAGACTCCATCTCAAAAATAAGCATATAAATAAATTAAATAAAAGAGTGCCACGTGATGGGGTATAATCAGCCCTGATTACTTTAAGAAGTTGGGGGCTGGGTATGGTGGCTCATTCCCATAATCCCAGGATTTTGGGAGGTCAAGGAAGGATGATTGCTTGAGGCCAGGAGTTCAAGACCAGCCTGGGTAACATAAGGAGTGGCTATAACAGTAACAAAATTTGCCAGGCATGGTGGCATGCTTGTAGTCCCAGCTACTCTGACTGAGGTAGGAGGATGGCTTGAGCTCAGGAGTTCGAGGCCGCAGTGAGCTATGATCGCACCACTGCCCTCCAGCCCAGTAACAAGAGTGTGGAAACCCCATCTCAATTGTTAAAAAACAAAACAAAAAAAGGTCTTGGTGTGTTTTAAAACACTTTTCAACTCTGAGCTCCATGATTCTTCTTTCAGTTTCTCCACTGAGCTATGCTGTCTCTGGCTTCTGGGCCTTTGGTCATGTGGTTCCTTCCATTAGGACATATCCCCACTTTGGCCAGCTGACTGCTTGCCATCTTTCTGGTTTCAGCATAGAAATCACTTCCTCAGGCTGGGTGCGGTGGCTCACGTCTGTAATCCCAGCACTTTGGGAGACCGAGGCAGGTGGATTGCTAGGTCAGGAGTTCAAGACCAGCCTGGCCAAGATGGTGAAACCCCATTTCTCCTAAAAATACAAAAATTAGCTGGGCGTGGTCGTGGGCGCCTGTAATCTAATCCCAGCTACTCAGGAGGCTGAGGCAGAGAATTGCTTGAATCCAAGAGGCAGAGATTGCAGCGAGCCGAGATTGCACCACTGCACTCCAGACTGGGTGACAGCGCGAGACTCCGTCTCACAAAAAAAAAGAGAAATCACCTCCTCAGTGAAAACCTCTTGACTTCTCCAACCAGAATTAGCTTCCCCTTCTCCATGCTCTCGTACCCCACACACACCCTCCACCTCTGGACTTCATATAGGAAATGGTAGTTTTTCTGTTTACTTGTCTATTCGCTGCACTGGACCATGACTTCCTTGAAAACAGAGGGTGTTTTATCTATCACTCCATCCCCAGTGCTAAGGGGAGTTGCAGGCCCCAGGTTTTGCTAGGGATGATCCTGTTTCTGTCTTTGCCCTGGGAGGTTTCAAATCCCTATCTCAGGGGAGGGGTCTGACTACAGAAATAGTCAACCACCAGCTAGAAGTCATCATGGGGAAACATCTTTCATTAGTAAAAGAAGAGTTTGTTAACATGCAAACCTATTGACTTGCGGGAGAGCCTCTAACAGGGTCTCTATAAGTGTGGTCTTTTTAAGTATTTGTTTTTTAAACATTAATCAGAGGGAGAATTTAAGATGTGGAATCTACCAATCCAAGAATCTCTCTAAAGTTAAGGCAAAGAATGGGAAATGATCATGACTGGAACAGACCTTTGTGCACCTGGTTAGGAATTTTCTGTCTCATGACAGAAAGACAAACATCTTCTGACCTGACTCCTTCCCCTGGCCCCGGTTGGCTGCTCCTACCCTGTACCTTCATTCAGCTCCGCCCAGTGTGGCCTGGCTGCAGCCTCTCTGCCCGTAGGTTTCAGAGCTTACTCTGGCTGTGCCGAGATGGGGCTGCCCGGGCCAGGGCTGTGGCTGAAGAGGCTCTGGGTGCTCTTGGAGGTGGCTGTGCATGTGGCTGTGGGCAAAGTGCTTCTGACATTGTTTCCAGACAGAGTCAAGAAGAACATACTAGCCATGGGCGACAAAACGGGTATGACCAGGAACCCTAACTTCAGCCACGACAACTGGATCCCGACCTTTTTCAGTACCCAGTATTTCTGGTTCGTCCTGAAGGTCCGTTGGCAGCGACTAGAGGACACGACTGAGCTAGGGGGTCTGGCCCCAAACTGCCCAGTGGTCCACCTCTCAGGACAGAGGTGCAACATTTGGGACTTTATGCAAGGTCAGGAGGCTGCTACCCACTTGCGGGGTGCTTGAAATAGCACGGGTGGAGGGGGATGAGGAGATGGGTTGGAAAGTCCCGAATTCTCCTAATACTCTTGCTGCTCCTTGTGGACCTCGTCCTCTTCCTGCTTTCTGAAACTAGGACTTCTTGTGGATTCTGTTTCTCTAAGTAACGTCACCACCTTCCCAGGCGCTCACATCACGAACCATCCTGTCCGGCACTTCAGCCCCTGGAACACTGCTCTTACTGCACAGGCTGATCTGCCTGGGCTGCTCTTTGCCCACCTCTCTGCCTAGTTAACTCCTGTTCAATCTTCAGACTGCTGCTCAATCACACTTCTTTTGAGAAGCCAAGCCCAATTCCCCCAGACTAGGCTACCCACTCTCACCTGCCTGCTTAACATCCTGAACTTTTCTTGATTACACCTGTTGCAGTTTGTAATTATGTACGCTGGCTGGGATTCTGTTTCCCTCACCAGCCTGCAAACTCAATGCAGGTCGCGACCATTGCTCTAACCCACGATTCCACCCATACCTGATGCTGGCACATGGAAGCTGCTCAGTAAACACTTGTTAAAGATCTCTCATTCTCTCTCTAACTCCACCCACTCCCCAGTCCAGGCAAACCAGTCTCATCTACTTGAGTTCTGTACCTCGCCACTCAAGTTTTCTCTTTTTTGTCCTTCCAGCTTCTCTTCCTGACAGAACTCCCTTCTCCCCAACTTGCCCACTCAGCCAGCCCAGCTTGTGAATGGCTGCGGGATCACTCTTCTGTGAGTACATCCCAGCTCAACCACTTTCAGATGCTCCCTCTGCATTTAGGATGAAGCCCAGGCTCAGCCTTGGACAGGTCCTCCCTGATCAGGCTCCAGCTTTTCCATCCAATACTACCTCCAAGTTCCCTCACACTCATTTCTTCTGGACAAACTGTTGGGCCTTGTACATCTCTTGTACCTTCCCTTGTCTTTGCCTTTGCTGATTTTGTTGGCTGGTCAGGAATGCCTTTCGCCACTCCATTGCCAGCAGTCCCAATCCCCCTCATTCACTCAGGTCCAGCTCTCTTGCCACCTCCTCCTCTGTGAAGCCACCTCAGCTCCCTACAGCTAGGCATGCACAGCTCCCTACAGCTCCCTTCGGCTCATGGCTCTCTGTCTGTGCCTCTCCTTGGACACTGCTGCTCCCTGACCAGCACCTGGCTACCTGAGCACAAGTCTTATTTCCTTGCCTAATGGGGAGCCTCAGGAAAGGGTGTGTGTCTGATTTATCTCTGGATTCCTCAGCATGCTTGGCCCAGGGCCTAGATGCAGCAGGTAGAGAAGGCACCTGAGGCAGTTGGTTTATCCCGTGCTTTTCTTGTTCTTCTTTTACTTTTCTTTAAAAAAATGTTTTTGAGACAGGGTCTCACTCTATTGCTCAGGCTGGAGTGTAGTGGTGCAATCATGGCTCACAGCATCCTTGACTTCCCAGCCATCCTCCCACCTTAGCTTCCCTAGTACCTGGGACTACAAGTGCATACCACAATATTCAGCTAATTTTTGTATTTTTTGTAGAGGTGGGGGTTTCACCATGTTGCCCAGGCTGGTCTTGAACTCCTAGACTCAAGTGATCCACCAACCTTGGCCTTCCAAAATGCTGGGATTACAGGCATGAGCCACTGTGCCCAGCCTATCCTGTGCTTTTCAAAGCACGTTCTTTAGAACCTAAATTCCACAGATATGCTTTACTTTGTAGCGTTCCCTGGTCGAAGTAGGTTGGGAAACCCTGAATACTATATCCTCCTCCTGGAATTTCATGTGCATATGAGCGTGTGCACGTGAGGAGTTTACAATTCCATAGAAGTGAAATGGGGGAGGCTATAAAAAAACAGAACTTTTGCCTGCAGGACTTGGAAGGTTTCCTGGAGGAGATGGCTCTGGAACTAGGCCTTGAAGAATGAGTAACATTTTTGTAGCTTGGCAAGGAAAAAGGGAAGAGTGTTTCAGAGGGGAAGGCAGGAGCTTCTTTGTTGTTGTTCATTTATAATTTTAAACCACAGTGCACAAATGACCTCAGTTTATGGTAATAACTAACTTCCCACATGCCCATGTGCCAAGCACTGTAACAGAATCAGGCCAATTTGCTGAATACCAATCATCTGCAGATCAGGTCCCTGAAAGCCAGCTTGCCTCATGGCCAGTTCACGGAATGTACTTACATCACCTAACTGTCCACTTTCAGGGAGCCAGTTTACATTTTAAAGACTGTTCAATTTGGGCCAGGCACAGTGGCTCACACCTGTAATTCCAACACTTTGGGAGGCCAAGGCGGGTGGATCACTTGAGGTCAGGAGTTTGAGACCAACCTGGCTAACATGGTGAAAGCCCATCTCTACTAAAAATACAAAAATCAGCCGGGCATGGTGGCAGGCGCCTGTAAATCTCATCGCTTGAACCCAGGAGGCAGAGGTTGAAGTGAGCTGAGATCACACCACTGCACTCCAGCCTGGGTGACAGGGCAAGGCTCTGTCTCAAAATAAAATAAAATAGACTGTTCAATTTGTTTCTGCTCCCTGCTGCTGCAGCTGAGACTATAAAATGTTAAGAGTGACCAGGTGCAGTGGTCACGCCTGCAGACCCTGCACTGTGAGCAGCCAAGTGGGAGGATTGCGTGAGCCCAGCAGTTCAAGAACAGCCTGTGCAACATAGTAGAGCCCTGTCTCTACAAAATATTAAAAAGTTAGTGGGGTGAGGTGGTGTGCACCTGTAGTCCCAGCTACTCAGGAGGCTGACTGGGGTTACTGGAGCCCAGGAGTCAAGGCTGCAGTGAGCCGTGTTCGTACCAGTGCATTCCAGCCTAGGTGACAGAGCAAGACCCTGTCTCAAAACTAAATAAATAAATAAATGATTTTTAATGGCAAGAGGAGGAAACTGAAGCAAAAGAAAAATCTACTTATAAAATAGAGTTGACTTTCAACACATTAACCTAAAGTCCCCTGAAATCATAGGTACTAACAATACAGAAATAAACAGCATAGGCCTCTGCTCTGGAAAGCCTCTTAACTCTGAGTGAGAGATGGTGTTGTGTCAAGGAAGCAGAGGGCACTGGGGAAGGAACCTTGTCAAGAGTAGGGTAAGGAGGTGGCTGAGGGAAAGCTTTCTGGAGGAGAGGATGGTAAGCTGATTGTCTCGGGGCAGTGAAACCTTGGGGTGGGTGAGGAAGCGGAGTATGGGGAGCAGGGCAGGGCAGAAGGAAGCAGCAAGAGAGGTCTGAGATGTGGAAGAGCATCATTCAGTTTGGCAGAAGTGGGGTCCCAGAGTCAGGAAGGGGTGAAGGATGAGGCAGAAGGCATCATCGGGAACCAGAGCTTATGGGGCCTTGTGTGTCGTAGCTGCAGGTTGACTTTATCCTGCTAAGTTCTGGAAGAGTTTCTAAGTGGGAAGTAAACATGATCAGTTCTGCTTATTGGAAAGATATTGACTGGGTGCAGTGGCTCACGCCTGTAATCCCAGCACTTTGGGAGGCCGAGGCTGGTGAATCACTTGAGGTCAGGAGTTCAAGACCAGCCTGGCCAATCCGATGAAATCCTGTCTCTACTGAAAATACAAAAATTAGCTGGGTGTCATGGCATGCACCTATAATCCCAGCTACTTGGGATGCTGAGGCAGGAGACTCTCTTGAATCTGCCAGGTGGAGGTTGCAGTGAGCTGAGATCATGCCACTACACTCCAGCCTAGGCAACAAAGCAAGATACTGTCTCAAAAAGTAAAAAGAAAGAAAAAAAGACATGTTGTAATACTTTGGAAACCCACCAGGCCACCAAAAAGCTCCGTTGTATGCTTTGGGTATAAACTCTGAACTCAGAGACAGAGACAGAGAGACCTGAAGAATCTTTACTGATAATCTAAAGCAGCTGCTTCATTTTTTGAATGCAAAGGCCCAGAGAGGTGAATGACTTGCTTAGAGTCACACAGGGAGTTCTTTGAAGAGCCAGAACTAGAATGTGTGCCTTCTAACTCTCAGCCCATGCACTTGCTGTTACTGGATGAGACAGCAGGAGCTCAGGGAAACTCTCGGCCACCTCCAGTCCTTGGTGTGTCCACACACATGCACACACACAATATACACACACACTCTTGGACACACACAAAGCAAAACATCAGTAACTGGCATGGTGTGGCAGAAGGCAAGTTCTGGATGATTTACTTTCTGGATAATGAGAGTTAATCTGAAATTGGTTTTATTTCAGCCCCTGTTTGAAATCTTTTAACATTTTTCCAAGTATACTTACAAGTGTTGTCCAGTAACAATAAATAGGATTTCTCTGCTGAGAGATCCCAATGAGGGAGTTACTGACCCGGGCTGTTTTCCCAGGTATACAAAGGAGTTGGACTTGGTAGTCTTCACTGGATTCTTTCTTTTTTTTTTTTTGAGACAGAGTCTTACACTGTTTGTTGTCCAGGCTGGAGTGCAGTGGTGTGATCTTGGCTCACTGCAACCTCCTCCACCTAGGTTCAAGCGATTCTCCTGCCTCAGTCTCCCGAGTAGCTGGGATTACAGGCGCTCGCTACCACACCCAGGTAATTTTTTGTATTTTTAGTAGAGACAGGGTTTCACTATGTTGGCCAGGCTGGTCTCGAATGCCTGACCTCGTGATCCGCCCGCCTCGGCCTCCCAGAGTGCTGGGATTATAGGCATGAGCCACTGCACCTGGCCTGGATTCTTGAAATGGTGTTCTCTGCACTGTGGTCTGTGGACATGGGCGGGGCGGCAGCCCCCATGTACTCATCCTTTATCTCTCTGCGGCTGAGGAAAGCAGAGAACTTAGTTTAAACTTTGCCCTCAATATTGACCACTGTACCCAACCACACAATAAATAAACAAATGGCTCTGTGTCTTCCAGGGTCTGAATCAGTGGATGTTGAATTTTTTCCCAATTAAAAACAAAATTTCATACAGCTGACACTTAGAGTTGATCACAACCATAAGTCATTTGGGTTATTTATTTTTTATTTTTAGTTTTTATTTTTATTGAGATGGAGTCTCATGCTGTTGCCCAGGCTGGAGTGCACTGGCACGATCATAGTTCATAGGAATCTCATTTATGGGCTTAAGCGGCCTTCCCGCCTCAGCCTCCCAAGTAGCTGGGACTAGACATGTGTCACCACGACTGGGTAATTTTTTTTTAAGGGACGGAGTCTTGCTATGTGGCCCAGGTGTTTTGAGTTCCTACCTAAAGAGTGACAGAGTGACTCTCTGGGGTCATAGGAGGCCAGTAACTGGCCACTTGGCCACAGTTGACCTCTGAGCTGCCCTCCCAAAGCCTGGGCCTCCTTATCACATGGGTGAGGAATCATAGTGCAGTCAACCAGCAGAGACTGGCACTATATAAATCAATAGTTGCATATTTTCTTTCTTTCTTTCTTTTTTTTAAGAGACAAGATCTTGTTATGTTGCCCAGGCTGGAGTACAGCGGCTATTCCCAGGTGCTATCATAATATAATACAGTCTCGAACTTCTGGGCTCAAGCAATCCTCCTGCCTCAGTCTTCTAAGTAGCTGGAACTATAGACACACTTGTCTATATCTGACTCATTTTTTGCAGTTTTGGCTGCCCAGCTCCTAACTCTCCTTCCTACTTAGGATTCTCTTGTTTGTATTCTATTTATGAAACAGTGTGCCCAGCCTTGCTCTATATAAGGAATATAAACCAATTTTGTTTCTTCTTTTACTTGGCCACCAGAAAACTCAGACTCAAAATATAGCTCAATTACAACAAATGCATGGGATCTATGGCCTGTGTGTATTCCATTTTCCCCTCCTGTTGTATGCCTCCCAGAGGGGCATGAATAAAACAAAATCTGGCCAAGCATGGTAGCTCACACCTGTAATTCCAGTACTTTGGGAGGTCAAGGCGGGCAGATCACCTGAGGTCAGGAGTTCGAGACCAGCCTAACCAACATGATGAAACCCCATCTCTACTGAAAACACAAAAATTAGCTGGGTGTGGTGGTATGCACCTGTAATCCCAGCTACTTGGGAGGCTGAGGCAGGGGAATTGCTTGAACTTGGGAGGCAGAGGTTGCAGTGAGCTGAGATCGCACCTTTGCACTCCGGCCTGAAAAAAGTAAAAAATTAAAAAAAATTATATTTAATGTTTTAGTATAGGTGTAAGGAGCTTTAAATTCTCTGCAGAATAGCAGAACACAGAGGGGGTATAGTTAACCAAATAAACCAAATAAGCAAGTTAAGATGCCCTCTACTCCCCATCTATCAGCAAGCCCTGTCAATTCCACCTTCTCCCCAACTCTATTGCCCTACACTAGCAAGCCTAGACTCCGATTCTCTCTCTCTCTCTCTCTCTCTCTCTCTCTCTCTCTCTCTCTCTCTCTCCCTCCCTCCCTCTCTCTCTCCGTCTCCCTTTCTCTCTCATAGAGACACAGTCTCATTCTGTCACCCAGGCTGGAATGCAGTGGCACAATCACAACTGACTACAACCTCAACCTCTTGGGCTTAAGGGATCCTCTGGCCTCAGCCTCCTGAGTAGCTGGGACTATAGGCACACACTACCAGGACCAGCTAATTTTTTTTTTGTACAGGTGAAGTCTCGCTATGTTGCCCAGATTAGTCTCGAACTCATGGGCTCATACGATCCTCCTGCCTCGGCCTCTCAAAGTGCTGGGATTACAGGCATAGGCTATTGCGTCCAGGCCCATTGTCTTTCATGTAGACTTCTCCAATGCCCCCAACTGCTTATCCCTCACTTTCCTTCTCACTGTTAGTCCTTTCTCCACAGAGCAGCCAGAGTGATCTTCAAGTATAAACCTGTCATTACATAGCTCTACTATAGCAGTCAGGGTTCTGGCTTGTAAGCAACAGACGCTCCCTCTGGTTTTCTTGGTCACATACACATATGTACATAAAGGAACATACTGGAAAGATGTTGAATGCCTTCTAGAATCAATACCAGCTGGTCTTGATTGGACTGTCTTTTAGCATCAATAGTTGGGCTTGGATGCTGCTGTCATTGTGGTTGCCATGGGAACCCATCACCATCCCTTACAGGGGCACCACACTGGTCTGTGGATGAATTCTACCATCTCAATGACTCCCAGAATCAAAGATCTATGTAGAAGGGTATAATTAGCCCAGCTGGGGTCACTGCCTGAGCCCTGGCTGCCAGGGTAGAGTGTGAACCTGGCCCTTCTGTCTTCCATAGAGCAAAGCTGGGCACACTGTTTCATTAAGTAGACTACAAAATAGGGAATTCTAAGTAGGAAGGAGAGTTAGGAGCTGAGCAGCCAAACTGCAACAAATGAGTCGGATGTAGTCAAGTGTGCCTATAGTTCCAGCGACTAAGAAGGCTGCAGCAGGGGCATCACTTGAGCCTAGAAGTTCAAGACTGTAGTGTATTATGATGGTACCTGTGAATAGCCATTGCACTCCAACCTGGGCAACATTAACAAGATCTCATCTCTTAAAAAAGAAAACAAAGAAAGAAGATAAGCAACAATATTGACCACCCTTGCTTTCTATCCCCATGATAGCCCACATACCTAGAATAAAATCCAGATTCTTTTTTTTTTTTTTTTTTGAGACAGAGTTTCGCCCTTGTTACCCAGACTAGAGTGCAATGGCGCGATCTCGGCTCACCGCAACCTCCGCCTCCTGGGTTCAGGCAATTCTCCTGCCTCAGCCTCCTGAGTAGCTGGGATTACAGGCAGCGCCACCATGCCCAGTTAATTTTTTTGTATTTTTAGTAAAGACAGGGTTTTACCATGTTGACCAGGATGGTCTCGATCTGTTGAGCTTGTGATCCACCTGCCTCGGCCTCCCAAATGTTGTTGCTGTTTTTAGTACACCAGAGTTGCAAAGTATGTCCTGACATTCTTCAAAATTTTATCTTTGAATCTGCATTTTGTAAGCGAAACCCTATTTGACAATGGAGCATGCCTGGAGGACTTGGAGGCTCTGCTCACACAGGCTCCTGCCTTCCACAGCCTCCCTGCCCCACCAGGACATGTTCTCCAAGGCCCACTCTCCCATCCCCAGGTGCTCCTTCCTGCTCCCACCCAGAGACTACTGCCATCTCCTGACCCTAGAGTGGGCCTAGATACAGAAGTGAGGAAGGTGGGGGTCAGGTGAGAAAGGTGGGGGTCGGGTATCACATCCCCCAGTGTCTCATGGCAGCTGTCCCCATCCTGGGCTCACAGTGACCGAGGGTTGGGGGAGGCTCTTGCCCACCCCTTCCCTCATCAAGGTACCTAGTATATCCCTCACAGAGGTTGCAATACCCTGTGGGTTGGGGTGGTGGGCAGGTGGGAAGGGGCCATGTCTGGCTCAACTCCTGTGATTTGGGTGGGGCAGGGCATGTTGGTCTGGTGGCTGGAGGGAGAGGGGAGGTGCACACACACTCAGTTTCTGGGGTGCTGGGTAGTTGTGAGGATCTGCTCTCACTCTATGAATATCCTTGTATCAGGGGAGTATGACATTAAATAGCAACTAAAAGAGAGAGACCAAAGAAAATTAGAAACGTCTTTGTATTTTAGGCTGGACATAGTGGCTCAGGCCTGTAATCCTAGCACTTTGGGAGGCCAAGGCAGGTGGATCACCTGAGGTCAGGAGTCCAAGACCAACCTGGCCAACATGGTGAAACCTCGTCTCTACTAAAAATACAAAAATTAGCCAGGTGTGGTAGCACGATCTAGAGTCCCAGCTACTCAAGAGTCTGAGGCAGGAAAATCACTTGAACCCAGGAGGTGGAGGTTGTAGGGAGCTGAGATTGCGCCACTGCATTCAAGCCTGGGTGACAGAGCGAGACTCCATCTCAAAAAAAAAAAAAGGAAACATCTTTATATTTTAATGAATTTTATGGTACTTTCCCCTACTTTTTAGACAAGGAGCCCTGCATTTTCATTGGCAGCAGGCCCAGCAAATTACGCAGCAGTTCCTACTCCAACCATTCACTTTCTTTGTGGAGCTGCCTTCGGTGCCTCCCAGCTTCACAGCTCAGGGAGGAGATAAAAGCTCATAGCAACAGCTAAGCACCTACTATAGGCCAGGCACCAGATGAAGCCCTTAACTCTATTAATTTATTTACTCCTCATAACAGTGCTATAAAGTATTATTATGCCCTCTTGTGGACGAGGAAACTGAAGTGCTATGAATAGAAAGAGCACTAAATTGAGAGTCCAGAAACCAAAATGTTCATTTTATCTCCTCACTGACCTGCTGTGTGAGCTGGAGCAAGTGTGTAAAATGGAGAAAAATGACCAACCCTGCAGTATTACTAATCCCATCACATGAGAGAATGGATGCATGCCTGACTCATAAACCACATGAAAGGGGCTCCTCTTATCATATTTAAGGAGCCTAGCATGCGGCAACTGCAGGTGGTCTGCTGAAACCACCTAACACAAACCTCTCATTTAGCAGCCCCTGCTAAGTCATGCTCTCTAGACTTTGGACCCCAGCACCTAGGACTCGTCCTGGGGTGGTGGAGTGGGGGGCATAAAAATAGCAGAATTGAACGTAGGAGTGCAAATGGTGCTTATAAAAGAAAGCTGTGTGTAGAGTCTCAGTTTGCGATGGCTCTTTCTGTTTCAGGCAACAGGCCCCTGGTGCTGAATTTCGGAAGTTGTACCTGACCTTCATTTATGTTCAAATTTGACCAATTCAAGAGACTTACTGAAGACTTTAGTTCCGTAGCAGATTTTCTCATCATTTACATTGAAGAGGCACATGCATCAGGTACAGGAAGATTCTCTGCCTCTTCCACCTCTTTCTGCTGTCTCTTTTCTCTCTCCCTTTCCCCCAGGTCCCATCTCAAGGTTGGGAGGTGGAGGGAGGAAGAGGAGGAGAGAGGGGAAGAGCTGCTATTCACTGAGCACCCACCACTCTCAGGCCCTGCGCTAGGCTAACCTCACAGTCTGTGCTTTCAACCAGGCTACCGAGAGCAGAACACCTGGAGTGACAGTCTGGCTGGCTGGGAGAGGATTCTAACATTTTGATCCGATAAATAAGGGAAGTCAAGGGAGAGGAACTGATTTGAATACGTTTACAAGGAATTTAGACCCACTGAAAATGTGACAGGTGAAATGATGGCCATAAGGCAATTTCTTTTTTTTTTTTTTTTTTTTTGAGACAAGGTCTTGTTCTGTTGCCTGGGCTGGGGCTGGAGTACAATAGCACTCACATGGCTCACTGCAGCCCCAACCTCCTGGGCTAAATCAATACTCCTGCCTCAGCCTCCCAAGTAGCTGGGACAGCAGGCACATGCCACCACGCCCAGCTAGTTTTTTTTGTATTTTTTATAGAGACAGAGTTTCACCATGTTACTCAGGCTGGTCTCGAACTCCTAGGTTCAAGCAATCTGCCCACATCGGCCTCCCAAAGTACTGGGATTACAGGTGTGAGCTACTGCGATTGACCTATATGGCTGCTTATAAAATACATCCCAAGACTCCAAGGGACATTACAGTTCACCTCTGTCAGTAGTTCCAAAGCTTTGGTAAGCATCAGGACCACCTGGGGTGCTTGTTAAAACAGACTGCTGGACCACACCCCAGGGTCCAGTCCATCTGGGATGAGGGCCCCAGAATTTGCATTTCTTACAAGTTCCAGGTGATACAGATGCTTCTGGTCTTGGGAGCACACTTAGAGAACCACTACTTTAGGCCAACTTTTACCTGGGGAGAAAATTCTTTCTACAGCCCCTAACTGGCGGTCACTCATCTTCATTACTTCACAGGAAATCCTGTTCCTTTGCTGGACAGCTCTGTTCATGAGAAAGTTCTTCCTTATAAAGGGCAGACACGTCCCTCCCTGAAACTTCTACACCTTGGTCTAGAAGTTGTGGAAGCCCATTGAACTTTATAAAAGGGTCAGATACCCCTCCATCTCCCTGATCTCCATGGGGCTTGAATCCATGAGTTTGCCCCAAATCTCAAATCTAGAGATTGAATAAGGCAAGAAGCCTGGCGTGGCCAAGAGGAAGAAGAGTCATGTGCTCACTCATCTCTCCACAAGATAAGAGAGAAGCTGTCTGACTCATTTCTGTCACCCAGCACCCAGCAGAGTCCATGTCACACAGCCAGAGCTCAGTAAAAGTTGGGTGAATGAGTAAGTGTTTAGGCCAATATAAGCTTTGCTGGTTTGTCTGAGTGCTGTAAGCACAGAGATTACTACTGATTAATGTTCAGCCAAGTTGGACCATCAGTGCTTTTCCCAGTGTGGTCCCTAGATGCTTGGTGTCAGAACCACTTGGACTGCTTATTAAAAACGCCCTATTCCAAGGCCCCACCCAGACCCATTAAATCTTGATTTATATACACCTAAGGGTTTAAGGACTGCTTTCAACTTATTATTGTGTTCATTTAACTGGCAGCTTCTGTCCTCATTAAGACTTTGGGGCAACTTAAAATATTAGCACAAGGTAATAAATAGGTAAATGGAGGTCCATCATACCATTCTCTCTCCCTTCATGTATTGTCTTACTCTGTTTTGTGTTGCAATAAAAGAATGCCTTAAATGGTATAATTTATAAAGAAAAGATATTTATTTAACCCATGGCTCTGCAGACAGAAGTTTATGGGCATGGCCCTGGCTTCTGGCAAGGGCTTTTGTGCTGTATCCTGACATGGTGGAGAAGATCAAAGGGGAAGTCAACGCTTGCAAAGAAGAGGCAAAAACCTGAGGGGGTTCCTGACTTGATAACAACCACTCTCACAGAAATGAATCCATTCCTGCAACAATTAATCCAGATTTGCAGGAGTGAAAACTCATTTGAGAACAGCACCAAGCCTTACATGAGGGATCTGCCCCCATGACCCAAACACCTTCCACTAGGCTCCATCTCTCAACACTGCCACATGGGGGATCAAATTTCAACATGAATTTCAGTGGGAACAACCAAACCATATCCAAACCGTAACACGTATATATGGAAATTTCCATAATAAACTTTAAAAAACCAGCCTGTGGACCAGCAGAGCAAAAATAAGCACAATATATCTCTTTGTCAAATATCCCTTTGTTTGTTTGTTTGTTTGTTTGTTTTCAAATATCCCTTTGTGAGAGCAGCAGCCATCAGTTAAAGAAAGAGACCTTGGGCAGTGACATCGGTGTTTGTAATCTCAGTGGCAGTGAAGAGACAATACCTTGATGACATCACAGCTGACAGTTGAAGTTCAGCCAAAGCTAAATTAATTGTCTTGGGGCAGCATTTCTCAAACTTTAATATGCATTCTGGTCACCTGGAGATCTTATGAAAATGCAGATTTTGGCTCAGGAGGGCCGGGCTGGAATGAAGCCCAGGTGAGGTAAGGCTACTGGTCCAGGGTCCACACTTTGAGTAACAAGGTCCTAAAGGATATAGCTTTAATCTTTCAAAGAACAAATTGCAAACTGCCACAAGAGGAGTTGGATCATCACAGAAATTGTTTCCTGGTCCTGATACCTATCCCTTGACCCATTTTTCCTGGAGTCAGACTGGGAAAATTTAAGCCTTTCCAGAATCCAGAGCTTCCCACATCAAGCAACTGAGGAAAGGCTTCCGTACCTGTCCCAACATACCAGTTTTTCTGCTCTGTGATTTGCCACTGCTAATGCAGACAGTTCTTCCTCCTCCCCATCTCCTTCCCAAGGGTCTTTGTTTCTGTCAGACAGAAGTAGGTATGGCCTGAACCTCAGAAATAAAACATACAGAGCCAGTGTCCACCAATCCTAGGGGATCTAGGGTCTGTGTCCCAAATCAGTTGGCCTCCTTGTCCCCACATACCACATTTGCCCAGGTGGAATATGGGGAGGCATGAAGTGTGGTGGGAAGAACACAAACTTTAGAATTTCAGACCTGAGTGTGAATTCTAGCTCTATTGGCTTCACCTCTTCAGTGTTTCAGAGTCCACATGACCTTGGGGCAAGTAGAAGGGCAAGGCCACCAGCAGTTTATGGTTATTTTTTTCAACCTGTGGGCCCATTGTGTGTCTCTCAAGGACAGGTAGGATGATGGTTTGGAGGGTAGTATGATTAGAAGGCAGGGAGACTGCTTAGGAGTGCATGGGAACAAGGGTAATTGCCAGGCTAGTTATTGTACTTGGCTGTGAGCTCACCCTGAGTGGCTGATCTCGCGGCGGTCAGTAGAGCTCATGCAACATCAGCTGCAGTAGCAGAGGTAACAGTATCTGAACTAAGAAAAAAGAAGGCCCCACTCTGATTACTCTGCAGGCAGGTGGGTCAAAGAATCTGAGTATTTCACCCATCTGGCTGGAGCAAAAAGCTGGAGAGATGGGGAGGAGCCAGGTCACTGAAAGCCTGGGGGACGACACAGAGGAGCTTACGACACAGAGGAGCTTGAGATTTGTCCTGAGGGCAGTAGCCACAAAAAGATTCAAGATTAAGCAGGAGAGTTACATGCTCAGATTTGCCTTTTTTATTTTTTTATACATAAGTTTGCTTTTGTCACCTAGGTTGGAGTGCAATGGCGTAGTCCTGGTTCACTGCAACCTCTGCCTCCCAGGTTCAAGCAATTCAACTGCCTGAGCCTCTCAAGTGGCTGAGATTACAGGTGTGCACAACCACGCCCAGCTAATTTTTGTACTTTTAGTAGAGACAAGGTTTCACCATGTTGGTCAGGGTGGTCTCGAACTCCTGACTTCAGATGATCTGCCCACCTCAGCCTCTCAAAGTGTTGGATTACAGGCGTGAGCCACTGCACCCGGGCCAGATTTGCATTTTTGAAAGAACAATGTGGTGAAGAATTAGGAGAAGAAAATTGTTTAGACTCTGGAGAGTAGTACTTAAACTCGATATAAATTAGAATCATCTGGAAGGCTGTTAAAACACAGATGTCTGGGTCCCATTCCTAGTCCATCTAGGCTGAGGCCTAGGGTTTTCACTACTTAACAGGCTTCCAGGTGATGCTGATGCTGCTGGTCTGGGGACACACACTTAGAGAACTACTGATCTAGAACCTTGCCTCTTCAAGTATGGTCCAGGCACCAGCAGTCTTGGCCTCCTGGAAGTTAGCTGGACTCTCAGCCCCACCTTCGACAGACTGAATCAGAATCTTACTTTACCAACATCCCCAAATGATGCATGCAAATTCAAGATCAAGGAGTGCTGGTTTACTGGACTATTTCACATTGAAGAGCAGAGGCCTGGCAGCCAAGAGCCCTGGGCTTCAGTTTTACATCAATCACTAATTCCCGATGTGACCTTGCACATTCAACCATAATAGGAAACTAGGCCAATCATTGCCAAGGGCTCCTCTGAGAACCTCAGTTAAAAGTGAGGGGCTATTTAGTCTGCAGAAAGTGTGTGCCATGTCAATGGAACTTGGTGCCTGGCCTTTCTCTTGTAGATGGCTGGGCTTTTAAGAACAACGTGGACATCAGGAATCACCAGAACCTTCAGGATCGCCTGCAGGCAGCCCATCTGCTGCTGGCCAGGAGCCCCCAGTGCCCTGTGGTGGTGGACACGATGCAGAACCAGAGCAGCGAGCTCTACGCAGCACTGCCTGAGAGGCTCTACATAATCCAGGAGGGCAGGATCCTCTACAAGGTGGTGACCTGGGGGCAGGGGGCCCAGGGAGGGCAAAGGGGCCCAGGGAGGGAGGGCATGGGCAATAAGAAGGCTTTGCATCAAGCAGAACTGGATTCAAATCATCACCCAGTCATTTACCAGCCATGTGACCATGGGCGAGTCCCTTCACTTTTTGGAGTTCCTTCAGTTTCCTCTTCTGCAAAATAGGAATGTTGGTCCCCACCTCACAGGGGATGAAATAATGCATGCAAAAGTCCCTAGCATTTGGACTGGAGCTGCATCCTCCTGGCTGCCTTTTGAACCCAGATAATGGCCCAATCCTGGTCTGGTTTCAAGTTGAGAGACAGAGACTGTTGTTTCTGTTTTTGGGGGGTTTTTTTGAGACAGACTCTCACTCTGTTGCTAAGGCTGGAGTGCAGTGGGGTGATCTCGACTCACTACAACCTCTACCTCCCAGGTTCAAGTGATTCTTCTGGCCTCAGCCTCTCACGTAGCTGGGATTACAGGTGCACACCAAACCTGGCTAGTTTTTGTATTTTTGGTAGAAATAGGGTTTCGCCATGTTGGCCAGGCTGGTCTTGAACTCCAGACCTCAAGTGATCTGCCCGCCTTGGCCTCCCAAAGTGCTGGGATTACAGACATGAGCCACCGTGTCTGGCCTGTTTTTGTTTTATAGACAATGTTCAGAGAGGGGGAATTACTTTGCCAAGGTCACACTGGTCAAGGCTCTGATTTCAATTCTAAATCCCCTGATGGGGTGGGCCAGAAATGAGAAGGTCTGATGCTGCTAATATCTGAGGCAGGCCTGAGCCCGGTAGAAGGCTCAAGGGTAATGGAACCCATGGTCTGGAGCTGGAAATGTTAGATGCAGGGATGTGAGGCAGAAATGCAGTCTGGGCTCCCTTTCTTGTGATTGTTCCCTCTCAAAAGTTCCATGTGGGTGGATCATGAGGTCAAAAAATCAAGACCATCCTGGCCAACATGGTGAAACCCTGTCTCTACTAAAAATACAAGAAATTAGCTTGGTATGGTGGCATCACCTATAGTCCCAGCTACTTGGGAAGCTGAGGCAGGAGAATCCCTCGAACCCAGGAGGTGGAGGCTGCAGTGAGCTGAGATCGCGCCACTGCACTCCAGCCTGGTGACAGAGTGAGACTTCATCTCAAAAAGGAAAAAGAGTTCCAGCCTGGTCAGAGTGAGGGAGGTAAGTGCACAGCCTCTGACCCTTTAGACACAGTTGTCTTGACCTCCCTTGAGAAGGTAGAAACTACATCGTAAAGCTACTGAAGGGATTTCAAGCCTTGGGGAGCAGATAAAATCAAGTATGTGGATGTTCTTCTGTCCATAGATCAAGATCAAGCTGACCCTACTTATTCAGATGAAACAAGTGAAAACTTGCAGGTAAATTGCCCATGGTGCAAGGGTCACAGTAGAATTCAGGTTCTTCATCCTTTCCTGTGCCCTGAGACATGGTTCAGGCATGACTGAGGCAAGCTGGGCACTGAGTCCCTACCTTGGATTAGGCCCTGTGCAAATACCAGAAACACAAAAATGAATTAAAAATGACCCACATCTTACTTCAAGGTACTCACAGGCTGAGGGATAAGGAAGACCCAAATAAAATTAGTACAGTGTCCCAACTGCTGCGGGACTCCAGAGCAGGGGTCAGCATGCCTTTTCTGTATGGGGCCGGATAGTAAATATTTTCAACCTTGTGTCAAATAATCCCTGTCACAACAATTCAGTTCTGCTGTTACAGCACAACACCAGCTGCAGACAGCATGCAAATGAAAGCATGTGAGGCATCGGCCCTGACCTGGCTCTCAGGCTGCATGTTTTTCAACCTCTGGGGAAGGGTAGGCTTCTCAGAGGAGGCAGCAATTGCTTGGTCCTTGAAGGATAAGGAGTTGGCCAAGTGAGCACGGTGAGTGAAAAATCACTGCAGCATAGGGAAGAGGGTGGGCAGAGACACTGAGGCATAATAGGGCAGAGTATGAACAAAGGATGGGGACACTGGGGTTGCAGGGGTCTCATTCTGGACCAAGGGATTTGGCCTTCATCTTAAGGCAAAGGAGAGTCACTGACGGGTTTGGAGCAGGAAAAAGGCATGATCAGACCTGTACTTAGAAAGTTCACTGGTTCGGCCAGGTGCGGTGGCTCATGCCTGTAATCCCAGCACTTTGGGAGGCTGAGGAGGCAAAGGCTGCAGTGAGCAAAGATTGTGCCACTGCACTCCAGCCTGGGCAATAGAGCAAGGCTCTGTCTCAAAACAAAATACAACAACAATAACAAAAGAAAGTTAACTGGTTCCATGGCCAGGGATGGTGGCTCACGCCGGTAATCCTGGCACTTTGGGAGGCCAAGGCAGGCAGATCACTTGAGGCCAAAAGTTTGAGACCAGCCTGGCCCATGTGGCAAAACTCCATCTCTACTAAAAATACAAAAATTAGGCAGGCATGGTGGTGTGCACCTGTCATCCCAGCTACTCAGGAGGCTGAGGCATGAGAATCACTTGAGGCCAGCAGGCGGAGGTTGCAGTGAAGAAAGTTCACTGGCTCCTGGATGAAAAATGGACAGGAGGGAGCAGGGACTAAGGACTGGGGATAGGTGGGAGGGTGGCAGCTGCCCAAGCTGTGGATGAAAAGGGCCGACCTAGGGCAGTAGAACTGGAGAGGCAGAGATGGCTGAGGTAGGATGGGTAGAACTTGAAGTGAGACTGGAGAGGAAGATTAGGCCATTCTGAAGGTCTGATTATGGAAGAAAACCTTATCTGTATAGGCCCCTTCTCTTTCTGAAAGTCTGTGTCACTTTACATCCTCTAGTTTTCCTCCTACTTTTCTGTCCAGCCTTCCTGTTAACTGCTGATGGCACTGTAGACACTTTTTCACCCACCTCACAGCTGCAACTGCCATTGAATTAGTCATGCTGACGACGCCCACATAGACATCATTTGACCAGATCTTGCAACTAAGCTCCAGACCTACATGTCCCTTACAAGTTGGAAATCTGGGAATGCCTGATTCATTTCTCTTGCAGGGCAAATCCGGCCCTTGGAACTACAATCCAGAGGAAGTTCGTGATGTTCTGGAAAAACTTCACAGTTAATCTGGACAGATACCTCAATTCTAGGTGACCAACAGGAGGGCTTCTCAAGGCTTGCCTCTCCCTGAGACCCAGCTGGCTTTTACCTTTGACCTGTGTCCCTAGCTGAATCACTAGCTCAGATTTTTCTAATCTAAGCAAACAACTCCCAGCTGTGGAATACAGGTCACAGCACCCAATCAGGACAAACTGTTATCATCAGAAGATGAAGCAACACTCGAGCTGTTCAGGCCAGTTTCCTATTGAAGAAAGTACAGCTTCACACTGCTCCCACCGTGGAGACCACATTCATTGCACACTGTCTTTGAGAGAGCAGTCGCACTCCATAGGCACACTTCTAAGGTACGGTGTCTCTCTCCAGCCACTCTGATACCACGTAATTCAAGCTGGCATTCCTTCTATTAGGGAAATTCATTTTATCCGGTTTGCATTTATGGAATTGATCACTTAAGACACTAAATTGGTTTTCAGAACCAAGTATGGGAAGAATTCCAGTTGTCAAAAAGAGATGAGGAGTTGGAAGAGGAGGGATTAGAAACAGGAGGCAGTCATCCTCTCCTTGACAAAAGATTTAAACTTGTCTACATTGGTGGTGACGATGGGTAGGTTTCCATGGTAACACATCTCTAATTTTACCAGGGAAGAGGAGAGAACTCACTTAACCATCTTCGAATATATTTTATAGAAATCTAGCTCTCTGTACCCTGAAATCTTCCACTAGCCTCACTTTTCAACAGTCACCTAGAAGGGAGGGTTGGCTTCCCAAAAGCATAACCTTGACCAAACCAAACAACAGGCACCAGCAACGCTGTCATTCAGTTACGCAGAAGCTCCTACGTGAAATTCTGTTTCTCTGATTTCTTTGCAAGTCTCTTAATGGTCATTTGTGTTAGATTACATCAAACTAATGGATAACCATTGTTATTCATCTGTTTTAACTCTGTGTCTTTACGTATTTATTTATGATGGCCACAGCCTAAAGTATATACGGCTGTGACTTGATTCAAAAGAAAATGTTATAAGATGCAGCAAGCTAATAACAGAATGATTAAAACGTATCAGGCTATTTTGGATGGCTTCAGTGTGATCTTTATATTTTCTTTTCCAATTTGTATCGGCCCAGTGTAATCTGACCAGCAAAAATACCATTTGCTGGAAGAGCCTCATTTGCGGGGAAGAACGTTCAGGCTCTAGGTTACATGTTAAATGTGGTTTTATCTTATGAACTCCTGCTGGAGTGAAATAGTTTTTCACATTGGAATCAAATTACCTTTACAACATGACATAAAAATGGATCTGAAAGGCCTCTCCCTAGCATGAGAACATATTCTCTTTAGCTCTACTTTAGTTGCTACAATGTTAATATTATTAATGTTGTCATTTTACTCTTTTAAGAATAGTTATTATTGCAGGAGGCTGAGACAGAAGAATCACTTGAACCCAGGAGGCGGAGGTTGCAGTGCACCAAGATGGCGCCACTGTACTCCAGCCTGGGTGACAGAGTGAGACTGTTAAAAAAAAATAAAGTTATTATTAATCATCTACCAGGCACAGTAATTTTCAGATATGTTATCTCATTTAATCTCTCAATAACTCAAAAAGGAGATGATTATCCCCATTTTACAGATGAGGAAATCAAGGCTCAGAGCGTTAAGTAACTTGCATAACTTCTCAGAACTAGTAAGTAACAAGCTGAGATTCAAACTGGACCTCTAACTTCAAGGCCAGAGTCCTAGCTCTGTTCCTACCAACTGGGTGACTTTGCTTAAGCTGCCTTGGTATCCTGACCTATAAAATAGTGTGCCTACTCTCTAGAGGATTCATGAGTAGAGCACTTAGAACTGTCTCTGACTTGGAGAAAGAGTCATGGAAATGATGGCTATTATTATTATTGTCATGATTGTCCCACAACTGCTTCCTCGGGCCCTCTTTTTGGGGGTAGGCGTGGAAGGAGGACAAGACAATAAGGACACTGAATAAAATTTCTCCATCCTGCCCAAGCAACTCATAACCAATACAGGCATGAGTTTGTGAGGCAATACTGAAAATGAGCTGTGAGAATGACGGGGCTGAAGCACAGATGAGCCCTCACTGTCCCTCCTAAGTACTAAGTTCCACAAAAGGAGACAGCATATAAGGCAATGCTCTTCTGAATCACCTCTCTGATGGTCCTCCAATTCATGTCTATAAATGCACAGAAATCTCCCAGTTTTCAACAAATAATAGTAGCTGGAACTGAGGAGTTTTTCAGAATGATAAAAATGGACCCCGGGCTTTCTAATTTGATTTTCTTCAACTTACTGCATCAAACATTGAGCACTGATTCTTTTCTGGGTGCAGAGTTATGCAAAGATGGATAAGGAACAGCTGTTGTCCAGCAGGTTAATCTCACAGGGGACCAGACATACACTCCAATAATCACAACTCAAGGTGGAATGTCTGTTAGAGCATGGTGAAGACTAAATGCTCAGAGGGCACAGAGGAGACGGCAATCCTCTGAGCTGGGCGAATCCAACAACTTTATGGAGCTGGTGGCATCTGGGCTTGGTCTTCAAAGATGCCCAGTACTTCCATAATTTGGGATGGGAGCCTGGAGGAGATGGGAAGGGAGACGGGCATTTCAAGTGGGGATAACAACATGGGCAGAGGTGGAGAAAGGACTATGTGCAGGAGACTGCAAGAGGTTTGGACTCGATTCCAATCCTTTTTTTTTTTTTTTTTTGAGACGGAGTTTCGCTCTTATTACCCAGACTGGAGTGCAATGGTGCGATCTCAGCTCACCGCAACCTCCACCTCCTGGGTTCACCCAATTCTCCTGCCTCAGCCTCCTGAGTAGCTGGGATTACAGGCACATGCCACTGTGCCCAGCTAATTTTTTGTATTTTTAGTAGAGATGGGGTTTCACCTTGTTGACCAGGATGGTCTCGATCTCTTGACCTCATGATCCACCCTCCTCGGCCTCCCAAAGTGCTGGGATTATAGGCGTGAGCCCCTGTGCCCAGCTCCTTTTGTTTTTACAGTTGCTAGTCATATAGGCCAGTGAAATTGAATGGTTCTCAACTTGGGCATGCTACAGAATCACCTGGAGGGCTTGCTGCAACACAGGTTCTTGAGTCTCATCCCCAGAGTTTACGATTCAAATAGATCTGGGGTTGAGCTAGGGAATTTGCATGACTAACAAGGTCTCAGGTGAGGCTGATGCTGCTGCCCTAGGAACCACACTTTGACAGCCACTGCTACAGCAGGTGTTGTTGGTGCTCTGCCCAGATGCCTTTTACCAAGTTGTTGTACTCGTCCGCCAGCTGCTGTGAGTGTTGGCTGCTAATGGCTCACAGATACACTCTTTACCTGAGAATTTGCCCTCTTCTTAGGAGCTGTCTTACCCAGAAACACCTGTGAGATTATGTCCTCCACCTGAGGGTGGTCCACAGCCAATGACTGATGGATTTGAAATTCCAAAGCCTGCTCCCTTGCTGCAAGGTGGGGCAGTCTACTTCTCTGGTGCCAGTCATGCTCCAGAGCTCCCTATGGGATCAGGCTGAGGCTAGACTTCAGCTGAAGCCATATGTTTAATTTTTCCTTCTGCCTGATCTTGCTTCTCTCACTTCCTTAGAAGTTCCTCCTGAGACCACTCCCTCAAGAAATCACTCTTCAAAGAATCCTTGTCTGAGGCTCTGCTTCTAGAGAACCTGGCCCGGAGCAGTCCCCTTCTGGGTCTTTTCTGATTATCAGTCTTCTTTAGTGGGGCTTGTTATCTGCTGAAACATAGTGTGGGATGAGGAGTCAGCGGGGCAATCTGCAATTTTCATTGACATTTGCTGTCTTGAATAGCTTATCATTAAGTAAATTCTTTCTCTGAGCTGGGGCTCACAGAAATCCCCTTCAGTTACACTTCCTTTGCTTTGGATGCTTTTTCACCTTCTGCTGTGGATTGAATTGTGCCCCTGTCACCCCCAAAATTCATATGTGGAAGCTTTAACCTTCAATGGTCCTTTTATTTGGAGACAGGGCCTATACAGAGGAAATGAAAGTTAGATGAAGTCATAAGGTTGTGGCTTTGATATGACAGGAATGGTGTCCCTTAAGAGACACCAGAGAGTGAACTCTCTGCACCCACATGAAGAAGAGGTCATGTGAGCACACAGCAAGATGGCAGCTACCTACACTGAAGGAAGAGAGTTCACCAGAAACTGCCAGCACCCTGATCTCAGACTTCAAGTCTCCAGAGCGGTGAGGAAATAAATGTCTGTTGTTTTAGCTACCCAGTCTATGGTATTTTGTTACAGCAGCTGGGGCTAAGATAATTTCCTTCATCATGCTTTACCTCCAGCAGTCTCCTTTGGTGTATCCTGCCTGATTCTCCTCCAGCTCCACCTTCCCTGCCATTCTGTTATTAACCTTGAGGCTCTCTGGAGACATTCTCCATCCTCCTGAGCCACCTGCAGCCCTCTTCAATCTAATCAAGGGACTGCTGGATAAACCTTTCATAAACATGACATGTTTAATAAAGTCTCGAGCTTCGAGAGAACATATGTCAGTTCTCAGCTTCCTTCTTCACCAAAATCCTGATTTCACAGTACTTAGTGAGTAGGTGTCCCAGTTTGATGTTAGGGGGCTATAACTGCTTCCTTGAAGATAGAATGTTTTTCTTTGTATAATTCTTTTTGTTGTGAATGTTTTGAGAAAAGGGATGCAGTAAAAACTCCTTTACCCCACCATCTTTAACCAGAAGTATCCATTTTATACATAGAAAATTTTATATGTATATATATATATATAATTCATATACAATTATAAAATGTTTGTATACATCATACTTTCTAATATATAAGCTGCATAGTAGTTTCCAGTTTTTCTATTTTATAGACATCATTGCTATAAATCTTTGTCCACTTAGCTTGTATAATCCTTTATCTGATTATTAGGATATTTTCTGTGCCAAAGACTAAATGCACGTTAAAAACTCTGATGTACATTGCCACACATTATCTCCCAGAAGGCTCTCTATCAGGGTCAAGTTACACAGGGCTGCTGGAACATCGTCTAGAAGGTGAAGCCCACAAAGGATGCCTCCCAACATGTGATCCCTGCAGAGGGGTATTCCTGAGAGAGAGCTCAACAATGCAATGTGCTGTTAAAAAAACTGTATAAATGAGTGATGAACACACTTTTCATTTCTGTAATATTTCTTTGCCTTGACTTGGTACATGGATAAAAGGTCATTAGATTTTTACTTTTTATCCATCCCTTAAAATAAGTATTTATTGGTTTAAATTTTATGCAAGGCACTGTAATAGGCACTGGTCCACAGTAAGTGACCTAAAAATTCATATGTTGTTAACTGGCTTTATTCAAAGTGCCTCAAAGATTCTACAGTATAAAGAGATACGGGTATGCAAATAAATGAACAATGTTCACTTATTCAGTCAACAGACATTTACTGAAAATATATATGCCAGGAAAAATTCTAAGCCCCGAGGATACAGTCATGAGCAAAAGCAACAAAACCCCCTGCCCTTGGGAGCTTACATTCTAGTGAGGGTGAAAGATGATAAACATGATATTCATGATAAATAGAAAAAAGGTATGTTAGACCGTGATCAGCAGGGCTGACCCTGTAAGGATGAGAGAGCCCCAGGGTAATCCAGTTGATTAAACCTCCTACTCAAAAGGTTCACACCTGAATGCACGTGGCACTGCCCTCATCTTTCAAAGGATGCATGGGATATTAATATCATTAAAAGAAAAAAATTTAAATTGAATTTTAATTATAGAAATGAAGAGCCAGGTATAAGAACTCCCAAATACAGATCACAGGGTAGCTGTGTCAGGTCCTTAACCTAAGAAAAGGAGAAAAATAAAATAGGGAAGAAAGATTGAACGTGTTTCTGTTGCGAGGGTAAGATGCAGGAGCACTCTAATTTTAGATAGGGAAGCCAGAGAAAGTCTTATTGAGAAGGAAATTTTGTGTAAGGACCCGATGTCAATGAGGAAGCCAGCTATACCGATACCAGAGGCAAGAGCACTACAGGCAGAGGAAAAGCAAACACAAAGGCCTTAATACACAGTACACACAGCATTGTGCTGGTCAGGAGTCCGTGGCAGGTGGAGAAAAGGCCATGAGTAGGAAAGAGTATGCCAACTGAGGACAAATGAGACTTTAAAAAGGTGAGGGACTGGGAGCAGTGGCTCATGCCTATATTCCCAACACATTGGGAGGCTGAGGCGGGAGGATCCTGTGAGCCCAGAAGCTCGAGACCAGCCTGGGCAACATAGATAGTGAAACTCCATCTCTATAAAAATACAAAAAATTAGCCAGGCAGAGTAGCATATGCCTCTAGTCCCAGCTACCTGCGAGGCTGAGGTGGGAGGATCACCTGAGCCTGGGAGGTTGAGGCTGCTGTGAGTTGTGTTTGTTCCACTGTGCTCTAGCCTGGGCAACAGTGAGACCCTCTTTCAAAAACAAACAAAGGTGATAGGGTAGTTCAGCAGTGAAAAACAAAGCAAAGCAAAAAGGTAAAGCTACATGTCATATTTATTGCCTGAAATTTGGAGTGGTTTAAGGTGACAACGAGTTTTTTAAAGCCTAGAAAAATGAAGGTTAAAGCATGCTGTTTTCAAATACCATATATGAAGTGGATATTCCATAGTCTTCACTTGTTCCCTGCATCCACAGAAGGCGGAGAAAAAAGACTTAAAGATAACTCACCAGGCCTGTGCCAAAGAAATCAATCAGATAACCTCTGGAGATCCCTTCTAACAATCTGTAAGCCTCAACACAGTGTTTCTTACACAAAGAGTTATTGCCATTTCAGTTTAGAAACTTGGCAGAAAGAAAATGCTTAGCATTTCATTTTATTGAACATGAACACAATTGCTGTAATTCTTATTCCTTCTCAAAAACTTTAAATGGTTCCATTGTTAGAGGAAAATACCTGAAAGCCTGTGATCTAACTGTAATATTTGGTTTTAGTTTCATGTTTTTGCTCTACTCAGACTTTTCTATTCATCTTTTCCGAAATTCATTATTATGAATGACTGCTCACCTTCACATCTTTTTTTTTTTTTTTTTTTTTTTTTGAGACGGAGTTTCGCTCTTGTTACCCAGGCTGGAGTGCAATGGCACCATCTCGGCTCACCGCAACCTCCGCCTCCCGGGTTCAGGCAATTCTCCTGCCTCAGCCTCCTGAGTAGCTGGGATTACAGGCACGCGCCACCATGCCCAGCTAATTTTTTGTATTTTTGGTAGAGACGGGGTTTCACCATGTTGACCAGAATGGTCTCGATCTCTTGACCTTGTGATCCACCCGCCTCGGCCTCCCAAAGTGCTGGGATTACAGGCTTGAGCCACCGTGCCCCGCCTACCTTCACATCTTTTATCTGTGGCTTTTGAAATGCCTTTCCTATTCTTCTCCATTTAAAACTTGCTTTTCCAGGCTGGGTGTGGTGGCTTACACCTGTAATAACAGCACTTTGGGAGGCCAAGGAAGTGGATCACCTGAGGTCAGGAGTTCAAGACCAACCTGGCCAACAAGGTGAAACTCTGTCTCTACTAAAAAATACAAAAAAATTTAGCCGGGCATGGTGGTGGGGGCCTGTAATCCCAGCTACTCAGGAGGCTGAGGCAGGAGAATCTCTTGAACTTGGGAGGTGGAGATTGCAGTGAGCTGAGATCACACCACTGCACTCCAGCCTGGGCAACAGAATGAGACTCCATCCAAAGAAACAAACAAGAAAGAAAGAAATCCCTGCTTTTCCAAGACTAAATCTGTGAAACAAATCTTAGTAGGCGATTTATCAGTAAGTACCAAGAGCCTTAAAACTATTGGTAACTTTGATTAATTCCCTTCTGAGAATCTCATCTAACGAAATAATTTGAAGGGCAGACAAAGATTTAAGCACAAGGATGTCCTCGGTAGCAGTATTTATTTTTCTATTATGAAGAATTTAAAGCATATGTAAAAGTGGAAAGTACAAAGTAGAAATACTAGTACAATCAACCTCCATATATCCATCACCCAGACTCAATAATTTATTGCCACATTTACTTCTTCAACTAATCCCCTTTCCTTTATAAAGTCTCTGCTTAAATATTAAGCAAATTCCATATTATTAGGCCATTTCTGTCATCCATAGTTCTACATGTATCTTGTGTATACATGCATTTCACCCATAGTTCTATATGCATCTCATATGCTTTATATGCATTTCAGTCATCCATAGTTCTAGATGGATTTAAGCTTATGCATTTTACTATATAAGCTTAAAGCCAGTATCACACGTAGTAAAATGAGTAACACTCGGTCTACAAGAAAATTTCTTCCATTATCTTAAAACTGTCCTTTTTTGGCTGGGTGCAGTGGCTCCTGCCTGTAATACCAGCATTTTGGGAGGCTGAGGCAGGTGGATCACCTGAGGTCAGGAGTTTGAGACCAGCTTAGCCACCACGGTGAGACCCGCGCCTCTACTAAAAATACACAAATTAGCTGGGAATGGTGGCAGATGCCTGTAATCCCAGCTACTCAGGAGCCTGAGGCAGGAGAATTGCTTGAACCCAGGAGGCAGAGGTTGCAGTGAGCTGAGATTGTATCACTGCACTCCAGCCTAGGAAACAAGAGTAAAACTCTGTCTCAAAAAAAAAAAAAGTCATTTTTCAGTTTGTCTATTCAAATCAGCATCCATCACGATCCACACGTGGCATGTGGTTATAGGAGCTCTTAGATCTCCTTGAATCTAGAGTGGGCCCCTTTCCTTAATATTTTTATGCTACTGACTTTTTGAAGAAACCAGGTCACTTGCCCTGTAGGATGAGCCACTTTCTAAACTTGTCTATCGGTTAGGATAGGCTGGGTTATATTGTGGCAACAAGCAATTCCAAAATCTTATTGGCTTAAAACAATGAAGGTTAATTTCTCATTCCTTCAATATACCCATCTCAGATTGAGCTATTGCTGGCTGATAAAAACAGAATTCCTTTACCCAAAATATTGAAAAGAATATAAACTGAAATTGATACAAATCCTTTAAATAAAGTGTATCATTTACAATTTCCTGTTTAAATATATTGTTAAAATATCATGCAAGAGCATTTTGTTGTAATTACTAGGAAAGACTTGGGGAGCCCTGCCACCTGTTAAACATCAGTCTCACTTCCAGACCCAGACTGATAAAGTAGTTACTGTGTACAACATTGTTGGTCAATTATGGCACAGGAGGAAAAGGGCTCTGAAGGGTCTCACATAGGCAACTAAATGCCTCAGCCTAGAAGTCAATTATTCTTCATCTCATTGGCCAGAAATGGTCACACGGCACTACCTAAACTAATGCCAGGAAGTACTATCTTGCTATGTCCAGGAAAAGCACAGATCTAGACATTTCAGTACGCTGCATTAATGACTACCTAGTGAGTGTATTTGATGCCTTGCAGTGTCACTTTACTTGTTCCTCTAGTTCTTGAGATTCCTGAAAATGGAAGCTGTCTCTAGAGTTTATTTTTTAATTGCATTTTAGGTTTTGGGGTACATGTGCAGAACATGCAAGACAGTTGCATAGGTACACACATGGCAGTGTGTTCTGCTGCCTTCCTCCCCTTCACCCACATTTGGCATTTCTCCCCAGGCTATCCCTCCCCAGCTCCCCCCTCCGCTGTCCCTCCCCTATTCCCCCCAATAGACCCCAGTGTGTAGTACTCCCCTCCCTGTGTCCATGTGTTCTCATTTTTCATCACCCGCCTATGAGTGAGAATATGCGGTATTTCATTTTCTGCTCTTGTGTCAATTTGCTGAGAATGATGTTCTCCAGATTCATCCATGTCCCTACAAAGGGCACGAACTCATCATTTTTGATTGCTGCATAATATTCCATGGTGTATATGTGCCACATTTTCCCAGTCCAGTCTATCATCGATGGGCATTTAGGTTGGTTCCAGGTCTTTGCTATTGTAAACAGTACTGCAATGAACATTCATGTGCTTGTGTCCTTATAGTAAACGATTTATAGTCCTTTGGATATATACCCAGTAATGGGATTGCTGGGTCAAATGGAATTTCTATTTCTAAGGCCTTGAGGAATTGCCACACTGTCTTCCACAATGGTTGAACTAGTTTACACTCCCACCAGCAATGTAGAAGTGTTCCTATTTCTCCACATCCTCTCTAGCATCTGTTGTCTCCAGATTTTTTAATGATCGCCATTCTAACTGGTGTGAGATGGTATCTCAATGTGGTTTTGATTTGCATCTCTCTAATGACCAGTGATGATGAGCATTTTTTCATATGTTTGTTGGCCTCATGTATGTCTTCTTTTGTAAAGTGTCTGTTCATATCCTTTGCCCATTTTTGAATGGGCTTGTTTGTTTTTTTCCTGTAAATCTGTTTGAGTTCTTTGTAAATTCTGGATATCAGCCCTTTGTCAGATGGGTAAACTGCAAAAATTTTTTCCTATTCTGTTGGTTGCTGATTCACTCTAGTGACCGTTTCGTTTGCTGTGCAGAAGCTGTGGAGTTTGATTAGGTCTCATTTGTCTATTTTGGCTTTTGTTGCCAATGCTTTTGGTGTTTTGGTCATGAATTCCTTGCCTACTCCTATGTCCTGAATGGTTTTGCCTAAATTTTCTTCTAGGGTTTTTATGGTGCCAGGTCTTATGTTTAACTCTTTAATCCATCGGGAGTTAATTTTAGTGTAAGGTGTCAGGAAGGGGTCCAGTTTCTGCTTTCTGCACATGGCTAGCCAGTTTTCCCAACACCATTTATTAAACAGGGAACCCTTTCCCCATTGCTTGTTTTTGTCAGGTTTATCAAAGATTGTACGGTTGTAGATATGTTGTGTTGCCTCCGATGCCTCTGGTCTGTTCCATTGGTCTATATCTCTGTTTTGGTACCAGTACCATGCTGTTTTGATTACTGTAGCCTTGTAGTATAGTTTGAAGTCCAGTAGTGTGATGCCTCCAGCTGTGTTCTTTTTGCTTAGAATTGACGTGGCTATGTGGGCTCTCTTTTGGTTCCATATGAAGTTCATGGTGGTTTTTTCCAGTTCTGTGAAGAAAGTCAATGGTAGCTTGATGGGGATAGCGTTGATTCTGTAAATTACTTCGGGCAGTATAGCCATTTTCACAATATTGATTATTCCTAACCATGAACATGGAATGTTCCTCCATCTGTTTGTGTCCTCTCTTATTTCGTTGAGCAGTGGTTTGTAGTTTTCCTTGAAGAGGTCCCTTACGTTCCTTGTGAGTTGTATTCCTAGGTATTTTATTCTTTTTGTAGCAATTGTGAATGGCAGTTCATTCTTGATTTGGCTCTCATTAAGCCTGTTATTGGTGTATAGGAATGCTTGTGATTTTTGCACATTGATTTTATATCCTGAGACTTTGCTGAAGTTGCTTATCAGTTTCAGGAGTTTTTGGGCTGAGGCAATGGAGTCTTCTAGGTATACTATCATGTCATCTGCAAATAGTGACAATTTGGCTTCCACCTTTCCTATTTAAATACCCTTTATTTCTTTTTCTTGCCTGATTGCTCTGGCTAGAACTTCCAGCACTATATTGAATAGGAGTGGTGAAAGAGGGCATCCTTGTCTAGTGCTGGATTTCAAAGGGAATGCTTCCAGTTTTTGCCCATTCAGTATGATATTGGCTGTTGGTTTGTCGTAAATAGCTTTTATTACTTTGAGATACGTTCTGTCAATACCGAGTTTATTGAGGGTTTTTAGCATAAAGGGCTGTTGTATTTTGTCAAATGCCTTCTTTGCGACAATTGAGATAATCATGTGGTTTTTGTTTTTGGTTCTGTTTATGTGGTGAATTACATTGATAGACTTGCATATGTTGAACCAGCCTTGCATCCCCGGGATCAATCCTACTTGATCATGATGGATAAGTTTTTTGTGACAGTGTTTTGCTCTGTCACCCAGGCTGGAGTGCAGTGTCACAGTCATGGCTCACTGCAGCCACAACCTTCTGGGCTCAAGCAAACCTCCCACCTTAGCCTCCAAAGCGGCTAACACTACAGGCATATACCACTATGCCTGGTTTTGTTACTTAAAAAAATTTTTTTTACAGATATGGGATCTTACTATGTTGCTCAGGCTGGTCTTGAACTTCTGAGCTTAAGAGATCCTCCTGCCTTGGCCTCTCAAAGTGCTGGGATTATAGGTGTGGACCACCATGCCTGGACTAATGATGATTTTCTAATTCTATTATATATATCTCCCACATTAATGAGCATGAATTCTTCCACAAAGCACTTTCTCACATCTCCTAGGGTTATTTAGTAACTCTCAAATATAGTCTGTACTTGATAGATGCCCAGTTCTTTCCTTTTAAATATAAATATTCAAATGAGAAATTTTGCCCTAGTTACATCCCATGGCATCCAATGAGGGTTTTGTTTTGCTCTTTCATTTCTTATCTTCTATCAATATGAATTCACTTTTAAATATATTAAGTATGGTTGCAGTCAACTGCAAGTTTTTTTTCCCTGCTCAAATTGCCTTTTTTTTTTTTTTTTTTTTTTTGCTAATAAGAGTGCTTTCATATTGGTTTCTGTATCCTCTTAACATTATCCATTAGTCTCTACTTTCTGGCACAACAAAATGTCCCAGGCTCATCTTATCTATTTCTTGTCACACTTTTGGAGTTGGCCATTCCTCCAATTAATGGGAAAGGTATTTAGAGATCACAATCTGGGTACTTGATGTGCTCACTGTTATTTGGATGTCACTGCTTCTAGATCTTTTCAGTGGACTTAAGAAATAGTATTCTCAAAAAAAAAGAAAGAGAACCACGTGTGGTGGTTCATGCCTGTAATCCCAATGCTTTGGGAGGCTGGGGTGGGCAGATTGCTTAAGCCCAGAAGTTTGAGATCAGCCTTCACTCTAGCCTGGGTGACAGAGCAAGACCTTGTCTCAAAAACAACAAAAAATAAGATTATGTGTTTCCTAACATTTCTCTGAGGTTTTCAAACCAGAACAAATAAAAGTAAAGGACAGGTGCAGTGGTTCATGCCTATAATCCTAGCACTTTGGGAGGCCAAGGTGAGCAGATCGCTTGAGCTCAGGAGTTCAAGACCAGCCTGGGCAACATGGTGAAACCCCTTCCTTACAAACATAGAAAAATTAGCCAGGTGTGGTGTTTTCCTAGCTACTTGGGAAGCTAGGGTGGGAGGATGGTTTGAGTCCAGGGGATGGAGGTTGTAATGAGCCAATATCAAGCCACTGCACTATAGCCTGGGTGATAGCCAGACCCTACTTAAATTTTTTTTTTTTTTTTTTACAAATTGGAATTGGTCATTCCAAATGATTTTAAAAGAAAAAATAAAATCATTTGTTTTACTGGGCCCAGCTCAGGTTCCATGACTTCAGTGAAACCTTCTCATAAGTACTTTCTCTTTTCTGACCTCTTACATTGTTTACTGTCTATATTGCTCACTTAGCCCTTTGCATCAATCAATCAATTAAAAAAATTAATGCACTATGATCTGAAGAGCACTACAGTGGATGCTGTGAAGATGAAATGTATTACCATTAAATTTTCATGTACAGTCACTTCCTTGATTAAACTATATACTGAAGCCAAAGCTTTCTCATTTCCTGCATGGTGGCCAGTATTGCTGACTGATAAAAACAGAATTCCTTTACCCCAAATATCGAAAAGATGTAAATAAAACTGAAACAAATTGATACAAATCCTTTTAATAAAGTATATCAATGACAGCTTCCTGTTTAAATAAATATGTTGTTTAAAAAAATCACATAAGAGCATTTTCTAATAATTACTAGGAAAGATTTGAAACTACTGTTCCCTCTGCAGATACGCTGTGTACAGATGCAAAATGATCAAAGGCTGTTACAATAATGAATCTCAAGTAAGTAGCGGAGCCATCACGTGCCTGTAGGGGGAAAAAATCAATATAAATGCTTTTAGCAATGCTAGTTAACTGTTAACAAGTAGTTAACAGAAGAGCTTGATGCAAGGGTAATATTCTAAATATTCAATATATAAAGCCAGCTACATATAATAGTTGTGGTACATATCAGCTAAATACCAGCCTTGATTTGATGAAAAATAGCAAGTGGAGCTAAAAACTGCAACTGTCATTTTTTGTAGGGATGGGGTCTCGTGTGAGGCTGGTCTTGAACTAGCCTCAAGCAACACTCCTGCTCCACCTTCCCAGGTGCTGGGATTACAGGCATGAACTACCATGCCCAGTTTCTAATTTTTAAAAAGTGTCTTTCTAAAGTATTTTCAATAATAAAGAAGTTTCCTCTGGTTAGCGTTGCCTCTGAACATACTTCCCTGAAGCATGACTACATTTTTATATTTATATCATTTCTCTGGAAAGCAATTAGCCAATATATTTTAAAGCTATAAATATGTTTATACCCTGGCACCCAGTAATTGTATTCCTTGAAATTTAATCTTAGAAAGTAAGAAAAAAGGTGTGTATTACTTATAATGACAGAGGGAGGAAAAAGAAAATTAGTTTAAATGCATGCCAATTGGCAAATGTTATTTTAAAATTGTACTTATGAAGCCTGTTATATAATACTAAGTAAAAAAAAAAATGACATAAAATTGTCCATACATAACTATGTACAGCATATGGTCAACAACTAGAAGAAAATAAATGTAGTAAAAGCTTTTGTGACAGGGTAATAACTTTTCTTTTTGAGACAGAGTCTCACTCTGTCGCCTAGGCTGGAGAACAGTGGTGCAGTCTCGGCTCACTGCAACCTCCGCCTCCTGGGTTCAAGCAATTCTCTGCCTCAGCCTCCCAAGTAGCTGGGATTACAGGGGCCCACCACCACGCCTGGCTAATGTTTGTATTTTTCGTAGAGACAGGGTTTCACCATCTTGGGTAGGCTGGTCTTGAACTTCTGACCTCATGATCCACCCACCTCGGCCTCCCAAAGTGCTGGGATTACAGGTGTAAGCCACTGTGCCTGGCCAGGGTAATAAAATTATGGGTGATTTTCAGCCTCCCATTCCCCCTTACTATTTTCCAAATTTTCTATAATGCTGTGACCCTCCACAGTGGAGTCCTGAAACAATATACAAAAGGTAGCAGGAGCTTACTAATCAGAACCCGTAAAGACAGAAAAAACAGAAAGGTAAAATTCAGCATCATTAATCATTTTTCAGGACTTCAATGGCTTCCCCAGTTATTGGGTGAATTTTGGTGGGAGAGAAAGGAACTAATGGGATGCACCGATTTAATAGCAGCTTCTGGCAAGTTGTGAAGAAATAAAACTTAATGGATAAGGTACCATTTTAACCCTGATTTAGAGAAACCTTAATTAAACAAATCGTGACCACCTAATAAGTAGATATTCTGTTGTTTTACTTTTTGTGTTTGTCTAAAACCAGGGTCTGACCAACTAGCAGGAACAGAGGAACTCCTGATGAGGCAGCAGCTTCCTCATCAACAGGCATTCATTTCACTTGACAAGCAAAGCCTGTTGGAATGTTACCGAAAAACACTGGTTCTCTTTCCACCTCATCTCTCTTTGGCTTATTTGTTGCTGATCCTATGCTCCAGTTCCCCTTATCTGAATCTCCCTTGTCCTTTCATGCTTAAATTAACATCCAATTTTGGCATCTCAACCTTTTTTGATTCCTATTCTAAAATGCCTACGGAATCAAATGAAAGAAAGCAAACCATATAAATACTTCAAAGTAAATGAATGAGAAAAATAAAACAAAAAATCAATTGTTTTATCTTGCTGTCATTCTCTATGAAAGAGCCTAATTTATGAATGTACATTTAGCTTATATTATTATTAAGAACAACTTTCTCTACTGGTTGATTTAGGTATAGAACCTATAATATTATAAAGGTATTTATTAACTATGACTATGGAGATAGGTTTCAGGTCTAAATACACTGTGCAGGTTGATTTTTAATTCTATGAAATATATTTACTTACCATAATTTCTTCATTTTGAAGCTGCCCCTCTCTGTGTACCAAATCTAAAACACAAATGTAACAGAAGAAATGAGTTAAAGGTCAAAATACATGAGAATAGTTACTGAAATTTATGTTCAGCAAAATATGATATCTGGTAAACTATAAGACCAGATTTGAAGGAATCATCAAATCATCATTTGCATGTTGAGATTTGATTTAAAACTAGAGAAAAAGAATATACAAGGCAAAAAAGATGAACTATTTATGAGCTATAAAATATCCTAGTGCATATAAGCAAAAGGAAATGCAAATGTCAATCATATTGATAGTAAAGGAATATAAGGAACTGATAAAATGTGAAAATTTCTTTTTAAAACATTTATTTTTTAAAATCCCCTTTTCAAGAAAAAAGAAGTGAACATTTGAGGATCCAGCTACTAACAGAAAGAAGCCGTTTTACCATACCCGTGGGTAACAACTAGAGCTGAGTTTCTCAGTAAACTTTCACTATAATGCATAATTGTGTGACCCACGAAGTAATCTTCTGGTATCCAAGCTTAAAAAAGTTTCCTTATGTAATTTGAGAGCAGACTAATTTATCTGATCATGAGTTAATCATATCAAACATTCTTTTGGAAACATGAAAGATTTAATTGCTATAATGATAGCTAATGACAGTATTTAAAATTAACTTTATATAAAATAATGTACATAATGTAAAAGCCCCACAGTATTAAAAGAGATGTCTCTGTGATTGTTTCCTCTTTTCTGAAATCATAAAAATCATTAATATGCTTTACCTCTTCTTTCTCCTCTAGTCCTGCTTCCTAGAAGTAAACATTTTCAACTCTTTAAGCTGTTTTCCCTGGATTTTTAATGTTTTTATTCCTTTTCTTGTTTATAAATTTTTTACTGACTTTACATTATGGTAGGTGAAATTTTAGCTTTTTAAAGCTGAAATCCCCTCTTCTTCCTCATTCAACTTCTCCCTCCTTCCCTCCTCTCAAATTTGAAATCCTACTTGATGGTTACATTACTTTGTCTATCTAAATGTTATTTACTCCTGAAATAAGTAATAAATTACAATCATATTTTCCTTCTTGTACAACTCTACCACCAGAAATTAATAGACTTTTTCATTTGCTTAGTTTTTCTAATTACAAAAAATTGAAAAATACCAAACATACTAAGGAGAGAACATAAAAAACTCCCACATATACCTGTAATCTAGATTTTATAACTACTAACATTTCGTCATAGTGAATTTATCTATTTCTTTTTCCACTAAAGTATTTTAGGCCAGGTGCGGTGGCTCACTCCTATAATCCCAGCACTGTGGGAAGCTGAGGCAGGTGGATCACTTGAGGTTGAGAGTCTGAGACCAGCCTGGCCAACACGGCAAAAACCCTGTCTCTACCAAAAATACAAAAATTAGCCGGGCATTGTGGTGCACGCCTGTAATCTCAGCTACTCAGGAAACTGAGGCAGGAGAATCACTTGAACTTGGGAAGTAAAAGTTGCAGTGATCCGAGATTGCACCAGGAAATATATATATGTATGTATTTTGTGGAGAAAAGATTTCTCCATGTTGCCCACCTAGTCTCTTGAATTCCTGAGCTCAAGCGATCTGCCCGCCTTAGCCTCCCAAAATGCTGGGATTATGGGTGTGAGCCCAGCCTCCCCTAAATACTTAATTATCCATTTCTAGGTAATAATTCTTTATATAACCATAATACCACTATCACAATAACATTAAAAATAGTGCTTAATATAATATGAAACTCAATTTCTATTCAAATTTCCCCAATTGTCCCCATCTTTTTATATTTGGTTTATTAAAATCGGAATTAAGTCTCTTTTAACTTTGAACTGCTTTCTCTCCCCGACACATATTTTTTTTAATGCCTTTGACTTACTGAAGAGACCAGTACAATTGCCCTGTACAATGTTCCACATTCTAGATTTTGTTTTCTAGAGATGGGGTCTTGCTCTGTCACCCCCGCTAAAGTGCAGTGGTGTGATCACAGCTCACTGCAGCCTCAACATCCTGGGCTCAAGTGATCCTTCCATCTCAGCCTCCAAGTAGCTGCAATTACAAGCATGTGTCACCATGGCTAGCTAATTTTTAAATTTTTTTGTAGAGACAACATCTTGTCATGTTTCCCAGGCCAGTCCTGAACTCCTGGGCTCATGCAATCCTCCTCCTTCTGCCTCCCAAAGTGTTGGGATTACAAGCATGAGCCACTGTGCCCAGCCCCACATTCTAGATTTTATCACCTTACCTATTTGTGGTTTCACTTAATTTGTGCCTCTATCCTCTGTATTTCTTATAGATTGGAAGTTAGAGCTAAAAGCTTGATTATATTCAGGGTTTGAGGACTTCATTAATTTCTGGTGATCTCTGTCTTTTGTTACTTGTGGATCATTTGGAAACTGTGTGCATCATTTGAAAACTGTGTGCATGAGCTACGCTTGTTAATTACTAGACTTCAATAGGGTAACCAGAAATGAGCTAGCCTTTGTCAGTATCAATAGGTCTTTTTGCTGGGGCCATTTAATTTCTTCAAAGATGATTGCTGCAATCTCCTAGCTGAGGGTATACTCTTGGCTGCTGATGTTAATACAAGTATACAGGAGGGAGGCTGGTGTTCCTACTATTCAGTAAGTAGGTTTCCACAAGTATCCTATTTTCAACTCCATGTTTCACTCACTGTCTACTACACCTAGTCTCCCGAGCCTCAACAGTCTGTATTTCCAGTTGTCTCTTGAGGGTGATGGTGGAGGTCTGTGGGAGAAGGGAGTGGTCACCTAGCTTTATAGGATGGGAGGAAGGTACCTAGAGTGTGACTACTCTGTATATAGATTTTCAACTAATTACCCTTGTTTTCTGACCCAGGTCTCATTCATACTTCCCATGGCACCTGCTGCCTTTGAGTTCAAGACCTTTCTGGGGTTCTGTGTGGCAAAGCAGCTTGCTTCTCGTTGATATGCTCCTTGGTAAGAACTTAGGTTATAACCTAGTTCATTCAGCTAAACAAGGTACTACTTCTAAGAAAAATAAAAAACAAAACAAAACCAAAAAAAAGAAGGTACTACTCCTCCATCTGCTTTCCCTTTATCGTAATAGACACTGATTTCTCATATTTGCTTTAGTTTGCTGGTTGTTTATTTGTCCTTGTAGGTTTATGCCTCTTTTTATTCCTTTACTATTACATGAAGGTAAGATGCTGTGTTTAAGTAGCGGCTATCAACTCTGATGGTGATATTTAAATAGTACCATTAATTAGGAAGAAAGGAAAGATGAGAAACTAGTATTAATTGTCTATTATATGCCGAACACTAGAGTTCACCAAAATCTTAAATGATAGGTATCATCGCCATTTTCCTGACAAGGATTCTGAAATGGAGAAAAATTAAGTCACATGTTAATAGTTATATAACCAGTAAATGAAGAAGCAGCCTTGTATTCAAACCTGGGTCTTTCTGGGTCCTAAATGTGTCAGAAGGATCAGGATCATTAAAGTCATCTTTTTTTTCACCAAAGTACAGCTAGACGGGAAATGTAGAGTCGAAGGACTATTATCTCCTCCTTCATGCTCAGAACAATGCTGGTGAAACACATACCTTTTTCAATCCATTGCTCAAAATCAACTGGCTCTTTAGACGTGCTCTTTTCAATCTTCAAGGTCCGTACTGACATCGTAAACAAAGTGAGTAAAGTGTTAATCTGGTTCTATGTTTTTGTACCTATATTTCTTTTTCCCTCTGCCTGAGATTGTCATGCACAATGGAATTACACAGAGCACTGGGATCAGAAACATCATGGAAGTTACTCTGTGTTTTAAAAAAAAAACCCTATGGTAAAATACAGTCTTGTGTAACTAATCTTCCAAATGTTTGCAACCACATAACGCAGAGCAAGTAGAGCTTTTTTGAATTGGCTTTATTCAGATTTTTTTTGTGTTCTGGCAATAATAATACTATTGGTGTCTTGATCATGAACATTCATGGAGAGCCTATGATGAGTCAGACATATTTATCCATTCACTTTTGACTACAATATCATGAGAAAAATATTTTAACCCACTTTATTGGTAAGAAAACAGGTTTCATGGAGCCAAGCAAGGTGTTCAATGATATATAGCTAGTAAGTGCCAGAAATGGAATTCAAACTTTAGGTCTGACTCCAGAGTCTCCACAATTAATGACAAAAGAGAGACTTAAAAAAAATTTTTTTTAAAGAGAGACTTAACAGGAATACAGTCTTTTCTCCACTGTCCCCAGTCCAGTCTCTACCACTCCAGATCCATTCCTCCTCCTCTTTGTCCTGTTCTGTGCCATGAGAAGCTAACCTCTGTGGACTACATCACCTGGATTCACTTACCTACTGGCTTCTTATTGGATTTGGCCAGTGGGGGACACCATGGGGAGACTGGTGTGGGGAAGTAAGATCAGCCTATTTTATTATCTCCATTCCCTACCTGCTTCAGTGCCACATCTTTGACAGTTTCTCCTGCCTACAGCTCCTGTTAGGTCCTTTCACACAGGCTCCAGCTCTCACAGATCTCTAATAACACTATTTCCTTCCCAGGGCTGGTCACAGCTTCCAGCTATAGTTAGTTACTGAGGGCCTCATCATTCCTTGCGTTGTTTGTTCCCTTAACCCAAGCCATAATTTTGCAGGTAGTCCCATCAATAGAGCCTCTTCATTTGACCCATCTAGGATGCATTCTGTTTCCTGCCATGATTTTGTCTGATAATGTTATTCTTAAATAGATAAATAGGATTAGAATGATGTCCCAAGGGAGATTCTCCTCCCAAATTCCTCAGAAAATGCCACTAGTAATAGAAGAATCACAACTATCCAATGTAAATAATCAGGGTTATCAGATTTTCAACCAGAATTGGACAAAGAACTCCTGGCCAAATGAATCTATTTCTCCATGTTGCCCACCTAGTCTCTTGTTGCCCACCTAGTCTCTTGAATTCCTGAGCTCAAGCGATCTGCCCGCCTTAGCCTCCCAAAATGCTGGGATTATGGGCATGAGCCCACTAAGTTCCAGTCATGGAACTTAGTGTTCTGGCAAACTGGCGTCTAATGTTCCTAATAGGGCCTTTTGTCAAAGACTTTCACATAGTAAACTGCATGGAAATTATTATGTGCTTTGGAAGGGTTTCAAATTTGCAGTTTCAGAGAGGCCAATTGAGCTCAAGGCAGTTAATCCATAATCCCCATCCTTTCACCCAAGCAATAAAACTGGATTCCATGCTATAAAGAAAAACTAGTGTTTTGCCAAAAGTTTACATACATGCCTTCTGCCTGTGGAAAAAATTAAAGGATAATGAAAATTAACATATGAGCCTTACCTGGAGCACCAAAAAAAAAAAAAAGAAAAAATTAATGTAAGATTTGCTTACCAAAGTAACTTTGGATTACAAGCCTTTCAATCCTTACATGTTTGTGGAAACAAATAATGAATTCCTGGGGAAACATTCCTGTAGTGGTCCAAAATGTGTCTGGATTCCTATTGTTAATTAAAAAAAAAAATAGCCAAATATAAATGGTTAATTATAAAATTGTATTGAATACCTGTTCTTTAAAATTAAATGACTACTGAACTTTTATATCTCCTTTCTGTTAATTCTGCCTATAATCTCTAATCTCTAATTTTAATAATTCTTCTTTACTACTATCAGGTATTCTTTTCTAAAACACAGAAACAGAATAGGTATCACTCCTATTCAAAAGCCTCAATGCTCCCTTATTGCCTATAATTCTAAACTCCTTTGTATGGCATTTAAGACTGTACAATCTGGTTCCATAATTAAGGTATATTCTCTTCCATTACTGTGGTCACACTGGGCCACTTAAAATTCTGCAAATATGTTAATGCAGGCTTATGCTTCTGTACCTTGGTTCATTCATGAGTATTTTTTTTTTTTTACCTGAAAAACCCTTCTTCCCCTTAAGTTCATTCACTTTTTGGTCTCATTTATCTAACCCCACCAATTCAGAATCACTGCCTCCCTCTTTTGCACTTATCTCACACTTAGCCTCTATTTCTACGTTGGCACTTAATCTCCTGTTTCTATGACTCCTGCTAAATGCTGAGCTCTTTGAGCCCAGCTTCCTTCCCTTACTCATCTTTGTAACCCTACAACTGCTACAATGGCTCACCCATAGCAGAGACAACCTAAATGTTTGTTCAAACAAAAATTAAAACATGAACTCAATTTTAAGTCACATATAGGCAAAACAGTATATATAATTTTGACTACAGAAATAATCATTTCAACTACATAAGCTTTTTCTTTTTTTGGAAATAAAATTTACCTACAGTGAAATTCACCTTAAGTGTATAACTTAATGAGTTTTGATAAATGTACATGCTTATGTAACCAATACTCCAGTAGATATAACATTTCCATAACTCCAGAAATTTCCCTTATCTTTCCTTCCAGAAATCCCTACCTCCCTTTGACAACCACTGCTTTGCTTTCTATCACCAGACTATGCCACAATGTTTTTATTCATGATTTTCTTTGATATGTTGTTGGATATTGTAATTGCTTCCACTTTTTTACTATTAGGAACAAAGCTGCTACAGATATGCTTGTACAGGTGCTTGTGAACATGTTTTCATTTCTCTGGGTAATTACTAAGAGTGAAATTGCTGGGACATAGGGTAAAAGTATATTTAACTTTATAAGAAACTGTCAGATTTCCAAAGTGGTTGTACTATTTGCATTCCATTTTCCTTTTTTTTTTTTTCTTTGTGATGAAGTTTCACTCTTGTTGCCCAGGCTGGAGTGCAATGGTGTGATCTTGGCTCACCACAACCTTTGCCTCCCAAGTTCAAGCAATTCTACCTCAGGCTCCCGTGTAGCTGGGATTACAGGCATGCGCCACCATGCCTGGCTAATTTTGTATTTTTAGTAGAGACAGGCTTTCTCCATGTTGGTGAGGCTGGTCTCGAACTCCCGACCTCAGGTGATCCGCCCACCTCGGCCTCCCAAAGTGCTGGGATTACAGGCATTAGCCACCACACCCAACCCATTAATATGTTCTTGTTGTTGATTATAGTGTTCTATAACTGTCAACAAAGTCGAGGTTATGATACTATTCAGATCATCTATGTCTTTATTGATTTTCTGCCAAATTGTTCTATCATTACTGAGAAAAGGGTATTAAAATCTCTAACTATAATTGTGAATTTGTCTATTTCTCCCTTCAGCTGTCAGATTTTGCTTTATGTATTTTAAAGAACTATTATTAGGTCCATATACACTTAGGATTATCCTCTCTTCCTGATGAATTGACCCTCTAACATTATAAAATGTCCCCTTTGTCTCTGGTAATGCTCCTTGTCTTACATTCTACTTTGTATTATATGAATATAGCTAGAGTGATTTTCTTTTTTTTTTTTTTTTTTTTTTTTTTTTTTAGAAACTCGATGTTTATTTTCCATGAATCTTACATGTTGTTTAAGAGGCCACACAAGAACAGCTTAAGACCATTCAGTGGTTGCTCCTACCCATTCAGTGGCCTGAGCAGTAGGAGCTGCAGACCAGTCTTCCGTGGCAGGCTGGGCGCTCCAGTCTTCAGTAGGGAACTGCTGGATGGGCACAGAGGGCACCTGCACGCCTTCAGACCAGTCGGCAACCTCAGGCTGAGTAGCAGTGAACTCAGGAGCTGGAGCAGTCCATTCGCCCTGAAATTCCTCCTTGGTCACAGCCTTCTCAGCAGCAGCCTGCTCTTCTTTTTCAATCTCTTCAGGATCTCTGTAGAAGTAGAGATCAGGCATGACCTCCCACGGGTGTTCACGGGAAATGGTGCCACGCATGCGCAAAACTTCCCGAGCCAGCATCCACCACATCAAACCCACTGAGTGAGCTCCCTTGTTGTTGCATGGGATGGCAATGTCCACATAGCGCAGAGGAGAATCTGTGTTACACAGAGCAATGGTAGGTAGGTTGACATAAGACGCCTCCGTGAGAGGCTGGTGGTCAGCCCTTGGGTCAGTGACCACAAGCAGCCGTGGCTCCCGGAAGGCTGCCTGGATCTGGTTAGTGAAGGTTCCAGGAGTAAAGCGGCCAGCAATTGGAGTGGCTCCAGTGGCAGCAGCAAACTTCAGCACAGCCCTCTGGCCAGTATTCCTGGAAGATATAACACTGACATCAGCAGGGTTTTCAATGGCAACAATGGCACGAGCTGCCAGGAGAAGCTTCTCCCAGGTCCTCTTCAGATTTATGATGTAGATGCCATCACTTTTCCTTTTATAGATATACTGCTCCATCTGGAAGTCAAGGTTGGTGCCACCTAAGTGGGTTCCTGCTGCCAGGAACTTAAGGACATCCTCCTCCTTCATTTGCAGGACATCGAGGGCTCCGGACATCGTGAAAGTTTCCCTTTAAGTTACGACGGGAATCCAGAACAACGCCGTTTGGAGCCCTCGGCAGGTAGCGCGGAAAAGGCTAGAGTGATTTTCTTATGTCAACTGTTTGCAGGATGCATCTTCTTTCATCCTTTTATTTTCAACCTATTCTTATATTTGAAGTGCGTATCTTTTAGATAATATATATTTGGGTCTTGGTTTTTTATCCAGTCTGACGATCTCTGATACTTAATTGGAGTGTTTAGCCCCACTGACATTTAGTATAACCACTGATATGGTTGGGTATGAATCTACCATCTTGCTATTCATTTTTGTCCCTCCCATCTTTTCTTGTCCTTTTCCTTCTTTCCTGTTTCCGAGTAAATTTTTTTTTAATTCCATTTAATTCCTCTATTTTTTTTTAGAAATTTTATTAGAAATTTTTGAAACAGTTGCCAAGTTACAACATAATAGCCTCATGATAGTCAATTTACACTGAACATCACTTTTGTGCCTTTGTTGTCACATATTTTACATATATAATAAATCCCATAATATAATTTTTTTCCTTAAATGGTCAGTTATTGTTCAAAAAAATTAAAAGAGGAAAAATGGCAGTCTTTTATATTTACCCAAATATTTACTATTTCCAGTATACTTAACTTCTTCTTCTTATAGGTTTGATTTTCCAGCTAGTATTTTACCTCTTCAACTTGCAAAATTTCCTTTAGCATTCCTTGTGATGCAGGTCGACTTGTGATGAAAGATGCCTTTATTCTATCTTCATTTTTGGGAGATCGTTTAGCTAGACACAGAATTCTGGATTGAGAGGTTTTTAAATATTTGCTTGTTTCTCCCTTTCCCAGTATTTGAAAGGTATTGCTCCATTGTGGTCTGGCTTCCACTGTTTGTGATATAAAGTCAGCTGTCACTAATACTGTTGTTCCTCTGTATATAATGGTTTTTATTTCCCTCCAGCTATTTTAATTTTTTTTTCTTTTTCTTTTTCAGCAGTTTGACTAAGATACAATCTCTGTATTTATTCAGCTTAGGTCTTGCTGAGATTTTTGGATTTATAAGTTGGTATTTTAAAATAAAATCAGAAAATTCAGCTCAAAAGTAGAAACAAAACAGATGTCCATCAACTGATGAATACATAAATAAAATGTGCTATATCCATACAATGAAATCTTGACAATAAACAGGAATGAAGTACTGATATGTGCTACAACATGGGTCAACTTTGAAAACATGTAAGTGAAAGAAACCAGGCCAAGTGTTGTAGCTCATGCCTATAATCCAAGCACTTTGGGAGGCTGTGGGAGGTAGGTTGCTCGAGGTCAGGAGTTCAAGACAAGTGTAGCCAACATGGTGAAATCTGGTCTGTACTAAAAATGCAGAAATTAGCTGGGTGTGATGGTATACACTTGCAGTCACAGCTACTTGGGAGGCTGAGGCATGAGAATTGTTTGAACTCAGGAGGCGGAGGTTAGAGTAAGCTGAGATTACACCACTACACTCCAGCTTGGATGACAGAGTAAGACTCTGTCTCAAATAAACAATAAAAGAAAGAAACCAGTCATAAAAGACCACATGTGTATGATTCTATTTATATGAAATGTCTCAATACGTAAAATCTACAGAAACAAAGTAGATTAAAGCTTGCCTAGGGCTAGTACCGATGGGAAAATACAGGGTGACTGATAACAACTGTGGGGTTTCTTTTTAGAATAATGAAAATGTTCTAAAATTGATTGTGGAGATGGCTGCATAACTCTGTGAATAGGCTGGAAGCCACTGAAATGCACATTCTAAGTGGGTGAATTGTATGGTATGTGAATACATCAGTAAGGTTGATACCAAGAAAAAAACAAAAAGGCCAGAGCTACCTCTTTTTTAAGAGACAGGGTTTTGTTCTGTCACCCAGACTGGAGTACAGCGGCACAATCATAGCTCATTGTAGCCTCAAACTTCCAGGCTCATGTGATCCTCCCACCTTGAGTTCCCAAAATGCTAGGATAATAGGTGTGAACAACCGTGCCCAGCCAAGGCCAGATTTCCTAACTCAAAATTCTAGGTTTTTTATAAAATGCTTAATATTTTACTAACTCCTTTCATATTTATGGTTTTAAATTTTACTTATTGAAATTCGTTAAATGAATTTTAATTGCCCCATGTTTTTCTTTGGATGCTTTCAATGAACATGACAATAGAATAACAAATATCATGTAGAGATACACTTGAATTTTAAAATGATATCTAACTAAATCCTTTTAATTATGTATAAGGAAGTCATCAAAGTAGTAGTTTTCTTTTAAAAATGTATTTATAGCTAACACCTATTTTATACAGATTATCTCATGTGACTTTTTGGTGGAACTATCCTCATTTTTCAGATCAGTAAATGAGACTCAAAGAGTAATATATTTATATATACTCTTTCTTCTTTCTTTATTTTTTTGAGATGGAGTCTCGCTCTGCCACCTAGGCTGAAGTGCAGCAGCATGATCTTGGCTCACTGTAACCTCTGCCTTCTGGGTTCAAGTGATTCTCCTGCGTCAGCCTTCTGAGTAGCTGGGATTGCAGGCATGTACCATCATGCCCAGCTCATTTTTGTATTTTTGGGATAGATGGGGTTTCACCATGTTGGTCAGGTTGGTTTCAAACTCCTGACCTCATGATCCACCTGCCTCAGCCTCCCAAAGTGCTGAATTGCAGGCATGAGCCATTGTGCCTGGCCTATACTCTTTGACCAAGATAACACATAGTTCACTTACCCAGGAATTTTAATTCTAAATATAGTATTCTTCTACACTACACCAAAAGGACTGATTCTCTCTTCCTTTTTTCTTGACTCTTTTTTTTCCTAGTGTAGAATCTCTTTCCCCCTTTTTCATTGACACATTAAACACAGAGGGCAGAGGAAAAGTAGAGGTATAATCATTTTCTTTTTTTAGAGATGCAGTCATGCTATGTTGCCAGGCTAGTCTCAAACTCTTGACCTCAAGCTATCCTCCTGCCTCAGCCAGTATGCCTAGCTATTTATTTAACTCTTATTTCTGAAGGAATGGAGAGTTTGGAGCAGGGCCATAAAACAATACTCCATTGTCCTGTAGGGACACATTTATAGCACTGTTTTCTCCAAATAATTCTAGGTTACTCCATTTAGATAAAGCAACTTCTGCACAGAAAATAACTTTTCTTGTTTTTCAAAAAAAGTTGAGAGAGTCTTGCTCTGTCAGTCAGGCTAGAGTACAGTGGCACGATCTCAGTTCACTGAACCTCCACCTCCTGGGTTCAAGCAATTCCCATGCCTCTGCCTCTGAGTAGCTGGGACTATGGGTGTGTACTACCACACCTGGCTAATTTTTTGGTATTTTTAGTAGAGACGGAGTTTCACCAAGTTGGCCAGACTGGTCTCAAACTCCTGACCTCAACTGATCTGCCCACCTCAGCCTCCCAAAGTGCTGGGATTACAGGCATGAGCCACTGCGCCTGGCCAGAAAATAACTTTCAGTGTCTATAATATACAGTCTAATTATATTTTCTGGAACTGCATATGGATTAAAAGTCCCCAATGTACTCTGTTCAGTTACCAGGATGGTAACTACTTTTATTCCACGTTTTTCTGCACTAAGAGTTTTTGTCTAATCTAAAAAATATTATGTGCTTATTCATTAAAATGCACTGACAGAGCCTAAAATATTAATTGCAATATATGATAGCTAATCCTAATGTTCTATAAACATAAAAACACAATCGTTTGAGAGAAAGATCACCAAGGTACTACAAGGTAAATTGATTTTGCCTTGGAAAACTAATCTATCTCCAATCAGAATCAAGGAGTGTTTCTGGAAAGTCCTCTATTTCTGGCAAACAACTTAAGGCAAATCTCCATAGTTCTGTGTATCCTTAAAGCAGTTCCCATATTAATTTTCTACTCCAAGTCAGAGTAGGATAGTAATTACTACCTAAATTTCAGGAAGTAAACAACTAAGAAGAAGAAAGAAGAGACACAGGCAAAAAGCAGGTATTGTATTTTTGATACAAACTAAGTTTGAGTTAACCTAGTGTAGCACAAAGATCCCTGAAGTACAAATTAGAAGACCTAAGTGTCAGTTGATTCTGCCACTTGCTTATCTGTGTAATTTTGAGCAAGTCATTTTTATTTTGAGCAGGTCATCTGATCATTTTTTTTATTTTTTTTGAGACGGAGTCTCACTCTGTCATCCAGGCTGCAGTGTAGTGGCGCAATCTTGGCTCATTGCATCCTCCACCTCCCGGGTTCAGGTGATTCTCCTGCTTCAGCCTCCTGCGTAGCTGGGATTATAGACACACACCACCACATCCTGCTAATTTTTATGTTTTTTAGTAGAGACGGGGTTTCACCATGTTGGTCAGGCTGGTCTCGAACTCCTGACCTTGTGATCCACCCACCTCAGCCTCCCAAAGTGCTAAGATTACAGGCGTAAGCCACCACGCTCAGCCCTGCTCATTCTTTTCTTCATCTTTACAATGGAGTTGTAAATACCTTTTTGTGCTTCCTATTCCCCAAGATTACTGTGAGGGTCAACTGACATACTATCTATGAAATTATAAGAACCTACATGCAAAAGTGTAGTAATATATGCATATAAACGTGTTTTTATGTGTGTGTGTGTGTGTGTGTGTGTGTGTGTAGACTAGACTATGATTACTTTCCAATATTAGTCCAGTTTGACTCAGAGAAATAGTTTCTGACTTCTAGGAATTCACAGTTGAGAGAAGGAACAAACATTAAAAGTAAACAATACAATAAAGGAAAAAGTAAGGCAACAGAGGTATATATCAAATGTTATTGGAGCCCAGCAGAAAGAGATGAATCCTATCTGAGCAGAAAAGTCGGTTGTCATAAAGATTACAACTAGGCTTCAAGGAAGAGGCTGAGTTGCTAGAATTTCATCCAGATACATGGGCTTCAAGATATATAAAGAATCATGAAACCTCTGTTACAACTGGTTCTGCCTTCAATAATTAAAAGTAGTACTTAACCTCTTTAGAACTCTCTTACTACAAGTCTAAAATAAAGGGTTTTGGCTAAATAAACCCGTAAGTCCCTCCAGCCCTAAAATCAGATGGTACTAGTAGTCAAACTCTAGTCATTGTACATATACCAAGAAAGAGGGTTCAAGAAAGTAATAGGCCAGAACTATTAAACAAGGAGTTCTCCCATTAACTGCTTTTTCTTGGAATTAGAAGTCTAAAAACAGTATTTAGAAAAATATCTACCTAGAAAAAGCTCTAGCACAGTGAAGAGAAGAAATTGGAAGGATATCAAAAAGGGGAGAAGCAAACAATACATGATAGCAGGGAATGAAGTATTCAGTTCTGCAAAGATGTTACTTAGACCAGTAAGGAAACAGGTAGTAAACAGGAAGTCACAATATTTACATTCTTATTCCAAGAAAAACTTGGAGTAAAACCATAACCAGACCTTAAAATTTATACTTCCATAAAATCAAGTTGTTGTGTTTTTGCCTTGGTAAACCACTTCTAAAAAAACCTATTTGTATAAAGAGTTCAGTTTAGGAATTACAAAGAAAAGAATCAAAAACCTAAATATATACAAGTAAATTAGTTTCAGAAATGGTACCAAAAGTGGGATATCAGGTAAACCACCAAACATTTACTAAACTCTGTTTAATAGGGCAAGTTGTTATAAAACACAGTCCAAGTACTCAAGGGATTCATTGACTTAAGACCAAAAACAGCAAACTATAGTAACTCTTACCCATCAATGATATTTTCAGGTGGGTGTTTTTCATCACTTGATGTAGCTAAAATAACTTCCGACCCTTCAGAGCTCAGACAGAGTTCAGTTTTTCTCATCTTAAAAGTGTTTAACCTGCAAATTAAAAAATAACAAAAAAAGCAACTTCTTGATTCTCTAAACTTTATCTGAGAAAACCAAGCGAGAAGGAAAGGCTGTTGCCTAGCAGATAGTTTAACACCCAAGCTATTTAACATGTAGGAGGGACTCTAACATGTTTGTTTACATAAGAAACCTCTCCCAGGGATAATCTATAAGAGTGATTATTTTTGCTACTCTGCTCCACAAAATAAGTCCCTGACTACCCTAACCAAACAAAAAAACAAAACACTGAGGTGCAGGAAGAAGGTCAACAGAGAAGAACATGGAATACCATAAAAATACTCGATTAATCCGAAAGAAGGCAGAAAAAGAGAAACAAAAGAAGAAAAATGGGACAAACAGAAAACAAATAGCAAGAACACAGATTTAAGCAAAAATACATCAATTATTCCATTAAGTGTTAATAAACTAAACACTCAATTATTAGATTAAATTTTTTAAAAACCAACAACTAAATACTGTTTTCCAGAGACACATTCTAAATATGAAGATACAAACTAAAAGCAAAATGACAGAAGAGGGTATAAAGTGTTAACATCTGGCAAGGTAAATTTCCCTACTTAAATTTTTTAAAAATTTTCATTATTTTACTTTTTTAGAGGCAGAGTCTCACTCTGTCACCAAGGCTGGTGTGCAGTGGAGCAATCATGGCTCACTGCAGCCCTGAATTCTAGGGCTCAAGTGATCCTCCTACCTTAGCCTCCCAAGCAGCTGGGACTACAGGTATGCCACCATACTCAGCTAATTTTTTAAAAAATTTCTGTAGAGGCCAAGGGGGGGCAGATGATGAGGTCAAGAGATAGAGACCATCCTGGCCAACATAGTGAAACCTCATCTCTACTAAAAATACAAACATTATGGGCGGGCGCGGTGGCTCAAGCCTGTAATCCCAGCACTTTGGGAGGCCGAGGCGGGTGGATCACGAGGTCAAGAGATCGAGACCATCCTGGTCAACATGGTGAAACCCCGTCTCTACTAAAAATACAAAAAATTAGCAGGGCATGGTGGCACGTGCCTGTAATCCCAGCTACTCAGGAGGCTGAGGCAGGAGAATTGCCTGAACCGAGAAGGCGGAGGTTGCGGTGAGCCGAGATCGCGCCATTGCACTCCAGCCTGGGTAACAAGAGCGAAACTCTGCCTCAAAAAAAAAAAAAAAAAAAAAAAAAACAAACATTAGCTGGGCATGGTGGTGCACCCCTGTAATCCCAGCTACTGGGGAGGGTGAGGCAGAAAAATCACTTGAACCCAGGAGGCAGAGGTTGCGGTGAGCCAAGACCATGCCACTGCACTCCAGCCTGGCAACAGAGAGAGACTATGTCTCAAAAAAAAAAATTCTGCAGAGATGGGTCTTGCTATGCTGCACAGGCCAGTCTTAAAACTCCTGGCCTCAAGTGATCCTCCTGCCTCAGCCTTTGAAAGTGCTGGGATTAAAGGCATGCACCATTGTGCCTGGCCAATATCAGTATTTTATTAAAATGCATTTATTCTTAGTTTTTATTAGCATAAAGTTCACTTTCTATTATACTTAAAAACTAGTATTGATAGTATTAAAAGTATGGTAACATTAATAAGAAAAGACACATATATTCTAAATTTTTTTGTGCCTGTTTCCTCTACCAATCTTACCACAGCTTTTAACACTACTGATACCAGAGAACTGGTCAGTGTGGGATGAACACTGTCAACCCTTAGTTTTAAGATGAGAAAGACAGTGAATTCTATAAATACAGATTGATAAACTTGCATGCTAATTCTCAACAAAACCCTAAAATTATTAAATTTCATTATTAAAATGGTGGCCTTGAAAATGTAAACAAGGAAGTACTAAAATTGAAAGTAGGAGTAACATTAGTTTACAGGCTATACCAAAGCTATACATTTCTGTTTGTCTGATGGAGTTCCTACCCATTTGGAGCATGTTCTAAACATTTCAACAAAGCTTCAGACAAAGCCTCTCAAGATACCCTGTGGACCTGACAGAGAAACATGAATTGGGTGAAAGGTAGTACTCAAAAGAATGATGATTAATGGAAGAAAGCGTACCTGTGGAGGACTTGTATCCTTTTCTTTTTATTAATTAAGATGTACAAAGTATGCTTATCAATTTAGCAGACACAAAGCTGGGATGTCAGCTAATATCCTGGGTGACAGAATTAGCATTCAAAAAAAATGAGCAAGCTAGAAAGACGGCTTGCAATGAGTAAGATATTTAATAAGGATAAAAGTAAAAGCCTATACTCAGTCTTGAAAAAAATCAATCATACGAGGGTTGGTCTAAATCAGGGGTTAGCAAACTACTGCCCCTGAGCCAAATTAAGCCTGCCACCTGTTTTTATATGGCCCACAAGCTAAAAATGTGTGTAATATTTAATATTTTTTAAAAATTAAAATATTCTGACACATAAAAATTACATGAAATTCAGATTTTAATGTTTGGCTGATTCTATGTTACAGTGACATAGCTGAGTCACTGTGACAGACTATAAGGCCCATAAAACCTAAAATATTTACTATTTGGCCTTTAACAAAAAAGTTTGCCAACCTCTGATATAGATGTATAAAACATATAGGTTTTATGATCACAAAGTCAGTATAAGGTAACAGTGTACTCTACCTGCCCCTAAAGGTAATAGAATGCTATCTTAAAGAGGTACCACATCCATCAACATTTTTGAACTCCAATTGAACTAAGGGCCAAGAACTGTGCTAGTATTGCAAAGAAAAACAACCTAAGTGACTAAGACTTGGTTCTTGCCTTCAAGCTTAGAGTCAAGGAAGATGAATAAGCATGCAACTAACAATATAATATACCATGTGCTAACATAGTATGATGCACATCCAGAATACTGTGTTCGGTTCTGGGTAGTACGTTTTAAGCAGGACATTATCAGGCTTGATATTGTTGGGAGGAGAGTAAAAAGTTCAGGATCATAGAGAAAGGTGAAAAATATAAATGTTATTACGATTTTTACTCAGCAGTGCTCACAAATGGAAAAATGATTAATTTTTTTTACACCCCCAGGAGTGTGAATTGGACTCAACAAATGCACATTTTAAACAGGAAGACATTGGAGAGAGAAGGATTTTCCTGCAAAGGGAAGATTTTAAATTTCTTTCATCCCTGAAAATGTCCAAGAAGAGTCAATAAAAGATCATAATCTGTGGAGGAAGCCAAAGAAAGGATTCCTGCCTTGGCAGTTCCCTTAGGCTGAGCCAAATTCTAGGAAAGGTGGGTTGGGAATAGATAATGAAAGATCTGAAAAGCCAGTTTAATGGCAATGAACTTTAATCTGTACTCCAGTGGTTCTAAACTGGACCGGGAGTAGACTTTGGCCTCCAAGGACACTTCACAAAACCTGAAGAGTTTTAGGGTCACAACTGCTAAATATACTGTCACATATAGGACAGCACCCCACAAGTAATATTGGTCCCAAGTATAAATACAGTCAAGCTGGGGAAACCAAGCAGTAATCTATTTGAGGGTGGAAATGTGAGGATTGGAGATGTAAGGAGAGAACTTTTTTTTTTTTTTTTTAAGACAAAGTTTGGCTCTATGGCCCAGGCTGGAGTGCAATGACACAATCTTGGCTCACTGCAACCTCTGCTTCCCCGGCTCAAGTGATCCTCCCACCTCAGCCTTCCTAGCAGCTGGGACTATAGGCAGGGACCACCATGCCCGGCTAATTTTTTGGTTTGTAGAAACGGGTTATGGTTATGCCATGTTTCCAGACTGGTCTCTAACTCATGGGCTCAAGTTATTTGCCTGCCTCGGCCTCTCAAACTGCTGAGATTACAGGAGCGAGGTCACTGCACCCAGCCGAGAATTTGTTTTTTTTTCTTGAGACGGAGTCTCACTCTGTCGCCAGGCTAGAAGGCAGTAGCGCAATCTCAGCTCACTGCAACCTCCACCTCCTGGATTCAAGTGATTCTCCTGCCTCAGCCTCCCGAGTAACTGAGTACAGGTGCGTGCCACCACACCCGGCTAATTTTTGCATTTTTCGTAGAGACGGGGTTTCACCACGTTGACCTCATGATCTGCCCGCCTCTGCCTCCCAAAGTGTTGGGATTACAGGCGTGAGCCACTGCGCCCAGCCAAACTTGTTTTTTAAAAAGTGTTACACTTTAGGGTTGATACAGAGCAGATGAATAGGAAAGAATGTACTCTCCAAATGTTCAGTTCTTTTCTTACCTCACATTCTTAATTATCTGTTTTCTGAGAGAGGCAAACACATGCTTTAATACAAAACTCATTTCATACCTTCTATATCCTCCTAGTTCCTGTTTTGGGTAGAATTACTTAAGTAGAAACGGCAGAGACTGGGTTTTTTTCTTTTGGTTAACTTTTTTTTAAGATCATATTTATTTAATTAATTAATTTATTTCTTATTGCATTTTAGGTTTTGGGGTACATGTGAAGAACATGCAAGATAGTTGCACAGGTACACACATCGCAGTGTGATTTGCTGCCTTCCTCCCCTTCACCTATATCCGGCATTTCTCCCCATGCAATCTCTCCCCAACTCCCCACGCCCCGCTGTCCCTCCCCTATTCCCCCCAACAAACCCCAGTATGTAGTGCTCCCCTCCCTGTGTCCATGTGTTCTCATTGTTCAACACCCGTCTATGAGTGAGAACATGCAGTATTTCATTTTCTGTTCTTATGTCAGTTTGCTGAGAATGATGTTCTCCAGGTTCATCCATGTCCCTACAAAGGAAACGAACTCATCGTTTTGGATGGCTGCATAATATTCCATGGTGTATATGTGCCACATTTTCTCTCTCCAGAGACTGGGTTTTCTTTAAGGTTCTTTCGTTGCACTTAATGAAAAGAGGCAAACCAACCTTAGAGAAATCCATACAATGCCATGTGCTGTGATTCACACCTATAATCCTGGCAGTTTGGGAGCCTGAGGTGGGCGGATCGCTGGAGCTCACAAGTTCGAGCCCAGCCTGGGCAACATGGTGAAACCCGGAAACTCTCTACTAAAAATGCAAAAGTTAGCTGGGTCTGGTGGCAGGCGCCTGTAATCCCAGCACTTTGGGAGGTGGAAGCGGGCGGATCACTTGAGGCCAGCAGCTCAAGACCAGCCTGACCAACATGGTGAAACCTCGTCTCTACTAAAAATATAAAAATTAGACGGGTATGGTGGCAGGCGCCTGTAATCCCAGCTACTTGGGAGGATGAGACAGGATAATCGCTTGAACCCAGGAGGCAGAGGTTCAGTGAGCCAAGATTGTGTCTTTGCACTCTAGCCTGGGCGACAGAGAGACTGAAAAAAAAGAAAAGTGCAAGTTTGGGAGGTAGTCTAATCCTCCACCCCTTTAGAACAAGGCAATTTCCTCAGGGCTGCAGTTTACCAAAGGCGGTACACTCTAGGGTGCTATCCTTTCCATTTTTTACAATCCTGACCCGGGACTTCCCTGATGCCTTATCCTGTATTCTAAACCAGAGCCACTGGTTTCATCCCCAGTTCAGCCTTTCATCGCCAGCTCATATGCCCTTTGTGGTCCTTCTTTCCCCAAACCTCTCCAGGTCAAGTCCTCAGAGGACCTTCTCCCTGACCAGCGTCTTGCTTCTGGTGCTACAGCTAGACTCCTCACACCCTTCGCCAAGCATCATCCATTAGGAACTTGGTGTACTTTAGAAAACATGGACCCGGCCTATGGCTTCTGACTCCGCGGGGCCAGGGCCACGGCCTTCAAGACAAACCAGCCCTGGCACCACCTTCTCACCTCCACCCAAAACTCTCCTCCTCAGTCCAAGGCCCGGTGGAGATCTTCGAGGGCTCTAAAGCCGCGACTTGCGGTGGCCACGCCCCAAATTATGTAAAGAATATATTAATAAATGCCCCTAACCTTAGGTTTAACTCATAGCTAGAGGGGTTACGTTGCGGCTGACCGCTTACATTTTGGTAGACTAATCAATTTCGATTTGCAACTGGTTTTCCCTTTTGGTCAAGACGCTATTTCTGGCCCGAAAGAGCTTTGTGGGCTGGCACTGGCGACTCCAGGGCTTGTAAGAGAACGCCCGTCCGCGTCACACCTCCCGCGACGGCCCTTCTGCGCCTCCCGCCGCGTGTCTCTTCATCACCCCTCCACTCCTGCTCCCTTCCCAACAGCATCCCCTTCCTTCTGCCTTGCCCGGCCAGGCCCCCACACCCGCTGGTGCCAGCCCGCCCGCCCCGCAACCCGCTCACTGCGCAACCCGTTCGCCTGCAACACCAGTTAGCTCTGGGCTCCAGACCGTTCGGGCTCGAAAGCTCCCTTGCTCCACGCCCCACGCAGCGCGTCCTGGCCCGCGGCTCCGCCCCTCTCCCCGCGGCGTCTGCGGAGTCCCCGGGCGCGCGCGCCCAACTCCGACCTCTTCGCGCCACGCCTCCCATAGACCCCGCCCCGCCCTCAGCCCCTCCCGCCTCGCCGCGGCCCAGCGGAGTTCCCGGGCGCGCTCGCTTCTACCCCAGGCTCTTCGCGCCACGCCTCCCTCAGGCTCCGCCCCCTCCTCGGCCCCGCCCTCTCCCGCTCCTTTTACTTCGCGGTCCAACATGCGCAATCCCGCTCGAGTGCCTTTCCCCAGACCAGTCCCAGAGCGCGCTCTGCCTACCCTCCCTCAGCTCAGCTCTATCCCGGGGGCCCACAAGACCCAGGGGAGCCGCCCTCCCATGAGTACGCACGCGCAGTGCCCACCTCTGCCAGCTCCGCATCCTCCGCCCTCCGGTCGCCTGCCCGGGGTCCGGCCCCGCCTCCAGGCCTGGCCCCACCTTCATGCCGGGGTCCGCGCACGCGCGTCTCCCCGTCCCAGCCTTGCCCCCGCCCCCGCCGGTCCCGCGGTCCCACGGCTCCTGGTAGCCCCCAGTCTCCTCCCTCGTCTCACCCTCGCCGTGTCCCACCCTCCCTAGCTTTGTGCCTGGGGTGCCGAGCTCTTCCCCGTCAGCCGCGCCGCTGGAGGAGGGAGCCGCCACTGAGGAGCTGCTGCTCGCTGCCCCGGGGAGGGGCACAGGTAGGTGGCGGCCGCGGGCCGGACCGCTCGCGGGGCCCGGGGCGCCGTGCGGGAGCGGGGGCGGGGTGTTAGGGAGGGGATGGGTGGGGGAGGGGAAGCCCGGGAGGGACGGCAGAGGGCAGGTTGAGGAGAGAATGGGGATATACGGGTGTGGGAGATGGGTTTAAGGGTTGGGTAGGGGTGCGGGGGCAGGGTGGGACAGGGAGCAGGATTACCCTGGGTGGACTCTGGGAGAGGTATGGGTGGGAGAGAGCGGGACAAAGGATTGCTGTCCTGGGGAAGGGGGAAAGGGAATGGGGTTTTAGGGGTGCAATGAGGAAGGGATAGGAATAGAGGGTGGGGTCTTGGGGGCAGGGAAGAAAAGTTGGGGTTGTGGAATGCGAAGCTGGGGATAGTGAGGCGTGATTGAAGGGGGTCTTGAAGATTGAGAACAGAAGGCAAGGAAAGGGATGGAGAGCTTGGAGTCCTAGGAGAGGGAAGCCAGTAGAGTGGGAAGAAGGGAAGAATAGATGTAGAAGGAGAGGAGGAATGGGGGTGGAAGAGTGTGGGGAAGGAAAAGGAGGCAGGTGAAGATTGGGAGATTGGAGGTTGGAAGGTTGGGTCTGTGGGACAGCAAGCCACCTTTCAGCAGGAGCAGGAAGGGCTGGAAGGGTCTGAGGGTTGAGGAGGGCGGGGTAGCTGGGATGGGGGAAGGGAGTAGGGTTAGGATTTTTGGTGTGAGAGGCGCTAGTTGCTAAGAGTGTCACAATGTGGGAAAGATTGGCCTGTTATTGGTGGGGAGTAGGGAGCCTGAGAGAGGAAAGGGGATGGGTGAGAAGGCAGGTAGAGAAGTGCGTATTATAGGAAAAAAGTAGTGAGGAAAGTTGAAAATTGAAGAATGGGGACACACAGAACAATGAAGATGGATTGTTGGTTATTGGTAGTTTAGAACTACCCATGGTTTAGTTTCTGCTTAGGTTTTTATGTTAGAAATTTTCTCAAGAATACTGCATTTTCAGATAAACCAAAAGTGTCTGCAGCCTTGGGATGAAGGCCATGAGTTGGCAGATGCTTTCCTGGTATATGGATGTAGCTCATTTCGAGCCTGGCAGAGGGAAGAACGGAGGCCTCATTGCTGTCCTGGCTCTGTTCCCACCAGCTCTTTCTTCAGATGTGCACTGTTGTTTTAAATCTTGTCCCTGCCCCTTCCCCCTCCTCCCAGGCTTCAATCAGTGAATACTAGAGGGATCAAACAGGTGGGTGAGATTAATTTTTAACGTTTTTTTTTTTTATCCTTAAGGCTGATGTCAAATTTTTTCTTGAGAAACAGCATCATGCCAAGGAAAGAGCTTGAGCTTTGGAGTAATGCGGCCCTAAGATTGAATTCTGGTTCTGCCACTTATTAGCTCTGTTCTAGAGTAAGTTATTTTATTTCCGTGGGTCTCTGTCTATTAAAAGGCAATACTGACCTCATAGGATCATTAAAGATTACATTACTTTATATAGTACCTAACACAGTGCTTGGCAACTGGTGGGTGCTTAATAAATGGTAGCTATCACCCAGTACCATTAAACATCAGAGGCATTACTATAACTTACTATTCTTAGGGGATTTTTATCTTACTTTACCTACTGAAGTTAGGTATTTTCTTCTTTTTCTCCTCAAATTAGCCGTAGATTCTGCTCACAATTTTACCCTCTGGGCTCCCCAACAACCTCAGTCCACCTAACTGGGATAGTCATGCTTTTTGCTTGGGAAACTGGATTCAAGGTCTAAAAAACTGTCATGTGTAGTATCAATTTTGTCTGGCCTCTTTCAAGGAAGCTGTGTAGAACTGAGTTTTTAATATAATACAGCTATGTTTCATCCATTTGATGAAATGGTACACTTTGTGGTTACTTTGGCTTACTTGTGAACAAATGCTAGAACATGCACGATTGTAGTATTTTTCTATGCTGCTGTTTGGGTTACAAAGCTGCCTCTCTGTAGCAGGCTTGGAGACTATCAGAATGTCAGTGTTACTCTTGATCCAACATAAAATACAGCTACTGCGATCTACACTGGACACTGTTGTTGCTGCAGTTACTAAGTATTTTAGTTTTTCTATTTGGATGAGGTTTTTACCACAATTTAGAACGGGCCCTGTCCATTTGTAATACACCACCCTGTACTATAGTGAGGGGCAAATGAATCCAAGTACTGAAGTTTTGTGTACAATTCTGTTGACTTTCTGGCCCTTAGCCTTAAAGGGTTCAAATATTAATTTAATGCTTAGATCATGTTATAGTACCTCACAGACTCTCAAGAAGCTCCTCTTTGGGAGAATGCAGGATGTGCTGATTTAGTAGTAGAAATTAAAGGCCACCAGGATTCCCTGAACCAAAGTCAATTTCTCCAGTGGCTTCTGGACAGATGATGTGGGTTTGCTCTCCAGAAAATAATTATATTTATTTTTTCCTCATTTAGAAAGAGAAATGGCATTTGATAGGTAATCTAAAGAAAATTTTAAAAACAGCCAGTACTGTGCCTTTTTAAAATAAATGATCTCTGGAAGCCAAAGCTGCCAGGATTTTGAGGAGCCTGGGTTTGGGTCCTTAATCTGGCCCAAAGCTGCTTGTGCACTACGTTGGATGGAATCAGACTTCTAATTTTCATCTGAAGCGGTCACCCACCCATCCATTCATCCATCCATTTGTCCACTTTACTGCAGAGTTTGTGGTAGGCACTATTAGGGGTGAGGGTTGGGGCAATACAGATGGGCAGACCCTGTTTCATTGTTCAGGGAGTTCACAGTGTATTGATCCACTATAATAGGGTATCTTCCATAGAATTTGTCTTTCTGTTGTTAAAATCACATCAGTCCTTTTTAGGGACATCCCTAGTGTCTGCTTTCTGATCTACAGGAAGAGTAGAGCTCTGAATGTTAAATGACAGGGATAAAGACCAAAGGACATCTGCTTTACTTCCTTAATCAAAATTAAGGTCTGCAAGGTTGGAGGGTCCAGATGCTCACCCCTACTGGAAGAAGAGCTCAGAATAAATGAGGCGTCTCCTTAGCAGCAGGCACTGTAAATGCTGGCAAGAGAAAAGTATGGGTTATAAGAGCTGGCACTGTGACAGGATTTTTTTCCCCGTTTTTTAGTTTAGTTGTCTCCCACCCCTTGTAGTACCAGTAGCAATGTATCGCCATGGTCTGCTTTGCCTCTGCCACCTGCAGAAGGGTCTGGTGAGTGGGGGAGGAGCCTGCAGCTGTTGCCTGGAAAAGGAGCTGGCTCCTAGCAACAGTATCAGCAGGCCCTGCAAGTCAGAGCACTAAGTTTGTCCTTTGAGGTCTTACCCTTCCTCTCATACAGTTCATCAAATATCTTTTGAGGGCTTACATAGTACCAGGCACTATGTTGGGCCTGGGAAAGATCGATGAACCAAATAAGTGCCTTGCCTTCAAAAAGCTCACCACTCTGGGTACATTAACAAGTGAACATAGTACATGGTCCTAAGTGCTCTGTAAGAGACACTGGGTGCTCTGGGAAAACCAGACAGGCATGTACTTCTGCATCATCCCACAAGAGGGACGATGTTAATGATGAGTAGGAATTAGCTAGGTCAGGGAGGCAAAGAAGGATGTTCCAGCCAAAGGGGATAGAACGGGCAATGGCCAGTCAGACATAAGAGCGTGGCCAGTTTACCTGGGTAGTATGACAGGAGCAAAGAGTAGGATGTAGGAGATGAGCAGGAAAGGGTAAAGCTCTAGAGCTAGGCAGAGTGCTCTTCTCTCATGTACTTTTAGACACATAATTATCCTTGAGACAAACATGGTACTGATTCCCACAAACAGGATCATTGTATCATCTCCAGAGACTCAGCATTTTTGGTCACTGACTTGTTTGCTGACACTTATAAGTGGCTTCAGGGCCACAATGTGGCCCTGCACTGATGCAGAAGAAGCTGAGTTGGTTCACTCTAAAACTTAGATTATTTTAGGGATAATATCAGGCCTGTGTTACATTCTACCTCTCTTCTCCCTTTAAATTTTAAAAATGATCATCAAATACCTTCATTTTATTTAACATAGCAATTTCTCATGTATTCTGAAACCTCACAGTTATTCAGGAAAACAAGTATTCATTCCAGTTAGTTCTTGGGCACATACTGTTACCCAGATGACTGCAGAAATGCCCAACTTTTTACTTTTTTATCTTAAAACTGTCCTACTAGAACTTTAATAGATAAGATGTTTCCAAAGGCTAGAATAGCTTTTACTTAGCTTTTGGAATGGAGGTGTTTATTTGTAGATTAAAAAAATATATATTCTGTTGCTTTTGGTCTTTTTAAAGTTCAGCAAACGAGTAAACATTGGTTCCATAGTATCTGCTCAGGGACTATAAGATGCCAGAGCACTGTGTTACTGAGTCTGCATGAATTAAACGTGGTCCTTCCTCTCAAGCAGCTCAAAGCAGCAGACGACAGACTCAGAAACAAATAAATAGAACAGTGAGCCAAGTGCAACCAAGAAGTGTGTGGAATGTGTCAAGCTAGCAAGGGAGTTACTTATTTCTAGTCTTTTTTTCTGTGTGTAAACATGTTTTTTTTTTTAATTTATAATTTTAATGGTTTTATAACATTCCATGGTATGTATAAGTCATAACGCATTTATTAACATCCCAATTGTTGGACATTTAGGTTGTTTTCCAATTGTTTTGCTAATATAAACTTGCTGCCATGAATTTATGCATAAATGAATCTTTGCTGACATCTGTGACAACTTCCTCAGCGTGAATTTTAAAGATGAGATTTTGACCTGGGTTTTGCAATGGCGTGATCTTGGCTCACTGCAACCTCTGCTTTCTGGGTTCAAGCGATTCTCTTGCCTCAGCCTCCCCAGTAGCTGTAACTACAAGCACATGCCACCACACCTGGCTAATTTTTGTAATTTTAGTAGAGACAGAGTTCACCATGTTGGCCAGGCTGGTCTCAAACTCCTGACCTCAGGTGATCTGCCCATCTCGGCCTCCCAAAGTGCTGAGATTATAGGCATGAGCCACTGTGTTCAGTCTTGACCTGGGTTTTAAAAGATGAGGAGATGGCCAGATAGACTAGAAAAGGGGAAGAATAGGAAGGGGCATTCCAGGTAGAGGCAATAGAGGCAACCTTGAATGCCAAAGCTCCCAGGCAACTGGTGAGTTTTGCTTTTCCTAAACCAGCCACCAGGCCTGCCTGGTAGGCTCATAAAGCCCTGGGCACAGCAAGATGAAGTTACATGTTGCAAATGGCATTTTAATTGGGTTTGCTTCCATATGCCTTGCTTTTACAGTGGAAACCAAGGCAATGTCTTACTACCTCAGCTCAGAAAGCCACCTGGACCCGGGGCCCATCTACGTGCGAGAAAACAGGCAGCTGCACATGGTCAATTTGGCTCTGGATGGTGTCAGGAGTAGCCTGCAGAAGCCAAGGCCTTTCAGACTGTTTCCCAAAGGCTTTTCCGTGGAGCTTTGCATGAACAGGGAAGACGACACTGCACAGAAAGAGAAGACTGATCATTTCATCTTCACATACACCCAGGAGGGGAATCTCCGGTACTCCGCCAAATCCCTCTTCAGCCTTGTCCTGGGTTTCATCTCTGACAATGTGGATCACATTGATTCCCTCATTGGCTTTCCTGAGCAGATTGCTGAAAAGCTGTTCTCTGCTGCTGAAGCCAGACAGAAATTCACTGAGCCAGGCGCAGGGCTGAGGGCTTTACAGAAATTCACTGAGGCCTATGGAAGCTTGGTGCTTTGCTCCCTGTGTCTGAGAAACAGGTGGGTGTTCTGATTAGGTTATTTTGTATTTTACTGGGTGTGCTAATTCTGTCAAGCTCTGGGGCTTTGTGGGCTCAGGGGCTTCCCTCATCAAATAGCACTTCAGTTTAGAACTTTTGAATACAAAGTGACAGACCATTTTGAGAAATATCACTCTTCCTCCTCCTCACCTCTCAGACAACACTTAGCTTTATTCTGAAATCATTTTACAAGGATTGGTTGATTGTCACAGTTCCTCCTTTAGGTAGAAAATATTCTACCAACTTTCAAAAAGAGAAAAGACAAAATGTGATTGGCCACATATCTCTAGGTATGCTCCTGCAGATAGGGAGATTAGTACCCAGAGTTTTTGGCCCTGTTTTTGGTTTTCAGACCACTAGACACTGACCATTAGGTAAAAAGTAACCGTAAAAGATTGAGTGATTAAAATTTCAAATATCCTAAAGTTTGGCAATTCTCAGATGAAGTCCCAACACTAAGGTCTGTTGTCTAACAAAGCAGGTATTTTCTCTTGTGACTTGCCTTTGCTCATATGCTTTATTTAAAATTTTTACTCTACCATCATGTAAAAACACTTTCAAACATCTAATTCTTTAAAAACCTACAAAAAAAGCAATAAAAATATACACGGCAAACAATTTAAACACAGACACAAAGGGGCATAAAATAAAACTTAAGCCTCTTACTATTCATCTCCAGTTTCCCCTTCCCAGAGACCAAACACCGTTCCCAGTTTTTAAAATATCCTTCCAGAGATACTCTATGCACATACAGGCTTATGTAGTTCCCTCTTTTGTTATATAAATGGCAGCATGCTGCATACACTGTTATGGACCTTGCTTTCTTCACATAATTTAAAAATCATTTATCAATACTTGTAAGTTTTTAAATAACTTTATTGTATACCACTGTATGAACTATTTTGTGATTAGAAACCTGAAAGGCAGCTTACTATGTTTTTTTTTTTTTGAGACGGAGTTTCACTCTTGTTTCCCAGGCTGGAGTGCAGTGGTACTATCTCAGCTCATTGCAACCTTCACCTCCTGGGTGTAAGCAGTTCTTTTGCCTCAGCCTTCTAAGTAGCTGGGATTACAGGTGCCTACCACCACCATGGGCTAATTTTTTATATTTTTAGTAGACACGGGGTTTCACCACCTTGGCCAGGCTGGTCCAGAACTTCTGACCTCAGGTGATCCACCTGCTTCAGCCTCCCAAAGTGCTGGGATTATAGATGTAAGCCACCATGCCCACTGGCAGCTTACTATTAAGATGCACAATCCATATGAGCATTATAACAAGGCTAAACAGAAAAATATATATAAGAGAAAGCCATACCAGCACACAGAAGCTAAGCTCATCTGCTTAATAAAGGAGAAATGATCTTATTTAATGAGCTCATAGAATTAATGGTTTCACCAGAGGCCAAATACTGTATTTTAAAAAGAAAAGACATAAACACATACAGAAAAGAACAGAAACTTGGCTCATAAACTGAGCAGGCACCCTGAAAGCTCTGTCTCTGGGCTGTGGTCTCAGTCATGGCTGGGCTTGGGACTGCTGCCAGTGGAAAGGAAAAAAATTACCTTGCCTAAATGAAAAAGTCAAGCAATATTTCATTGTAGCTCATGCATTTAAAATGCATTTTACGCTTCCATTTTTTCTTCCAAGTTACTCATGTTCATTGTAGAAAAGTTAAAACAGTGGCAAAACAGAATTATGATGTATACCTTGTTTTAAAATTATTTTATGAAAGTGATACATACTATTTGGGAAAAACATAAAATTATAGGATTAAAAAATTCATAATCCCACCATGGTGATCATTTTCAAATATGTATTTTTATACATTTGAGAATATATGCTTTGTACAACTTGTATTCTGTTTTCTTCCCCACCTACCCTTATAGCTTAACATTTCCCAGCTATTGAAAATGCTGCTTATCCATTCGCGATGTCTGCATACTGTTGTAGTGGCAGATTGGTCAGATTGGGATGAGAATAGCACTTTTTATTCACATCTGATGAGCACATGAATTAGTGTAGCATTTCTGAAAGCAGTTTGGCAATATGTATCAAGAACCTTGAAAACATCTGTACTATTTGTTTGACCCATTCTACTTATTAAGAATCTATTCTGATCTCTAATGTAATAATCAAAGATGGGAACAGATATTTTTATATAAGAGTGTTCATTGTAGTACTGTTTGTACGAGTGAAAATCTAAAAACTAGCCAGGCACCATGGCTCACTCCTGCAATCCCAGCCCTTTGGGAGGCCGAGGTGGACAGATCACCTGAGGTCAGGAATTTGAGACCAGCCTGGCCGACACGGTTAAACCCCGTCTCTAGTAAAAATACAAAAAAATCAGCTGGACATGGTGGTGCACACCTGTAGTCCCAGCTACTCAGGAGGCTGAGGCTGGAGAATCTCTTGAACCTCAGAGGCAGAGGTTACAGTGAGCCAAGAATGTGCCATTCCACTACAGCCTGGGCGGCTGAGGGAGACTTCATCTAAAAAATCTGAGAACTAAATGTTCAACAGTAGGGAATTGGTTAAGCAAATTATAGTACATTTATGATGAAATATTATATAACTATTAAGATAACATTCTAAGAAATAGATTTTTAAATGTGCGTATTGCATAGATAGAAAAAGGAACCCTACCAAAAAGTAGTCTAGGTGGGATTGGAATTGATTTTATATTCTTTATACTTTTCTATATTTTCTTAATTTTTCTCCAATGAAAGTGATACATTATCAGAAAATATAAGAAACATTTACATTTATATAATAATCAGAAAATATAGAAAACTTATTTTTTGGAGACAGGATTTCACTCTGTTGCTCAGGCTAAAGTTGCAGTGGTGTGAACTTGGCTCACTACAGCTTCTGCCTCCCAGGTTCAAGCAGTTCTCACACTTCAGCCTCCTGGGTAGCTGAGACTACAGGCGCCTGCCACCTTGCCCAGCTGATTTTTGTATTTTTTGGTAGAGATGGGGTTTTACCATGTTGACCAGGCTGGTCTTGAACTCCTGACCTCAAGTGATCTACCCGCCTCAGCCTCCCAAAGTGCTGGGATTACAAGTGTGAGCCACCATGCCTGGCCAGAAAATATAGGAAACATTTTTAGCAGAATCTTTTAGCCCTTATTTTCTTGCAGCAATTCCAGACTTTACTGTCTCATTCGAATGTAAGATTTTTCAATTGTGATCGAAAACCTCTTTTCTCCTTTTACATCCTTAAAGGAAAATAGAGGGCAGGAAATTTGAGGTTGCATTTGCAATCCAGGGCTGCAGCTGCAGTCCAAGAGGTTGTGTCAACCACAAAAGGGTTCAGATCAAAAGTAATGAGCTTGAAAAAATAAATGAAAATAAAATAATTAGATAGCAGGCACTTACTATCTTGAGGTTAAGTCACAAAGCTACCTGCCAGAAGCAAGTGTCTTTGCAACTGGATTCCGGCCTTATGAAAACTCTCTTCTCCCTTTTGTTGAAACCCCAGTGATTTTTAATCCCACTGTGGTCACGGGGAGGCAAGTATGTCTTCCTTAAAATATCACCCTTTGCTATTGACATAGTAGTAATAGCTACTATTTCATGAGGGTCTGCAAGATACCATGGAATTTTAAAATATTATTTCTCTTTTTCTTAATAATCCTGAAAAGAAGTAATCATTTGCCCCATTTTGTAGCTGGAGAAATTGAGGCTCAGAAAGGTTAAGTAACTGTCTCACAATCACACAAGTAGTTAGGGCTGTTAGAATCCAAACTCAGATCTGGTCTGTGCTCCTACTGTTGCTTTTCCACTGTACTGTTCTGAACGCTTTAAGGGAAAATTGGAAGACTGGTTGCAAGCAAGAACCTAGAGCTTTGATTATGTCCTAGATTAGCATCTAGTAATGTCTGTGGTCTAACATGTTTGTTTCTCAACCTTGAGTTTTATAATATTTCTTAATCATATTACACAGTGTTACATCCTTTGCATGGAACCCTTGTTTCAGAATCACTAAAAATATTTTGGTTAATTGATCAAAGGATGTGCATTTTCCTTTCTCTGATTGCCAGTAATCCCCTAGATCCCCATTAACACACTTCAACTCTGTGATTGGAAGGTGGAAAGCAGCAGCTTTATTTACAGTGCAATTAAAATACATCTGAGTAAATAAGGCTCTTTTGTGTACACAGCTGAGCTTGGTCTCCAGGCAGCTTAGGTTCCACCCTTTAAAGGGGTGTCAGTGCCTCAGGCCATCTGTACCTAGGAGTCAGGATAGTGATTAGTTTGAGTACATCTTTTTTTGGTTGGAAGTAGAAAGAAAAGAGATTAACCTCCCTCTTGCCCTCTGATTATTCCATTCTGTTTTTGGCAGTTAATGATCTTGCTGACAGAAGAGAGGTATGAACTCTTTTAGGTGTAACTGCACTAATCCTAACATACCATCTTGCTGTGGGAACTTCTAGACATCCAAAGGAAGGTGGATGAGAAAGGCCTGCTCTTACCACAAGTCAGTTTCCTTGTCCTCTTAGGATCCTCTCCTGTCGATTTCCTGTTCACACCTAATCCCTTTCATTCTTTCTCACCGACCTCATCTGAGATAGATGAACCACTAGAAAGCAGGGAGGAGGCCCCATCCTGGGCTGTGGAATGCCATTTTGATCTCCTTTGCCTCTCCAGAGGCCTCCCTGATGCTTCCTGCTAACAACTCAGCAAGGTGCTGCAATGTAATTAAGTTGCTCAAGCTCAGCGTTTGTCTTAATATCCATCTAGACTGTAGTGAGTCCTTGTCGCAGTCTTGCTGTACATTTGGAGTAAAGTTAGGGTAGCAGAGGCACAGGGGAGTGGACAGGTACTCAAATTTGTGTTTGAGTAGAAAAGATAAAATGTGATGTGCCAAATATCTCTTGGTACGTTCTTGGGGATGTGCAGATTGGAGTCCACAGTTCTTGACCTTGTTCCAGTTTTCAAATCACTAGATGTTGAGCATTAGATTAAAAGCCACTTTAAAAGAGGAGTAATAAAAATTTGAGTATCCTAGACTTTGGAAATTCTCAGGTAAGGTCCCAACACCAATGCCAAGGTCTGTCTGATAGCAAAGCAGATGTCTTCTCTTGTGACTTGCTTTTGTTAATATACATTTATTTATTCAAAATTTTTATTCCACCATCACATAAAAAGATGTTCAAGGCATTTACTAATTAAAAAATCCAGGCTTTGCCTTGGTTGTAATTAGTGAAGTCTGTTTATTCCATAGTACTGTGTCCTGATGGGATGATGGGATATTTACTATGATACAAATCTACAAATGGTAATGCTTTAAAAGGAGTGGGGGGAAGCTGTTGACTGCTCTCCATGCTCCATAGGTATCTGGTGATTTCAGAAAAACTTGAGGAGATTAAGTCTTTCCGGGAGCTGACCTGCCTGGATCTTTCATGTTGCAAGCTTGGAGATGAGCATGAACTTCTAGAACATCTCACCAACGAAGCCCTGTCTAGGTACTGACCACTTGTAGATGAATTGTTTCAGTATTTTTTTAAAGGCTGTTCCAACAGGATTATCTTCAGGAGAGCTGATTACTTACTTCCCATTCTTGTGTTTATTTCCTTTTTTTTTTTTTTCCTAAAATATTTTCAGTCTCCATTTACTTGGTACGAGCAATATAGGTTAGACAACTCTTAGGAAGTCAGGTGACTCAAGTCAGTGGACACTTTTTTTCTAAGTAACTTCTTTATTAACATGTGAAACTTGAAACTACCTGGGTTGAAAATAGTTTTGTCCTTTATTTTTATTTTCTTAATCTTCATTATTTATTTATTTTAAAATGGAGTCTCTCTTGTCGCCCAGGCCAGAGTGCAGTGGCATGATCTCAGCTCGCTGCAACCTTTGCCTCCCAGGTTCAAGCTATTCTCCTGCCTCAGCTTCCTGAGTAGCTGGGATTACAGGCGCCCACCACCACGCTTGGCTAATTTTTGTACTTTGAGTAGAGATGGGGTTTCACCATGTTGGCCAGGCGGGTCTCGAACTCTTGACCTCAGGTGATCTGCCTGCCTCAGGTTTTGCCCTTTATTTATCCAGTCCTAGTTTATTCTAGCAAGGGATGAGACGTTATACCATAGTCAGCAATCATATTGTTTGCTACTTTAATTATCAATGAGCTATAATTATAAAGAAAATGAACTATTAAAGACAGCCAAAGAAATTCTTTTCAGGAACCATGATTTAAAGAAATGGCCCAGTTCATACCATTCACAAATAGTGTGACTGATCTCAGGTTATTCAGTCTGGCCAGCAAAGAGGAGGACAGAAGGATTCCTCTGTGGTTTTATAAATATCCAGAAGATCAACAGCATTACAAACCTAGGTCTAACCTGCTACCTGAGGCCTGCTTCTGACAGTGACAACTACCTTCTGCCCCACACAAAGATACTGCTGTTGTATGAGGCTCATTAGCACCAAGGCTCAGATTTCTTAGGTGAAAATGGAGCATATTAATATACCAATTTCAGGTTAGCATCAGATGGATTGGGTAGTGGGTATACCTTATTAACCCAGTCTGAAAATCTAGATTTATGAAGCTGGTTAAAACTAGAGGATTGTTTGTTTTACAAAAAGAATTTTCAAACTTTCCTGACACATTTAGAATGTTTTTGATTTTCACATAATTTGTCAGAAAAGCAGCTTTTGTCTTAAAGTGTATTTATACCCTTAATGGAAGTCCCTGTTTACCTCATTCAGTAATATACCTTTAGTGCTCTCTGCCATCTGAAATTAGTACTGCATGACATGAAATTAACCTTCACTTGGTAACAGAAGTGGCACCAAAAAAAAACTTTTTTTTTTTTTAATGAGGTAGGGGCATGTTCTGTCATCTAGGCTGGAGTGCGATGGTACAATAATAGTTCACCGCAGCCTTGACATCTTCAGTTGAAGCCATCTTCCTGCCTCAGCCTCTCAGGTAGATAGGACCGCAAGCACACAGCACCTTGCTAGCTAATTTTTAAAATTTTTGGAGGGATGAGGTCTCTAGTTCCTGGGTCCAAGTGATCCTCCAGCCTCAGTTTTCCAAAGTACTGACATTACAGGTGTGAGCCACCGTGCCCAGCCCAGAGTTAAAGAGCTTAACTCTGTTAAATGTGTTGGGTATGAACTAGCAAGAGGTAGAGGGTATGTTACGTTTTTAAATGAAAATGTTCAAAGCATGTTTTTATGCCTAGATTGTCTCAAACTCTCTTCAAGTAATTTATGTATGTACTTTGTTTCTCTAGTGTAACTCAGCTCCACCTGAAGGATAATTGTTTATCTGATGCTGGAGTGCGGAAGATGACGGCACCAGTTCGAGTGATGAAAAGAGGCCTTGAAAATCTGACATTATTAGACTTATCATGTAAGTTTTCTTCAAAATTACAGATTATTTTAATGTTGGAAGAATGGTCTTAGAGATCATCTAGTTCTTCCCCCCATTGTAGGGTTGAGAAAGAAAAGGTGACTTTCCTGCATGCCATAGAAACTTGGTGGCAGAGCGGGACTGACTTGACTCCTGACCAAATGACTTTTCCAGCATATACCACCTCTTTAGGGTAGGAAAAACCCTTATACTTGATCCTTGCCACTTGATGTGTGCAGACAGAGCCACCTTTCACCATATTCATTGCATACTTAAAGGACATTTGACTCATCTTTATTTTCCTTGAGTCTCTGATCCTTGGTATCTGTCAGCTAGGTCCTATTTTATCAATGTTTGCATAATGAAAAGCTGGATGAACCCACAGTTGTGATAACTTACTCATATTAACCAGATACTGACTCCAGTGGTAAGATGTGGTTGGCAGAGATCATTTACAATTTAACTGAGCATCCATTGACTCTGTGGCAGGACAGCATGGTGCCAAAAGAATAGAAGGTACAGGGGTTCTTCTGCTCCTTTTTGCTCTGCCACTTTTACTGCCAGTTAACAGACAACTTATTTAACCACTTTGAGCATTGGTTTTGGCCTTTGAAAAATGAGGATAATAATGAATGTCCTGTCTGCCTCCCAGGGAAGTGTATTCATACAATAAATATTTTTTGAACATCTACAGTGTGCCAGACACTGTGCTTATGGCCTTGAGGACTCAGGGCTAAGTGCAGTACTCTCTGATGTGAGACAGTAATACAGAAGAAAGGATTCTGGAAAAAAATACAAGTTAGTAAGAGTGGTGATAGTATCTGTGTCTAAATTCCCTTGAATATCTTTTGAAAATAAATAAAAGTTTTTACTTTGGAAGTGAAAATGGCCATGAATAAAGTATGATGAACCTTTTTATTTTTATTTTTTTTGAGATGGAGTCTTGCTCTGTCATCAGTCTGGAGTGCAGTGGCACGATCTCGGCTCACTGCAACCTCCACCTCACACATTCAAGGAATTCTCCTGCCTCAGCCTCCTGAGTAGCTAGGACTACAGGCATGTGTCACCACACCTGGTTAATTTTTTTTTTTTTTTTAAAGGAGTTTTGCTCTTGTCGCCCAGGCTGGAGTGCAGTGGTGTGATCTCAGCTCACCGCAACCTCTGCCTCCTGAGTTCAAACGATTCTCCTGCTTCAGCCTCCCAAGTAGCTGGGACTACAGGCATGTCCCACCATACCCGGCTAATTTTTGTATTTTTAGTAGAGATGGGGTTTTACCATGTTGGCCAGGCTGGTCTCGAACACCTAACATCAGCTGGTTCACCCACCTCTGCCTCCCAAAGTGCTGGAATTACAGGCATGAGCCACCACACCAGGCCTAATTTTTGTATTTTTAGTAGAGACGGGGTTTCACCATGTTGGACAGGATGGTCTCTATCTCTTGACCTAGTGATCCGCCTGCCTCGGCCTCCCAAAGTACTGGGATTACAGGCGTGAGCCACCATGCTTGGCCTCTGATGAACCATTTTAATACATGTTTATATATGTTTTCATATGGTTCCAAATTAAACCCTTTGGAATAACTACGTGGTTCATTTACTTTTCCGCTCACCCTCAACTCCTAGAAAGAAAGAGCTGTAAAGCATCTTTTTTTTTCTCCATAATTTTGCTGTTGTGAATAATGCTGAAATGAACATGGGAGTGGAAAGCATCTTTAAGGATCACTGGGAGTGGCTTTTTTATATTCCAAATAGTAAAGGTCAGACCTCCATATTTGATTTACTTTGAAAAGTTTGCCAACTCAAATGTTTTATAGTTTAACATTGCCTGGACTTTTTTCTGAGCTTATTTTTAGTTGTCATTTTAACAACATTGATATTGTAACAAAATGCTACCTTGTTTTTGACATCTAGGTAACCCTGAGATCACAGATGCAGGCATTGGATACCTCTTTTCTTTTAGGAAACTTAACTGCTTAGATATCTCTGGTACAGGGCTCAAGGTAAGACTTTTGGTTCCTTCTCTCATTTCTCTAGATCAACAATTTGATATTTTGCCTGTGCTAATGGGTACTTAGAAAGAGCTGGTATGTATGATGGTCTTTATTTACTACTGAAACCAAGTAAAAATTAACCAAATGTATTTGCATTTCTGATCTGTCTCTGCCTCACTAGGACATCACAACCATCAAGCACAAGCTCCAGACCCACATAGGCCTTGTTCACTCCAAAGTGCCTTTGAAGGAATTTGATCATAGTAACTGCAAGACAGAAGGCTGGGCTGACCAGGTACTCCTGATTTTTCTTTCCTGCGGTTGATACAGCTTTTCATTTTAAGTGTCTTATCCAACACATTGAATAAGTGTGGTAATCTACTTGGTAGTCCTTGGCTAAATTGTCATCTTCACGTCAGATTGGAGACCCTGATGGTATATAATTGGTCCATGTACTTAAAGAATTGGTGCCAGACCTTATATCTCATGCTCTGGTCACTAGATTGTGCCTTATCTTTACTGGACTTAGGAGAAAATGCCATCTTACAGTTGACTTAGAACGTAAGTGAACTCTGGCTTGCTATACAAAAAAGTGGTCTGATTCCACTTCCGAAGGACAGATTCTCTTAGTAGTGTGTATATACTGGAGAGAGAATAAACTCTGGTGTCATGCAAATAAGGATTCAAATATGACTGTTCTTTTTCTTTTGAGAAAGTTTCTTACCTCTCAGAGCCATCGTGAGGAGGTGACTTTTTTGTCCTTCTCTTACTGTGTCTTAGCAGTGAGAGAACTTTACTTTGACTCCTTTTTGTCTTAACAGTCTTTCTTCAATGTACAGACTTAAGTGGGATTCAGAGTCTTTTACTTAAGTTGGAAGTAAGAAAGTAACCAAGTAGGATAACACAAGTAGATGCCACCTTCCCTGTGGCTGGTGCCTTTCTCCCTCAGACACTTTTAACAGGTGTTTCTTGGTGAAGGCATAGAGGACCCACCAAACTGTCCTGGATCTCTTCTTAGCTCCAAGCCATAATGCACAATGGTAGAACTATCCAACTGCCTGATTATAGCATCAGCTCTCCACAGGTAAGCAGGGAGACTGGTGAGTCCATGTTTCAGAAGCATTCTTAGCTTGGTCGAGAACCTGCATGATGAAATAATTACCATGGTGCATTGCCAGACAAAGCTTATAGTGCTGTATGAGACCTCAATGCATCCTAGATGCACTTGGGGCAGGTGTGAGATGGCCTTTTAAAGGCTTGATGCAGTTTGGTAGCAGGTGACATGGCGAAAAGAGCATAGGCTATGGAGTCAGAAAGAGCTGGACTTGGGATCCTGGCTCAGCACCCCAACAGCTGTACAACCTAAGGCAACTTTCAGTCTCTGTGTCTTCATCCATAAAATGCAGAAACTAGGCCTTCTCTTGAGCAGGGCTCTGGAAGGATCAAGTAAAACACCTGGCAGCCTGGCCTGAGAGTAAGTTGACTGGACCAGTGCAGCTTCCTGTCATCCACTCTCAGCTGGGCTTTACCTATGTCTTGTGGATTTGTTATTGAAACTTTCAGGCTGACCCCACTCACCTACCCTCATTCTTATTAGGTGACAAAGAACAATGAAGCCATCTCACAGTATGGTCCACTTACTTCCCTATTTCTGTCTCAGAATTTCTCCATTTCTTCAACTGTATTCCACTTCCCTCCTATCCAAGGGAACAAGTGTGCTTCTTTATTCCAGTCACAAGCTCTTTATTTATTTTTTCTTTTTTTAAAAATTATATTCCCTAAGATCTCCAACTTCCCTTGTGATATTTACTAATAATTATTTTCCCCTGCTGCCCCCCTCCATCTTCAGTGTCCCCCTCTGTTGGCTGTCTGCTTTCTCTGGCTAAACAGTAAGGGTGTCCTGATTCTAGCATGGTCCTCACTCCCCATTGCAGCTGTGTGTTGTTTCCTGTCCTGTCTGTCCCACCCCCTCGGTGACTCCTCAGTTCTCACTCCCTTGTGGTTTAGTTCTGGCCTCCACTGCTCTACCGATAGTGTCCTCTTGAAGGCGAGTGGTGATATTCTTCCCCCTCCTTGGCTTTCCTGCAGCATTCGATAGAAACATGCATCCCTTAACAAGTTTTCTCTGGGCCTCTCTCCTGGCTTTCCCCCAACTTTCTCACTTCTCCGGCTATAGCTGATTCCTCGTTGTTCCTCTCCTCTTCTCCTACACCTCCACACACTCTCTAGGTGCTCTTTGACTGTTCTCAGAGCTCCAGCTGTCCTTGCGAGGATGACTCTGCATTCTTAGACACTAGCAGACCCGTTCCCAAGTATCCTCTGTAAATCTCCACCTGGCACCTCAAATTCAGCTTGTCCCGAACCAAATTCATTTTCTTCCCCATCCCCCACCAGCTCTTATTGACATTCTTATTTCTGTTTCATGGAAGGAAGCACCATTTTCCCTGTTGCCCACTGAGTCAACACATTCGATTAATCCATCCTGTTCTTCTCTGAAATCTGTCCCCCTTTTTATAACCAGGAAATTATGGAAGAGATGGCAACTAATATTTAGTAAATACCTTTTGTGTTCCAGACACTGTGCTAAACTCTTTATGTGTATTATCTCATTTAATCCTTAAAACATCTCTATGGAGTATGTACTATCATTGATCCTTACAGATGAAGAAATTGAGACTAAGAAATTAAATCACTTGCCATGGGTCCTTTGGCAAGTAAGTGGTGGAGCCAGCTCTGGAACTGGTTTTTTGTTTGTTTTTAAATAGAAATGGTGTTTCATCATGTTGTCCAGGCTGGTCTCAAACTCCTGAGCTCAAGGGATCCTATCACCTCAGCCTCCCAAAGTACAAAGATTACAGGTGTGAGCCATTGTGCCTGGGCTGGAACTGTATTTTTTTTTTTTTTTCTGTCACCCATGCTGGAGTACAGTGGTGTGATCTTGGCTTACTGCAACCTCTGCCTCCCAAGTTCAAGCAATTCTTGCCCCTCAGCCTCCCAGTAGCTGGGACTACAGTCATGTGCCACCACACCTGGCTAATATATGTATTTTTTACTAGAGATAGGTTTTCACCATGTTGGCCAGCCTGTTCTCGAACTCCTGAAATCCACCTACCTTGGCCTTTCAAAGTGCAGGGATTATAGGTGTGAACCACTGCCTCCAGCCTGTAACTGTATTCTTAAACCCTGTGTTGTGTTGTATTACCTATGTCCTGAAAATGTTTTTCTGGACCTTTTTTATGGTCATTTCATTGCATTCCATAATAAAAAATATTAAAGTTCTTGTTATTCATGGTATATTGAAATAGTCATTGGCTTTCCTTTATGTATAGTTTATACTCAGCCATATTTCTAAAAGAATTGGTAGCAGCTTATAATAAAAATACATTTATAAGAGTTTAAAAAATAAAAACTGATCATGAACTGTTATGAAAATATGGAAACGGGCATTTTACCTACAAGGGTTTGAGTTATAGTTGGCATATTTTAAGGCACAAGAGTAAGTCCAGGGATGTGTGAAAAGTGTTATGACTAAAGTTTTAAGTTTTAGTTTTTAGTTTAAGGATATGTAATTTATTTCCAGCTCAGAATAAACATGAAAATAGAGTCAGCTTTATAGGTTTCCCTTAGTCATGTAGGTACATATATCCAGCGTGTTCAAATTCTCATTCAACTCCTGCATTAGAACAGAAAATGCAGAGTTGACTTGGTTCTTATTCTTATCACCAGTCATCTGAAGTCAGATTTACCAGAGGGGTTTGTGTTTATGGAACGGGAACAAGAAAGGCTTGAGATTAAAATCTCAAGAATTTTTTTGGATTCAAATCTTTCCAAATATGTTTCAGATTGTTCTGCAGTGGGAGCGTGTGATTGCAGAAGCTGTGAAGCCACGGGAAACCTCAAAGCCTAGAACGGCAGCTCAGCACTTCTGTGAGAAATTCCCTTTCCTTTGATGATTTTAGCCCTTTATTTGCATCCTTAAAGCAGTTAGCCTGTTTTTCCTCCTTGGAAAAATTAATAATGATAGTATTGGCTTATTTATGATCACCAAGACCTATATTCTCTTAGCTTAGCTTACAGTGTAAGTTCACACTTAGCTTTGAGAACCAGCACCAGGAAGACAGCTTTTTAAAATTACTTACTTATGTACCATCTTATTGCAAAAAAGATCTGTGGCAGTACAAAAGTAGATAGAATATGGAAGATTAAAAAGGAATTATGTGTAGCCAGAAGGTGGAAGCAGCCCAGATGTCCATCAGCAGATAAATGGATAAACAAATGTGAAATATACATACGGTATATTTCAGGCTTTAAAAATTTGACACAACATGGATGAGCCTTCAAGATGTCATGCTAAGGGAAATAAGCTAGTCACAAAAGGACAAATGTCATATGATTGTTCTTATATAAGGTACCTAGAAGAGTTAGATTTAGAGAGCAAGTAGAATGGTAATTGTGACTAGGGAGGTGGGGGTGGCACAGGCAGGAATGGGGAGTTACTGTTTAACAAACTCCATCTGGAGCTGGATGGTGATGATGGTTGCACAACAATGTGAATGTCCTTAATGCTACTGAACTGTGCACTTAAAAAATGGCTAAAATGGCAAATTTTATGTTAATTTATATTTCACCGTGATTTTAAAAGAAAAGGAATTAAATGATGAAATTAAAGTGAAGGAAATATAAAGGTAGCAAAACAAGAATCCAGGGCTTACCCAAAAAATGTAAAGTAGGTTGTATCATTTGCTATTTGGCTCTTAAAAGACAGATTCAAATCCAGATTTCTGATAATGAAGGCTAACATTTTTGGGGCTTTTAGTGTGTGTCAAACATTGTGCTAATCACTTTATGTACATTAGTTTATTTATCTTCATATATATCACCCTATGAAATAGGTTTTGTATCCCTATAGAGGTGATTAAACAGAATCTCAGAGAAGTCACTTGCCCACAGTCACTTCTAAGAAGAGGCAGATCTAGGATTTAAATCCAAATCTGTCAGACTGTAGTATGAGTCTGTGCCTTCAACCTGTGCCTGCACGCACACCATAGCAACCTCACTCAAGGCAAAATGCAGTCAATGCAAATATCACCCTGTTTGGCCCTTTGTCATTTCCCTGAGGTTATCCTAGACTGATGAGGGAATTAGCATGCCAGTGGAGTGAACTCATCACCCTTCCCTTCTGTCACAGATGGGAAGCAGTCTCGAGCAGAAGCCCCATTGAAGTGTCCTGTGGCAGACACCCACATGAACTCTTCTGAGAAACTCCAGTTCTATAAAGAAAAAGTCCCAGATTGCCATGGGCCAGTGTTGAAACACGAAGCTATCTCAAGCCAGGAGTCAAAGAAGAGCACGAAGAGACCTTTTGAGGAGTCAGAGACAAAACAGAGTAACTCTTCACAACCTCCAAAGCAGAAATATGTATGTCTTGCTGTGGAAGACTGGGACTTGTTAAATTCCTATTGATTAGTAGGTACAAGTTGACCTTTCTCCCCCCAGCTCTGACATTTGAAGAAAGGAGACTAAGGATGATTTACTTCTTGTTTGAATTTATCTATGGCATTAGCATAGCAAACAGGAATTTTTACTTTTGTGGTGGGGGTGGGGGGGATGCTATGGAAGTATGTAATAATTTCTAATGTATATTTTCAATACATAGTAATTTTTTCAAATAAACATTTTTGCTGTCCTTAAGTTCTGCTTGTGGATTATAGACTGGAGCCACAGGAAATAACACATTGGTTTGGGATGGAAGGCCAGGTGAACTAACAGAGCAGCCTAGCATACTTCAAAGATACTGCAGATTTGGTTCCAGACCACCACAGTAAAGCAAACACTGCAGTAAAATGAGTCACACAGACTTTTTCATTTCCTAGTGCATATAAAAGTTATGTTTACACTAAGTAGCAGTCTATTAGATGTGCAATAGCATAGATGTGCAATCTCCCAAAAAAAATGTACATACCCTAATTTTAAAATACGTCATTGCCAAAAAAAAATGCTAACAATTATTTGTGCTGTCAGCAAGTCCCAGTCATTTTATTGGCAGGGTATCTTGCCTTTGTTGGTAGATGGATGCTGACTGATCAGGGTGGTAGTTACTGAAGGTTGGAGTGACTGGAAATTTCTTAAAATAAGACAATAAGTTTGCCACGTTGACTCTTCTTTTCATAAAAGAGTTTTCTATAGCACACGATGCTCTTTGATAGCATTTTACCTGCAGTGGGACTTCTTTCAAAATTGGAGTCAGTCCCCTCAAACCTTGCTGCTGATTTATCAACTAAGTCTGTGTAATATTCTCAGTCCTATGTTGTCACTTCAAGGGTCACAGCATCTTTACCCGGAGTAGATTCTATTTCAAGAAACCACTTTCTTTGCTCATCCATAAAAAGTAAATCCTCATCTTTTCAAGTTTTCTCATGAGAGTGCAGCAGTTCAGTCATGTCTTCAGGCTCCACTTCTAGCTCTTTTATTTCTACCACATCTGCAGTTTCTTCCTCCACTGAAGTTTTGAACCCTTCAAAGTCATCCATGAGGGTTAGATTCAACTTCTTCCAAACCCTTGTTAATGTTTTTTGTTTTTGCGACAGTCTCACTCTGTGGCCCAGGCTGGAGTGCAGTGGCATGGTCTTAGCTCACTACAACCTCTGCCTCCTGTGTTCAAGTGATTCTCCTGCCTCAACCTCCCAAGTAGCTGGGATTACAGGTGCATGCCACTGAGGGAATGTGTCCTCTTTCTGGGTCCACAAGGGGGTGCAGTTTTAAGGGCAAGAACTTCCCAGCGCCATGCCCCCCTCCCATCTCTCTCCATCCGGGAGATTTAACGCTTTATGTTTAAATTTTGAAGGCATGGGAAGAAACTAAAAGTCAATCACTCCAGTGGAAGTTCTGAGGAACTCCTTTCATTGGCCCGGGGTCATAGAGAAGGTGAGGGTTCCTCCCAAGTTATAAGTCCCCATCTTCCACACCCCTTCGGACTCCATGTTTGGGTCCCATTCCATGAACACTCCCTTTCGTGGAAGCCATCTTTCTCTCTCCTGGATTTCCCCCCAGGAGTCCCTTTCCACGCTCTCTCATGGAAGCCTGTCTTCCCCTCTCTCTGCTCCCTTCCACTCAGTGTGGAAGCTGCTTTCCTCTCCTGGATACCATCTTTCTGGATTCTCTCCCGCAGTGTGAGAGTTAGCTGTTTCGTTATCTCTCCTCCAGTTTCTCTCTCTCCAAGTAAATCACTTTCTACAAACACTTTTGAGTCCGGCATTTACTGCGTACTGCACCGTGGTCCCCTCTCTCATTCTTAAGAGGGCAAGAGACCAAGAACCTGGAGAAACGTCCTCTCGGGAGCTGAGAGCACCCTGAACCCCAATATTACACCACCACGCCTGGCTAATTTTTATAGTTTTAGTAGAGATGGGGTTTCTTCGTATTGGCCAGGCTGATCTTGAACTCCTGACCTCAAGTGATCCACCCGCCTCAGCCTCCCAAAGTACTAGGATTACAGGAGTGAGCCACCACACCTGGCCTAGTGTTGATTTTTTTATCTCTTCCTATGAATCACAAATGTTCTTAATGGCATCTACAATGGTGAGTCTTTTCCAGGAGGGAAAGTTTAGTTTAGTTTTGTCTTTTGAGACAGGGTCTTGCTCTGTCGCCCAGGCTGGAGTGCAGTGGCGTGATCATAGCTCACTATAGCCTCAACCTCCCAGGCTCAGGTGGTCTTCCCACCTCAGCCTCTCGAGTAGCTGAGACTACAGGCACCCACTGCCATACCTGGCTGATTTTTTGTGGTTTTTTTTGTAGAGATGAAGTCTCACCATGTTGCCCAGGCTGGTCTCCTGTGTTCAAGAGATCTGCCCACCTCAGCCTCCCAAAGTGCTAGGATTATATGCATGAGCCACTGCACCTGGCCTGTAAGAGGTTTTCAATATACTTTGTCCAGATCCACCAGAGGAGTCACTATGGCAGCTATTGCTTTATGAAATGTATTTCTTTAATAGGATCTGAAAGTTGAAATTACTCCTTGATCCATATGCTGCAGAATAGGTGTTGTGTTAGCAGGCATGAAAACAACATTCATCTTACAAGTTTTTAGGTGATCAGGTACATTGTCTATGAGCAGTAATATTTTCTAAGTGCCTCAAATTTTTGGACTAGACATTGAGTAGCAAACCTCTAGACCTTTACTGTCCAATATAGTAGCTCCTAGCTACATGTAGCTATTGAACACTCAAAATGTGGCTAGTCCAAATTGAAATGTGCTATAAAATACACACTGGTTGTCAGATATCAAAGACTTAAGTATCCAAAAGTTTCAATGAGAAGTGCCTCCATTCTGAAATACTGATAATATGTTAAAATGGTAATTTAAAAGAATTTCGCCTGCTTTTATTTTTCTGACATGGCTACTGGAAAGTTTAAAGTCACATTCATGGCTCTCATTTGTGGTTGCATTGTATTTTTACTGGACAGCACTGCTCTAGTCCATATTCATCTTTAAAAGCTGAGCTAAAAGCAAGAGTTACCAGCAAGTAAAAGGAAGAGAGAAAATACCTCAAGAAATGGACAACATAAGTTTGACATTTGTAAGTGCTCTGGAGTTTAACCTGGATTTTATTTATTTATTATTTATTCATCATTTTAATTAAAAGTTATTTAACTTTTAAGTTCAAGGGTACTTGTGCAGATTTGTCATAGTAACTTGCATGTCATGGGGATTGGTGTACAGATTATTTTGTCACCCAGGTAATAAGTATAGTACCCAAAAGGTATTTTTTCAGTTCTCTCCCTCCACCCTCAATAGGCCCCAGTATTTGTCATTCCCTTCTTTGTATCCACGTGTACTCAGTGTTTAGCTCTCACTTATAAGTGGGAATGTGGCCAGGTGTAGTGGCTCATGCCTGTAATCCCAGCACTTTGGGAGGCCGAAGTGGGTGGATCACCTGAGGCCAGGAGTTTGAGACCAGCCTGACCAACATGGAGAAACTTTGTCTCTACCAAAAATACAGAATTAGCTGGGCATTGTGGAACATGCCTGTAATCCCAACTATTCAGGAGGTTGAGGCAGGATAACCGCTTGAACCCGGGAGGTGGAGATTGCAGTGAGCTGAGATAGGTGCCATTGCATTCCAGCCTGGGTAACAAGAGTGAAACTCCATCTCTAAGAAATAGAAATAACTGAGAACATGCAGTATTTGGTTTTCTGTTTAACCAGGATTTTAAATAAAGGTGGATCTTCAATGTAGTATATGTTTACTTGCTACTCTGAGCTAGGCAAGTACTGTCTCTGTAAAGGTGGGCTGCTACCTAGGATTGTATCAAAAGCTTTGATTTCTGAAATTTATAAAATGAAAAGGCAAATACAGCACAGATTGGTTTTCTCTGTAACAAAGCAGAGTTTTAAAATATCATTTGAAGCCGAGCATGGTGCCTTATGCCTGTAATCTCAGCACTTTGGGAGGCTGAGGCAGGCAGATCACTTGAGGTCAGGAGTTTGAGACCAACCTAGCTAACATGGTGAAACCCTGTCTCTACTAGAAATATAAAAATTAGCCAGGCATGGTGGCACACGCCTGTAATCCCAGCTACTCGGGAGGCTGAGGCAGGAGAATCGCTTGAACCCAGGAGGCAGAGGTTGCAGTGAGCTGAGATTGCACCACTGCACCCCAGCCTGGGCAACAGAGCGAGACTCCATCTCAAAAAAAAAATCATTTGAGTGGGATGGTAGCACTCCTTACCGAATTCCAAATGCCAGTCAACAGCTGGTTTTACTTGTCAAAGTTGGCATATATTGTTAGTCAAACCAGAGTCTAATTTGATCACCTCATGAATGCAATACCACTACCACAACCCGACTCCACTGTTGCCTGTGATGCAATGCCATGTCAACAAGTGGCATCACACCACTGCACTCCAGCCTGGCGATAGAGCGAGACTCTGTCTCAAAAAAAAAAAAAAAAAAAGGTAGGAGATGTGCTCATGTCTAGGGGAGAACCACTTAAGGTTAGGAGTTTGAAACCATCCTGGGCAACATAGTGAGGCCCTGTTTCTACAAAAAACAATTTTTTTAATTAAGCATGATGGCTTGCACCTATAGTGCTAGGTACTCAGGAGGCTGAGACAGGAGGATCACGTAAGCCCAGAAGTTCAAGGCGGCTATGAGCAATGATCACACCATAGCACTCCAGCCTGGGTGACAGAGCAAGACCCTGTCTCCAAAAAAAAAATAATAATAATAGTAAGAGATGTGATGATGGAAGCAAGAGGTTCAAGTGACACACCAAAGAAGCAAAGTAACCAAGCGACCACAGAAAGAAGTAAAACAACTTGTTCCTGCCTCAACTAATTGCTGCAACCCATTGTTTCTATTCAGCCTGGCAAAAATCCCCCTTGCCCTCCACCACCCGAATTTGCCACACCCTCCCCTCTGATTGCAACTGATACTTCTCACCCTTATTGTGCTATAGCTGGAACCTGAGCAATGCCATTTTATAAAAGACAAAGCTGTTTTTCAGAAATAAGTTGTAATGGCTGCCCCATTCTCCTCACAATAACTATTGGCCTTGGCTTCTGTAAATAAAACTGCTAGTTTGCTCTGCAAAGTGCTCACTATGTAAAGCTGCTTACCTTTTCTTACCAGTAACTGCCAGAATTGCTGGCCTTTGCTTACCAGGAATGACCAGAATAAGCAGCCCAAGCTT